ATTTAGTTTAACACTGATAGAACGGATGATCGAATATGAAAGCAAAATGCTTCTTTTTTTTTTAACTCTTTCCAAAAAAAAGTAAAAGTTTGTTATAAAACTGTCAGTTTGTTTGGAAAAAGAAATATTTTCTTCACTATAAGTAATGTTTACTTCAACAGAAATAAGCTAAAGCCTAGAAAGCTGAAAATAAATTGAAAGTTTTTGGAGTGTTTTGTAATGCTATTGAAACATCTACGGAGGTTTTCGTTTTATTAATCTTCATGATCAACAATTCAGGTTTTCACTTTATAGCGAAAAATATAATTTTTAAACTTACAGGTATATATCGGAATTCTGCTATGTAAGCTATACTTGCTTTATACTCTCTTAAGAGATAATGGATAAGATCGCTTTCATCAATTTATTACACTGTTTTTAATCCGCGGCAAGAATAATTTTAGTGAATGTAAAAAAGTTTAATTAGAATAAATTTATTTGAACATACTTCGTTGTTAATAATTAATGCATCATTTACCTTATGTTCTGCATGTCCATGGATAAAAGTCATCCATTTATCTACTATTTACAAAATAGTAGATAATACAAACATGTTATAGTATTCGACTGGGTGCGACAGTTTCTTTTTGAAAATAGCCTTATTTAAAATTTTAATTAAATGTTTGGTAACAAGGGACCAAAAATTTTTAATCTAATGTAAACCTTGAAAATTTGTGAAATATTTTTATCAATATAAGGGCAAATTTAAGCATAAAAACTATAAATTTTTATGTCACGCTAACATCTCTAGAAGAAATTGTAATGCATAAATATTGACAAAACAACTTTAGATAAATTATATGATTATCTGTGTTTGGAACTAAAGTCTTTGAAATATTTCGACTATGCTATGAGATAGAACTAAATATATTGTTCAATATTGAGTTTTTGAAAAGAAATTCCAAATTAACATTCTTGGTTAAAGTATGATAAAAATAATAAATTTCCTCTTAGGCCTAAGCTAAACATAGCTACCAATATACAAAGTCAAACATACATAGCCCAGTGCAAAACATAGCTAACATTACAAAAAATCTATTAACAAAGTTTCAAAAAATTCAAAAATAAACTTTTTTTTTGTAATGTGCGTTAACGTGAAGAGATTTTTAAAAATCAACCTTTTTTAAAAAAAAATCATTTGAATTTCTATGCTGTTTTATTTGTCGGCATGTAAAGAATCAAGTAATTTCGATTCTAAAGATTGGAGAACCAAAATTTAAAGAGATATAGCTGATGCTTTACCAAGCATCAGCTGGGACAACACACACATTCTCTAAACCGCTTTTGAGGTGACAGTGTTGATTTGGAATGAAAAGTTGATGTTCAAACAAATGACATTTTATAAAATTTATCAAAATCATCTGCAGTAGTTAGTTTTAATAAAAAATTCCGTAATTCTGTAATTCCAGTTCATAGTAGAATAGGAAGAAAAAGAAAACTTGTATTTTGTTGCTTTTGGTTGGGCAAAAATAATTCTTCATAATACAAGAAGTTTGGTGATTTAATTACATGACATTTCATAAAAATTCATCAAAATTAACTCCATGAGCAAATATTTATGAAACTTTCATATTATAAGTTAAAAGAAAAGCATAATTTAGAGATATTTTAGAATGTATGTTTAAATTTTCGAATTCAAGAAAACGTTTGCTGACTATCTAATAATTAACTAGTTAGTAATTATCAAAATATTTAGAAAAATAAAATATTCAAAATGCTTGATAAATTTTAGAGTTAGTCTCAATTTAAGAAAAAGGTACTATTAAATAATTTAAAAAATTAAATACACAGAAATATGCAAAAACATTTGAAATACTAATGTATTCAAAAACAAGTTCAAACTATATTATTATTTCGAAAGTAAAAATAACATTTTTTAGACTTAAAAAATGTTTTATCTTTAATACTTAGTTCTGAATCACTGCAAAATAATATTTAAAAAAGTTCCTCTTATCTCTGCGAACTTGTTCTCTTTCTATTCTAACGATCGATGGTGGCCATTATGGCAAAAGTTCAGAATGCCGGCGGTGAAACAAGTTGTCCGTTGCAGACAGTTAACGAAGTTCGTTATTCCGTAAAAGAATTGGAATTATTGAATTCTTTTGCAACTTCTCTCCTTTCATCTACGAAAGCTCAAGGTAAGAACAGTAATTTTTGGCTCTCGTGGATTTATTTCAACCCAATAAGCAATGTGGCAATTTTCCGTGTAACGAGAAAATTATGCTAATGATGATTTTTTTTCATAACTTTAAGGAACATGTTTGACAGAAAACTAGTATCCTTGTTATAAATTGATTCGATTTTAGATGCATCGCAATTTTTTCTTGCTTAGAAGGTATTATTTTTCACTCTCGTTAAGATCTTGAAACACTTGATTGCATAGTCTAAATTAAATGAAAAATGTAAATATATCTGCGCAATATGATTAGGCTGTAGTTTTTTTTTCCCCTGCAATCGATGTAATTTATTAGATTTAGATATATTGTGTTAACATAGTCTTTATACTTTTTAAACATATTTAAACAATTTTAAATGTAAACATAATTAATTCTAAATGCATTTTGTTAAAACTTTTTTTTAATGTTGTGAAAACCGAAATATTCTGTGCTAAAAATGATAAGGTCTTTTTATAAAGTATGATTTTTATTTCATTTCAATTTTTACGTCTGTGGACTGGCATATGATCGTTCTACCAACATTTCCTTGAAGACTGACGGGCTGCGCGCTGGTTACCATAAACGAGAACCAGATCCCTTAATAGCCATAATGTTGTGACATTTTTCGTTATATCCCCCACTACGCTGTTTAATAGCCAGAACGTAATGACATCTTTCTTGTTTTTCACCCACTGCACAGTTTATGTTTGTTTTCGTCAAAGTACTAAATTGATCGTGCAGAAGCCTTCTCTCTTCTAGAAGGTCTTGATTCTACACAACCACTATTTAGATTAGGAAGTAGATACTCCCGGTCTCTTTACTCCTCTTCCCAACCACTCAACCTTTCGTGAACGCCGCTAGAGACAATAGTTCAGAGTAGATTCTGATCAATTCTGACACAATCAATGAAATGCATAAATCAGATTGAACACTATGCCTTTACCCCGAGAAATATATTCTGAAGTAATTAAATAATTCGTGAGCATAAAAAGTATATCATGTCATACACCGAATATACATGTTATCTTTAAAGCTCGAAAGCCAATAATATGCACAATACCTAGCTAATCGGCAGATTAACTAATGTAATCAATTAAAGTTCAGAATCAAGAATTTTCCACAATTTACCTTGGTAATGTGCTCAATAACCATTCCCGTAACCTAATGTTCAAAAGCTCGTTTCGCTCAACTCATCAACTAATATGTTAAAAAAAAAATTCTATTTATAAGAGTGATTCTTTAGATATTAAGAAATAAATGACATTTTTTTAGTTTCATTGTTTGCAACAATATTTTAAACCACTTAATTCATTGTATTAAAGTTTTTAAAGTGATCGATGATTGATTGTATCAACTAATGATAACACATATATGATTGATTTTTGTAACTTGTTTTTATAGATAGCTAAAAGTAAATAAATAATATGGTAATTTAAGCATAAAGAAACGTTTCTGCTTTTTCAGTAAAGGGTCTTATTTCCACCTTAATGACTGCTTAGTAAGTAATGTTCAGATCATCTAGCAGATTAATTTGATTTATTTCGATTAGTCAAATTGGATTAATTTAATTTGGTTGATTATTTGTAATTTGAAAAATGAAACACTATTTTAGCATTTCAAAGAATCACCCTAGTTTGTCTACTCATTAGTTAAATAATCTCTGTTTTTTACACTTAATAGTAACATATATGTAAGAGAGATGCTTTCATTGGTTTAATTTAATTAATTTGCAAATTACTTAAACAATTTGAGAAATAAAACCATTTTTTTTTCAGTTTAAAGAACCACCCTAATTATTCTGCACATTAATTAATTTGTTGAAAAACTGTTTTCTGCTCTTAACGGTAACATATCAGAGAGAGAAATGTGTCATTAGTTTGATTAGATTAATTTTCAGATTGCTTAGGCAACTTGAAAAATAAAACAATTTTTTGGGACTTTTACAATTCACCCTAGTTACCTGCACATTAGTTATATAATCTACAGTTCAGCTATTTTCTGTACTTAATGGTAACATAATATATAAGAGAGAAATTCCTCATTAATTTCATTTGATTAAATTAATTTGCAATTTACTTAGCAGTTTGAGAAATTAAGCACTTTTTAGAATCTAAAAGAATCATCAAGTTAATCTACATATTTATTAGATAATCTGCGTATTAATAAGATAACTGTTTTCTACACTCAGCGGTAACATATATATGAGAGAAAGCGATTCCGTCATTAATGTGATTAGATTAATTTGCAAATTACGTAAATAATTTAAGAAAGTGGACCAATTTTTCACTTTAAAGAATCATCCTAGTTAATCTCCACATTAGTAATATAATCTGTAAAATAACTATTTTCTGTACATATATACCAGTTCTGTACAGTAACATATATATTAAAGTGAGATTTCGTCATTCAATTTAGCTAGTAGAAAGTAAATTCTTTATTTAAATCTAAATTAGCTTTAATTATTTTAAAACATTTCCATTCAAACTAAATCATTCAACATTTAAGAACATGTGAAATCTTTGCAGTGAATTAAATAAGACTTTCTAACAATCTGCATTTTTCATTTTATCTCGTTCTATAACGATTGCAAACCTTTTATATTTTGTTAGTTAATTAACTTAAATTAAATTATCGTCTCAAAAGTGTTCTAATTAAATACTGATTAGGTTCCCGGAACACCAGATGGAGAAAATTGAGATTTATCGAATCGGGCTTCTCAACTCCAATTCTCGTAATTTCATTAACGTTAAGAGAATCTACAGTCAGGAAATGCTCCCTTTTGATAGAATCCAATCTATTTTGCAGTGCCACCCAAAGTTTCCGTGCCTAAAGGTCAGCTAGCCATTCGTAAGGGAGAATCAGCGAGGTTAGTTTGTGACGTCATCGGCGATGGTCCAATCAATGTCAAGTGGGTCAAGAAACAAACTGTCATCGAAATTCATCCCGGCTCCAGGTATGTATTCAATGTTATTGCCATCGATTCTGTGCCTTACAGAGCCAGTCTCAAATCAAAACTCTCCTCCTTTTTCCAATAATAGATTTAGAAGATGTTTTCAATCAATTTAATAGGAAAAGAATGACTTAGTGATTTGTACAACTAGTTTTACAATGGTATTACAACGGAAAGTAGAAATAATTATCTTTTAGTTTGTTGTTATTTTTGAAAGAAAAAAAGAAGAACATATCTTCTGGATTCAAAAGATATTATTTTAGTCTGAAATGCTGTAACGGGAAAAACCAAGCATTTTTACAACATCTTTTTGAAGGCCGTTCAAACATTACGTAAGCACCTAACGGAGGAAGATACTAATATTTCTGCTGATAAGAAACAGCACTGCTTACGTAAGAGATCAAAATTGCTTTATTTTCAATGTTTTTTAATGCAACAAAAAAGTTACACATGGAAATTTTTCATATTGGAAACTAATTTCAAATTTGCGGGGGGACCATTCTACTATGAATTGCAAAGAGGACGAATTTTGACCACTGAAGGAAAACATATAAGATTTCAAAATAATATTCAACTCAAAATTTTATGAAATAAAAATAACAAATTTTCTTTTCTACAAAGTTAATTTTATTTTAATTTAATCCTAAAATTTTATAATTACACTAGAAGTCATATCACATAAAGAATAGCACTATTGCCGTGACTTTCTTGTCTCCTTTCTAAAAAGGAGATTAGTGACAAAGAAGAGTGAGAATCCGAAATTGCCAGAAAAAATGCTTACGTATTATTTGTATAGCCATTTGCATGTATTTTTATGGATATTCCCTTAGTAATAATAAAAAGTTCTCTAATTTATAAAAATATATTTCGGAAATAATTCAAAAGTTTTAAAAAGCAATTTCATCAATTGAAAGTTTTGAGAAAAATTTTGAACTATATCAGATTGAAATTTAATTTAAATTTTAATATGCATTATGTTAAACATTTTGGACAAGTTATCAATATTTTTCTCCATATTTTTATTACATAAAAAAGTGAGACATGATTAAATAGAAAAGAACAGCCCCAGTAATCTCAGTGCTACAGATTTTTTCATACCCTTTTTAAAATCAATCATTAACAATTCTAAACCAATTTAGCAGTATGAAAATTAATTCGATTCTGAAAAGTCTTTAAAAGTTTGATCCCTTAAAGATCATACACTTTATCATGGAAGAGCATACACTTTATTACAAAGAAGTTGAGAAACGATCGAAGATAAATTTTTTAAACACTTTTAAATTTTAAAATAACATAAAAATCATTTTTATATTTCATAAATATGCATTAAAAGCGGGACGTATTTAATGTATTTTTAATAAGATACATTAAAATCAATACAGCCAAAGTACTCATCATTAAGACAAAATTAATATTAATATAATAATCAAGAACGTATTTCATCTTGTTGACCTATATTTATTGTCACAGGCATCCTACACTATATACTATCAAGATTTTAAAATGTTTTCTCTAAACTGTTAAATATAGTCAAATGTTACTTGATTAAAATCTTCAAAAATGTACAGATTGGAAATAACATTCGACATATTTTAAGCGTTCAAAAATAAGCACCCGTTCTCTAGACTTGCCAGAAGTGAATTAGAAAACACAAAAGTGATTTGAAATATAAAACGCAAAGTTACAAACAAAAAATTTATTAATTACCAAATTTGACCTGATACCTACTCTGAATACATTGTTATATATATGATGTGATAGTTATCTACGCTTTATTTCTTCCGGAAAAAGACTGGTAGCAAAGTACTTTAGCCACCTCCTTTTTATTTATTCTAAAGAAAGAAATGCATGATGACTCTCACTCGTCAAACGAGGCAAAAATTTCTCCATCTTCTAGCGTTCACTATGTATTAAAATTAAGAGTAATATATAATTATCCTCATTTCCGAAAGGAAGGTATTTTAAGCTCGTTTTTTCCAAAAACGTGCATTGCATAAAAAATTCAATTTTTGATTTATAAGATTTCTTTAATAAAGTTTCATTTATTGTTCGAAGTTTTACTGTTTATTAATTAAAAATTCCTTCCCATAATAATCGTTCGCTGTTAGAAATCATAACAATACAAAGAAAGTGTAATATATAAATCAGTATAACTACACTTTTCGGTATTAAATAACAATTTTCGCTTTTCGAAAAAAAATTATGTAAGAAACTTCACTAAATTAATGTATAAATTCCAAATCTAAGCTAAGCGAGAAATATTAGTAAACTTATTTATAATAGTAATTGGGAAAAAAATAAATGCATTAAGATATGTTCAAAAAATAGTTCCTTCACAAAATACTTTTTACTCGATTTTAAATTTCTTATGTTAATAAGGGAGAAAAAAAAATTTCTTAAACACCATGAAAAATTTATGCAAAAATTCCCAAATCTAATTACTTCAAAAAAATTGAGGTAAATATGAATTAGCTCATATAATAATAATATTATTCATAAAAATAATTGGACGGAAAAAGAAATGCATTAAGATATGTTCAAAAAATAGTTCCTTTAGAAAATACTTCATACTCGGTTTTAGATTTCTTAAGTTAATGGGGGTAAAAACATTTCTTTTTAAACATCTTGAAAAATTTATGCAAAATTTCCCAAATCTAAGTACATCAAAAAAATGGAGGTAAATATGAATTAGCTCAAATAATAATATTATTATTTATAAGAATAATTGGAAGAAAATAGAAATGCATTAAGATATGTTCAAAAAATAGTTCCCTTTCAAAATACTTCTTATTCAGTTTTAGATTTCTTATGTAAATGAGGATAAAAGCATTTTTTTCTAAACCCCTTCAAAAACCGAAAAATATTCTTCCAAAACATCGAATTTCAAAAGCTTCTATAAAACGCGTTGGTTTTCCCTGCCTAACGAGATACAACCAAACAAAGCCGGAACAAAGAAGGAAGAAAGCCTTATACTGCCTTTAGAATAAACATTCCTTATCCTTTTTTTCTGTACTCCTTTTCTTCTGAGGATAAGGCTTCTTTTCTTCCAGATAAGATTCTTCCATCAGACGATCATGTAACATTCATAAACTCCTCCCTGAGCTTCTGTAGCTTGAAAAAGCTCTCGTAACGGAGCATTAGAGACGGGATGCTGGCCTCGGATGAAATTTCTTTTCTGCAGACGATCCCAAAAGATGGCCTGCACCGCCTGTGATAAAACCCGCGTGAATCCACTATATTGCTGTTCTGTTTTGGAAAAATGGCCATCTTCTTTTTCTATATTATGTTCAGAAGGAATCTTTTATGAGAAATATTTTGTTATGCAACTACAACTGCAGATGCTCTCTCTCCAAGAAAATGTTTATAGATTTTCTCTTTTCCTGTAATAAAGTAAAGCTAATTTGTAACAGGAAAAAATTCTTCACGAAACATTCAGCAGAGAAAAGAACATTCATGTAACATATATTTTATAAGTTTTAAATTGCATATAATTATATGCTAGATACGTAATTTGTACAGTATTTAAAATAGCAAATAAAGTATAGAGAATTTTTCATATATTTTTATAATCCTTGCCGAAAAAGCAAGATAAAAAAGTGTATACATAAGGGAAAGTAAATCAATATTTCAGCGATGGAGAAAGAATTTGCTTTTGAAATCTGCAAAATTTCTATTGAAAAAAAAAATTGTTAAAAAAGCATCAATGCTAGTTTTATTCCCTGCAGAAACTGGAAGATGCTTTTAATAATTTTCTTTCAATTCCTATCTGTTTTCTCCAGCAATAAAGAAGGTCATGAATTTTTACTATCTCGCTTTCCTCAGAATTACGAGCAATTCGTTTTTGTTTTTTCCCTGTTTAAATTTCAATTTGCGACCCTTATTTGCATATTACTTTTCTTCAAATTTGACTAGAAAAAAACTAGAAAAAGTGGACATTATAAAAAAAAACTATGTATAAACATGTGAAATTATATATAACTTATAGTTATGCATTGAATGCATGATTATATTTTTATAATTTTACCTATATCTTGTAAATATAAACCTTTTGAAAAAAGACTTAAAGACTTAAATATACTCTAAAATACCAGCATCCTACAAGTTACATATACTTTTACTTTCACTTACTGTAAAATACGTAAAATAAACCAATAAATTTCACAAAGAAAAATCCTTCCTTTTTACGCGCGAGTAGTTTTCTGTAACTCTAATAGCAGCACTAAACAAAGAATTTTTAGAACTTAAGCAGAATTTTTCTCCTGTTCATTAACAAATGAATGGTGATGGAATTTAAATTGTTAAATTTAAATTTCATCGAATCTACAAAAAAGCAGCTTAAAATAACTCTGGAATTTTGGTATTAGGTTATTTAAAAAATGTAGCTTCATTTTACTGTTACTAAATTCGTTATTTTTATAATGCAATGTATAAAATTTTATAAAAAACCAATATTCCCCATATTATTTAGTATATTCTTTAATATTTTGTAAGAAGTAAATAAAAAACATTGAGAAACACTTAGAAATGATTAAAGAAAATAAAAACACACAAATAAAAATAAGGAATGCTCATACGGGAGGAGAGTTAGTGGATAATAAATTTGTTTATTGATTGATACCGTACTATTCGCTATTTCTATTAACTAGCATACCACGTACCATTTTGATCAATCAATCAATATTCAATTTTTCTATTACAGTGGTTTCTTTTGTTAGAATTTGAAAGGAATATTCAGGGAACACTTATGCCAATATGGAAAATCATAGCAGGAAATATCCTATTAATACGATCACTCATACGCTTATGCTAAATTTGGAATTGGAGCGTTCTAGTTTCCAAATACGATATGCCTCCTAATGATCTCATGAAAATTTAATGCATGAAAAATCAAGAACGTTTTACTTATTTTCATGGCTAACTTTCAGTGAACCTAATCATTATACATGCTAAAGATCATTTACAATCTCTTAAAATAATATTCTTGAATCAATATCGGTGCATTTGATAATAAGAGGCAGTGTACGATAGCGTTAGAAATGCAGTAGTAATTGCAGCCACTCCATTGAGAGTTAGAAAGGAAAGTAATAGGAGGGCATTATAAATTATTCATAAATAATAGTTTGCGTGACAGCATTTAAAGTGAATGTAAAGTCTTATTAAAGATAAATGCGTCCAGAGTAGAACAACACGCAGTATTGATGTTTTAAGTAGCTGAAGGTGAGATTAATGCTGACATTTATCATAAAATAATGGCTTGCCTTTAGTGAGCATTATCTAAAGAGGATTGCTGTTAACAAATGGTATAAAAAAATTTGTGTACATCAGACATCAACATCAGATTTGTCAAGATACAGAGCAAGTAAACTTCACTATCTCTAATGAATCTATTTCTGCTGCTGATAAAGTGATTAGAGGTAATCTAAAAGTCACAACTTGTGACTTATGTAAAGTGCAGTGAGTCATCTGAGTAACCACTCCTGTCAACTCCTGAGTAACCACTTCAGCAGTAAACTTAACATTCACTTTAAAACTCTTGAGAAAAATTGTTTATCAGCTATTAATATCTATACAGTGCACTCTTCTTATCTTTTTATATATACCTGAACAGTGGCGCTTCCGTTGCTGTTGTATAGTGTGCCAAAAAAAAACAGACTTTTGATAACTTTTAATCTACTATCGGATCTTCCCGTTTTAGGACTCATCTTAATTTTTCGAAGGGCTGACCTCAAATATGTTAATTAATTAGTGAAAACAATATTTTAAGTTGCGAAATCAAAAACGTATCAAAATGAACGAAACAAAAACAAAAACGTATCAAGCGAGCACAAAAATGTACTTTCTTCGAATAAACATAACTTTTATTCAAACGGATTTGGATTTCTGACTCCCGAAATATAGAGGGTAGCCACAATCAAAGAAATGTAGTCCCCATGCTCTTGTCAGGAGAGTGATCCAAAATTTGGACCCTTAATATTAATTTTATTTTATGCATATTCTGTCATATCTTGAGAACTTTTAAATTGGATTGAAAAATTTTTGCACAGAATTATAAAATTTGTTTATCCAAAGATAATTCCATGCAAAAAATTCCACTCAAAAAGTAAAATTATCATTAAAGAGTTCAAACTTAGGATCGCTTTGCTGACCAAACTACGAAATCCTATTTCCAAATTGCGGCTACCTCCTGTATTATGGGGGTCAGAAATCTAAATCCACTGGAGAAAAAAAAGTTATGTTTATTCAGAGAAAGTACATTTTTGTATCTGATTTCATTCCTTGAAATATATTCTACACTAATTAATTAACCTATTTGAGGTCACCCCCTCAAATTAATTAAGATTGAGTCCTAAAACGTGAAGATCCGATAATTAGATTAAAAATTTATTCAGGGGGGTCCGTTTTTCGTTTTGTTTTTCTGTACATCTGACACTATCAAAAAGTCCCATGTACCGTAATTTTTACAGTAATAATTACCCTAAAATTACTGAGTCAATCTAAATAAATAAATACTTTTGTAAAAATTACGGAATAATATTTTTCGGTAAAAATGGGTTTCATGGATGATGCGCCCTAAGCACCGGTATTTTACACCGTAATTTGATCAAGAATTTTTTTACAGTGTGCCTGTCAATTGTGACTTTAGATATCAATAAAAAAAATTCTGTTAAAAACTTAAATAATAAAATTTAGCTTCTTTAAACTAAAGAAAAATATTATTTCGATGTTTAGATATTAGTTTGACATTTAAAAAGATGAAACAATTAAAAATATAAGTTGCTTATCTTTATTTCAGATTCGAAGCAAATCAGCGTCGTTCGAATCCTGCCACATACACGAAATATGAACAGTACAATTTCGAACTTCTTATTCGGGACAGTCAACAAATTGATGCAGGATTGTACACTTGTATTGCAAAGAATGATTATGGTGAACACAAAGGAGAAGTCACTCTCGATGTTCTAGGTAATTCTTGCTCTTAGTAAACTTAGAAATTTACGATAGGAGAAAAAATTCAATTTCTGAATTGTTTGGAAGTAACAAATCTTCAAAAAAATAAGGTGGGAAAAAATGGGATCATTTGGGTAATAGAAACTTACAGTTTCAAAACATTGAATTCAAACGAGAAAAAAAATTTAAAATTACAAGTTTTCACAAAAAGGGGATAAAAAAACCTTTCAGAGAATAACTTTCAAAATATTTTTATACAATTAATCAATGCAAAAGAAAAAAATCCTTTAATTTGAGAAATCCATATGAATTCCTCAATTTTGCTTTTAGAAAATCATTTTCAAAATATTTCTATGCGATTTACCAATGCAGAGGAAAAAAATTCATTTCATTTGAGAAATTCCAATGAATTCCTCAAACTTCATTTGAGAGAATCATTTTAAAATGTTTTTATGGAATTAACCAGTGCAGAAGAAAAGAACTCATTTCATTTTATATGAATTCTTCAAATTTCATTTGACAGAATGATTTTTTTAAATGTTCTCATGTAATTAATCATTGCAAAAGAAAAAAATTCATTTAATTTGAGAAATTCGTATGAATTCCTCAAATTTTCATTTGAGAAAATCATTTCTAAAATATTTCTATACGATTTATCAATGAAGAAGAAAAAAATTCTTTTTATTTGAGAAATTTATATAAATTCCTCAAGTTTCATTTTAGAAAACCAATTTTTAATAAAAATGATATTCAATTAAAAATTACTAAAAAGTTAAAAGCTCTTGAGAATAGTTCCTGAGAAATTAAATTTTAAAAAATTCGTAATTTAAAAATTCAAGTTCTAAGAAACTATTTGACCAATTTCGCTCAAATTTTGTATTTTGCCTTGTAAAAATACATTCTTTAAAATGGTGTAAAAATTTAGCTCGCAATTAAACCTTTTTTTTTCATTATTGCTAAGTAAAATAATAAAAAGTAATAAATATTTATTTAAAGTTATTTCTTATGGGATTTTCTATGGATGAACGAATTTTATTATTCTGTGTGAAAAGTCTTCAATTTGTTTAAAAAGTTCCCAGATATGGCGAAAAACGCACAAATTAAATTTAACAATAAGGCGTCCAAGCTTTGGACGCTCTCCTGACAAAAACTATTGGAATCGTTTTTCCCAGATTGAGAGTGTCCCTTATATTTTAGGGATCAGAAATCCGAATCCATCCAAGACACATTTATTGAGAGAAAGTACGTTTTCGTGTCCGATTTCGTAACTTCAAATATCGTCTATGCTAATTAATTAACATATTTGAAGTCACTTTCTCGATACATTAAGATTGAGTTCTAGAATGTGGAGATCCGATTATTAGATCAAATTCAGGGTGGTCTTTTTTTTATGATGCCTGTACTTTAAATTTTAATTCTCGTTCGCTGGAACAAGTAGAGTTCGTTAGCAAATGACGATACCAAATATGAGAATTCATTAATTAGTCATTTTTTAAAAAAACTCTTTACTAACATTATGCAGTCTAAAGGGCAAAATTAACAGAAGCTCGTGTTTTTATTTCCATTGGAATGATCGGACAAGCTGCATACAACATTCTATAATAGTTTTTTGATTAGCAACGCCATCTAACAACGAACTCTAAAACTAATTGTGAAATTTTGTGGGAATAATATAGCTGGTTTCCTACATAGAATGCTTTAAACATACGATTATATAGACATACGATTAATTGCCTTCCATTTTTCTAATCAATTTTTCAAATCTTCAGCCATTTTTGAGTAGCTTATACATTATTTATATTAAATGAAGAAAAATAAAGTTTTATCAAACTTTTTTTGAAGTTTCAAGAGCAGAAGCTTTGTTACCTCTCTATTAAACATCAGCTTTAAAACCAAACTTGGCCAAATATATTTAAAATAAAGTTTGTTTGTTTGTTTTTAGCAAAAATAAAAAATTAGTCATCATCCTTCAATTTGTATTTCAAACTATTCATTCTATTTTCTAACAGATAAAAGAAAACTCTTATAGATAAAACGGAAAGCATTTTTTAAAAAAAATTCTAAACTACAATTCAAAGAATTGTTTTCGGGAAAAAGAACACTGAAAGAAATTTGTATTCAGCGTTTCAACAATCAGATGAATGAATAAAAGTATAATATTTACCTAGTTAATGAAAAGTGGATAAAAAGAGTTTAGAGAAAACGTTAAATGTCAGAAAAAGTCTGTTCAGAAACTTAGAATCGCCTATTCTTTTAAATGATGATGCTTTTACTCTTTAAAAGCTAGAATATTTCCTTTGATAAAAAGCAATGAACTGAAAGGATTAAAGTTTGAAAGAAGATTTAGTTCGTTAAAGAAATCTTTTAGTTGTCTTAATGAATATTGGATCGCAAACAAAGCAAAATAGCTTTCTAAAAAAATTGTTTATAAATTATTTTGAATGTAGCATATTTTATTCAAATTTTACCGCACACTATATTTACTAGTTTCGATTTTCTTCACTCATATATTTCCTTATTAAAAATCCAGTTAATACTTGGTGTTGCTTTATGACAGCCCTTAATGTATATTTTTAGCACTTTTCAAAAAGAAAGCTATAAATACGTAGACATTAGGGATAAAATTGAGGCGCGATAGCTTAGTGGTTTCCTTTAGATTAAAATAGGGGAAGCCAATAAATATTTAAGCTTCAGCGAAAAATATATATAAAGCTTAAAAGTCTCTTTTGGGGAGGGCGGGATAAAAAATATCAAAAACCAATGTGATTGTCAGATGTAACTTGGATGCCTTTTTAGTAGTTACCTTTTAACTCGTCTTAGTTTTATTGTGCCATCAAACCGTTCTTGCTGTTTTCAGTCCCACTTTTCTCACTAGTGGTTCGTTGAATTTCGATAATTTCTTTATTTTTAACTCCCTTAAATATTTATTTGTGTCATGTATTATTACTTTTTATTTATTACTTATTAATTATTTATTACTTTTTATTATATTTATACTAGAATTTTTACTTTTTCTCATTTAAGATTGCTTCATTGTATTTTTAAAACATTATAACTATTTTCAGTATGAAAAAACATTTTTATCTTCAGAATTTAACGAATGAACATTTAATAAAATGAATTGTACATTGACAAAAATATATTTGTATATCCCAGATTTGATATTTGTTAAAATAAAGAATTTAATACAAATTATATAGTATAGAGGTGGCTTATATATTGGAAACTAATTCTTTATTTTTTGAAAGAAGATCTTAGAGATCCAAAGTTAAAGGCAGTTGTTTTCGTTTATTATTGAAAAGTAAGAAAAAAATTTCTTGTAAAGATAAATCTTAAAAATACAAATTTATAAGTTATAAAAATAGAAAGTTGCAACTAGTGAAGTCTCAACAATGAAAACCCTTTCTAAAAGAAGTTAAAGTGGTTAATGACAAGTATAAATAACAAAACAAAAATAAGTAGAAAATTCATGATTTAGCAGAATATGGTCAAGGTTATATTAGATTGATCTTATTAATACTTCATGTAAGCCTTAAATATTCAAAAAGTATAAGTGAAAGAAAATATCGTATATTAAGCCGAAACTTTACAGTAAATTTATAATGGTCTCCAATATACGTGTAAATGCATTGGCAGTCAAATAAAAACTATTTGTAAAATTTGAATTCCGCACAAATGCGACTTCACAGAAAAAAATATTTATTATTACATTTATTAAGTAGAAAATAAGTTAAAATCTAATTGTATTTTTAAATTAAATGAAATTTGTTGTATCTTTTTTAGAATGACAATTATAAAAATATAGGTTATTATTCAAATTAAAGGAAACTAATTTTATCGACGCATATCATATATTCATAGGAAAAAAATTTCCTTTATTATGCGATCAAATAATTTTCTCATTCTTTCACTGAACAATCATAGTGATGTGTCCCCTTATAGAATTATATTCTTTGAAACTTACCTTAAAAACTGAACTTGACGATTTTTTTAAATCAAAGAGTAAAAAATTTTAATATACTTGTTTTCCTAAGAAAATGTAATGAGAAAAATACATAATTATTCGAAAAAATAGAGAATACATATGCTTTACATTGAATTACTATAAATAAGATTGATGGTAAATCAAAATTAGCTTTAAAAAATAAAACTCACAGCAGGTAGTGATAATTTCAATAAAAAATAATACAATTTTTAAAAAAAATATATCAATCTAGTTAATAAAAATAAATAAATAAACTATTAGAAAACTCTGGATAAATGTAGTTAAATAGCAATTTATTTAATTGTTATTTTACCTTAATCTACGAAAGCAGTCAAATAACCATAAAAAAAAGGATATTCAAACTTTTAAATGTAAGCGTTTATTGATTGCTTTTACCCAATACGGTTTAACAACCGGAATTCTATCCACGCCAACTAGACCCAAATTTCGAAACTATTTTGTCCCGTGCAGTTGGGTACGTGCAACAGCTGAGAGAGCTAATCGGTCAATCTCATGACCAGTTGAACAGGGTTCGATTCCCAGCATTCTTACCACAATATTTCTTTTATTCCTTCAATACATAAAAAGTTTCTACTGTACTGCACTGCTCAATCGGTAACCTTAGACTATTAAAATACGAAACTATATTTAACACATAGATGGCGCAGCAGCCAGAACTCCAATGTAGTATAAGTTTTATTTCTATAGTTTAGAAACTATGCTAGTTTAACTATGCAATATTTTAAAAGAATGGTTACAAAACCCTATTGTTCTGTATTTGCGGATTTTTAACTGTACCAGTTGTATACGGTTTCAAAACCGTAAAGGTAAAAAAAGGTTTTTAACAGTAAGCTGTATGAATAATCAGAAAGATTATTTTACCGTCATTTCATAATAAAAATTCTAAAAGTATAAGCAAATATAGATACATCAATATTACTTTAAATTACTTAAAATCTAATTCACAATAGTTTAAAAAAGTAAAAAATCAATTTAAATCGTAGTTTGCAAAAATTCTAATGAAAAAAAATAAACAAATTTTTTGAAATAATGAAATATTTTATTATAAAATCAATTTGGCACAAATTAAATGCATATTTCTTAACAAAAACGTGTTTCATTTCAGCTTATATTTTAAAATTGCCTTAAATCGAATAGCTCACTACACATAATAGTTTTATCTAGTTATCAAAACAATATTTGTTTTGCTAAAGCAACCGATGATAAACGTAGAATTAAATTTAGACACCTAATTTTAAAGTAATAGCACCGATAATCAGTATTGGCATTCAGACACTGACAGCTTAAGTAAGGACATATTGCACACCGATATGCATTCTGTTGAAAATTCATTGATACATTACACCCTGTAGCAATATTTAGGAAGCCTTAGCATCGATTAAATGCCACGTGTAATAGCCATGCAGTCCCTGCTCTGATCAGAATCTTCGCCGCGGAATTCCGGAGTGCAATTTACGGGTGTGTCACTAATTTGAGCCTAAAAGCACGATACATCAGTGACCTAAATCAATATCAAGAGAGGTTAAATATATATATACTCACATTTATTATTACATTAAGAATGGCAACGTATGAACGATCGTGTATAAATTCGATAATGAAATTTGAATGTTTACTTTTTTTGAAAAATGCAAGATAGATATAAGGAAAAATTAATGAAGTTATTACAGTCTAAAAATTATAAAATTTCATCGTTATTTTGTGTTTAAGAAAAGAATTAATCTAATTGGCCCCTCGAGTTTTTGCCACTGTGCTGTCACTACACTGTAACCGACAGGATGAACAATTTAATGATTAAGATGAAAATAAAGAAATAATAACTAATATCTATAAAACTTATTCTAAAAAGTGTTTTTTAAGCTTGTGTTATTTAAATACTAGTTTCATTTGTGTTGTTTTCTTTATTTACCTGAGTGTAGTCAAGTCATGACTTCTAAAAAAAGCACTATTATTTTCTAAATCTCAGAAGAAAAAATTAAAAACATCAACTGAAACCTATTAACGCATCAGACAAAAAGTCCTGATACTAGATACTGAAAGAATTTTTAAAAAAAGTTCAGTCGAACAAATAAAAGTTCTTGGTAAGACTGAAATAAAGGTTTTCAACTATTAGAAAATTTAAATATATGTTACTTAAAGAAAAATATTATCGTGAATTGCAATGGAAACTCTACTTTCGTTTTTTCTTTTCTAAAATCTCTGTTCAAAACAAATTGCACCTACATTTTTCTTTTGCTAATGTAAAAAATAAGTCTTCCAATATATGAGAAAATCTCAAAGAACATTTCTAACACTATTTATTTCACTTCTACATCAAACCAAATAACAAAACATCGGTGTTTCATCTGGCACAATTGGTGTTGCCAATCCCTATACAACAAAAAACCTTTTCCAGAGAGAATTGAATTCAACTCCAATAAAATCGTCTGCCTGTCATAAGTGTTACAACGAAAGACGTAAGATGCTTCCCAGAAACTTTCCCTTTTCATAGGAACTTTTTTCCCTTCTTCTTTTCAGAATTAATGGTTTCTGACATATCTGTTAACGTCTTTTACGTGTCATACCATTCATTCTTGAATCAAAAGAGAAGCAAAAGAACCAGCAGCATCCTTTTGTTCGTCCGAGTAAACATGAGCATTCCACTAAAGGTTCCAATAATGAGATTTTTCCTTTTTTATTGCAGAACCTTCAGCATCTCCGAGAGGAGTACGCATAACGGAAATCACCAGTCGCTCAACTAGAGTGTCTTGGCAACCCCCTTTGCCCAGCAACAGCCACGTCCTCAAATATCACGTCCGATACTGGAAGAATGGAGGTAATTGCATTCTTTTCTCAATTCTCTTCTCTTCACTTCATTTTAGAGCGTTTCAAAATCGTTTGCAAGAATTTACAATGAAAGCGTAAATCTAAGAAATGCTTTTGAAAAATCAAATTTGTTTTCTTCTTTTCTTAGATCATTTTTTATTCTTTAAAAATGATTCTGGCAGAAAATACTTCTTTTAAATACTGTTTTAGAGAAAACTTCTAACGTGAGAGAAAGCTTCTTATTATCTAACGTGAAAAAATATGGTATCTTCTTTTAATTTTTTTCATAACAAAAGAAATATGAAAAAAATTAAATCCACATAAGTAACCAATTTAAAAAGAATAAATCTTTAGACTCTTTTATTGTTAAATTAAAATAATACTTTCTCCCTAGAAGTTTTGTTTTCTAGAAAGAAGATCACCACAATTTTTAAATCGATACAAAATATCTTTAGAACTCGTTTTTTTTTCTAACTGCCTTCCATAAATAATCCGGTAGAATATCATATTTTTTTTAACTAATTATAAAAGAGATTTCTTTTTGAGTTTAAAATATGTTTTATGGAAAATTAATCCTCAGACTATTTTTTTCTTTTGTCTTATTAGTGTTTTTACTCGTATTTTAAACAGGGTGACCTAAATTAAACGGATGGTTTTCAAAAATTTACAAAAAAAGTTACAGTTAAAGAAAAAATTTCAAGAAATTCGCGTGACAGGGAATAGATATTTTCTCTCAGATATCTTGGTTTTAGTCCTAAAATTATCCCACAAATAACGCAGGAATCCTTTTTTTCCATTTAATCCTATATTTTATTTTGATAAATTCAAGTTTTATCTGCCGTTTATAGCATGTGCTTATGGCTGATGGTTGACATTTCGAAGAAAAATCGTAATGTGATTTGCATTTATTCAAAAATTTCAAAAATTCGTGATGTCGATCGTTTTCTTTGATTTTCAAGTTAACTACCTGCAGCGGCATTAGACACAAAAACAATTTGAATTAAGAACATGAACTCTGTCGATCTAATTTAAGAAACCCTGATTGTATTAATTTATCAGTTATTCCATTCCTTTTCCTGATATGTTTAAAACACATCTCTGTATTTAGAATATATTTAACTAATTGTTAAATTACTATTGAAATATTATTAATAAAATTAACTATTAACATATTAAACTCTATAAATCGTTGCTTTCGTATCCATTATCAGCTCACTCTAAAATTGCATTTTAATTTCCGAAAAAATTAAAACGTTTAGAAGATAAAAGGGAAATATCTTAAAATTTTCATACTCTTTAACTAATTTTTTTCTCAAAATATCTATTTAACTATATTTGAGATGCTTCAAAGTAACACAACTGTTAATGTGAAGGACTCAGGTTCAAACCTTAGTGATGGCTTGAAGTCTACTCCACTTTAGAAAGATGGGAACCAGCTTGCCTCAGAAGAAAAGGTGGCTTATAAGGAATGTTGCCCACATTGCCGAAGTCTTGACACGAAACTGTAATTCCTTAAGTCACTGGCCCAAAATTAGCTATTTTAGGAGTGTTTGGTGAAATATTTTTATTGAGGTTTGAGGTTGGGTGACATTCTAATTAAGTATCATGTTAGCATAGAGCTAGTAGCAAGTATTATCATACTTTTTAAATTTGGATTTTATAAAGCTATGATAAATAATTTATTTTTTATAAATGAATAACATTATTTTCTTGTATTTATTAAATCCTTGATAAAACTACAGCCCTAATTATAAAGTTTTTAGATACCTTATGCAAAATTTCAAAGTCTCGTGAAAGTTTTAATCAGAAGGAAGCACTCTCCGATTTAAATATTTACCTGAAGTGAGCCAAAAAGATTTATGAAAAAAATTAGAAGCAGTTATTTACTTACGTTGATTCAACTGAATTTGTTAAATCACTATGCTATATCAACTTAATCTGGGAATTATGTTAACTTTCAAACATACAAGGTTATTGGCATAATTAGAATCGTTTTTAAAAATATTAACAGTCTGTCTCAAAACTTAAAGCAATTCGCTAATATCTAGCATTTCAATTTAAAAATATATGGCACAATAATACGAAAATTCTTAAGTTATAATCTAATTGGAATGTTATCAAAATATTTTTGTTAGTTAAAATGGATTTTATTACTTAATATTATGATTTTTTAAAAAAATCGATTAAAATGACTATTTCAGAAATTTTAACATTTTAAGAATTTCTTAATAAATCTAAGATTGATGGGATAAAGAGGCTATTTCCTGGAAAGCATGAAAGCAATCAGGTTATTTATAATCAAGTGCTCTGACACTCATAATACCGAAAGTTCGCAAAAAAATAATAAATTTTTATAAATTAAAATGGAAAAAAAGGGGTCTTTCTGAATTTTCTAGCATTTTAAATAGATCAAAGGGTAGTTTCTGTGAAGTGTTGAAGAAAAAAAATTATTTCGCCCGAAAAGTAAGATCGACCACGTACAACGAAGTGCTCAGAATGATAGGCATATTTAGAGATTATTATCAAAGCAAAATATTACAATTTGCAAAATAAAAAGCACGATTGGTGTAGAAGTGTCTAAGGACACCATTCATAGACGTATTCGAGAATGCAAATATATCATTTTGAAAAATATTTCGCTGCAAGTCATGTCTTAAACTATATCATGAACTGAAAGATCAAAACTGAAAGATCTGGGCAAAAAATCACATGTCGAATGACAATAAATAGTTATCTGCACTATTCAGTAATGAGAAAAAATAGAACTTAGGATGTCCTGACTGCTAGAACATATATTGGCATGACCTTCAAAATAAGCCAAGGAATTTTGCTGCTTTTTAAAGCAGCAAGGAGGCAAAAATCTACTGGTGTAAGGAGCATTTTGAATTAATGGACAGATATTCCTGCATTTTCTTAATGTTAAACACACATCTGAAACGTATTTAGATAGACTACAGACAACATTCATTAATTCATAATTATTATGTTAATTAGCAATAATAATAATTAATAATTATAATAATTAATAGTAATAATTAATAATAATTAATAATTTTTATAATAATTAATAATAATTAATAATTTTCATAATAATTAATAATAATTATAATAATTGTGATAATTAATAATTATTATAATAATNCATTAAAATAAATTTGAATTCAAATAAATGACATGTAATTCGTTAAACCTATTAGAAATGTGCTATAGTATAATTCGTGATATAAATCAAAATTCGTCATATCTAAATTCGCGAAAAAAAGCGCTTTCGACAAAATACTAAAATAGAGATCTATCGACAAAGATTACTCACTTCTGCCTAGCTTAATAGTATGAGATTGTCGCAGCTGATAGGGTGAATTTCGGAAGAGATCACATTTGATGCGAATGCTCTCTCTGGTTATTTCGTTGTTGTTGAGCCACCTCAGCTAGATTTGGCATGTGACATTTTTAGCGGCAATCATTGGTCGATTTTCTAGCGTTGCCATTCGGGAAGTTGTAATGAGGCTTTTTTTGTAGCTGTGTAAGAGAAATATATATATAGATTTTCTTAATGTTAGACGCACATCTGAAATGTATTTAGATTGACTCCGGCAACATTCCTTAATAATTAATAATAATAACAATTAATTCATTAATAATTAATAATAATAATAATTAATTCATTAATAATTAATAATAATAATAATAATAATAATTAATTCATTAATAATAATAATTAATTCATTTATAATTAATTATAATAATAGTTAATTCATTAATAATTAATAACAATAACTAATTAATAATATTCAATAATAATAAATTCATTGAAAAAATGAATATTATGTTGTTAAGAATAATGGGGAATCAATATCCAAGTAAGATTATTTCGATGCAGACTTACTACACAGGGTGGCCACAAATTGAAAATTTTTGAAACGAAAATTTTCAATCCTGTATTATTTATCTTAAGATTCAATAAAATTAAGGTAATAATTTCGAAGAGTTTAAGGTATTAATGATAAATACATCTCTGAAATATATTAAATTATGAACAAAAGTTATTGTTAGCTTAATAGTTAACGTAAGATTTTCACAGAATTTTTTAATGGGATACCTGAAGCAACATCATTGTAGATAAATCGTGGCATTCGCTGATGCCACGATTCAGATGCCTATCAGATTCAACACACGCACTTAATGTCGCGTACAGGTAACCAATTAAATCTAATAAGAAAATTGATTCATCATGGTAATAAACTAAGAGTAACTCCTGTAATGTTAACCCCTCCAAGCACAATCATGTTATTAAGCCAAAATTTCATTTAAATTACAGGGTTAGGCCTAATCACGCGTTCTGCTTCTCGAGTTGAAAGAACTTAATTTAGAATCATCTTCAATTCATGCATTCAATTTATGTATTTTTCAAACCTGCATTATATAGTTTTTTAATAAATTATGTCTTATTTGCAAACATATTATGAACATATTTTATTTCAATCAACTGTCTTTATCATCACAGATATAATCAATGAAAACATTTCTTCATTATTTTCTTCCATTACTTAAATAGAGCTAAGTTTAAACTGAAATAAAAAGAGTAATTTTTTAAATCTAATGAAAACTAATTAATTACTCCTCTGAACTTCTCTTCCACTAAAAATGTTTACAATTTTAAAATCAAAGCATTAGAATTTTTTTTTAAATTATCCAAAAATTATTCATATATTTCACAGTGCTTAAACATTTAATTATTATTATTTTAAGAGCATACTCTTTTTGTTTATTCTTCCCCTCTCAAATAATTCACTAAAATTATTCACCTATTTTATGGTATTTCAACAGTTTCCTTTTGTACAAATGTATTCTTTTTGTTCATTTCTTGTACTCCGAAATAATAATTTTATCGATAACTTGATGTCTTGATCCACAAAGTCTTTTGAAGATATTCCCAGAGAGCCCAATCGATGACAAACTAAATTCCGATGACAATATCTGCAGACGAAAACCGAACACAACAGCATTAACATATGAAAGACGAAATTTGATGACGCACAAACACCTGAGGGTGACATTTCCTATTTCCATCAGGAAAAGGGAGGAAGGAAACTCCGGGAAAAGAGTGCATGGGAAAGGACATTCAGTCCCGTTTCCAGGAATATCTCCACTCAACCGTAAACAAGTTTCTTCCACCAAGTGTCTTTCTGTTGTAAAGGAACTTTTCCTAAAAAGAGCGCCTGGCTTTTCAGCTCTAAGTTAGGAGGGAATGAACCGGAATTTCTTGCCTTTTTCTTTCTAGTTCCTAATAGTTAGGTTGTGCGGAAATGTGATGTTTTGGAATTAGGTAAAGCCTTTGAAAGTGGATAAAAATAATTACACTTCCCTTTGGAGTAATTGAAAAGAATTCGAACGTGCTTATTGATTTTTGGTTTCAGTACTATTTATTTCTAAAAAACTGTTATTAAGGAATTAAATGTACCATTTTGAAACTGTTTTAAAACTTTAACTGTTAGTCTTTATGCTTTTTCCTTATTTGTTTTTATTCGTACAATTCAGCTGCCTACCTTCCCTATAACAATTCGAAATCCTTTTAATTCAACTATAATGTTTCTCCTTATTTTTAATACATGCAAAATAAGCTACATCAATGCAATATTTGCTATTCAATTCACATTTATCAATCTAATTTATATCGATAAACAAACATTGATTGCTAATAAATAACTGTTATAAACAATCATTATAAATATCGATTGATAAATATATTAATTATATAACATCCCATTAATTATACATGGCAAATGCGTCTTAATTATTTGGATAAGGCGGGCCTGTACATACTTCATTTCGTGCTTATTTTACCGGTTAAAAGTATTCATAATTCCAATGCATTCAATTGCATCTAAATTCAATTGCATTCAAAATGATTTAACTTCCTAGACAGAGCCTTGGTGGCTCAAGGGACAGAGAGTTCGCATTCCAATGAAGTGATGTCGGTTCGAATCTCAGCGATGGCTGTTGATACGAATTCAGCTCCTTCTCACTCCAACCACAGTGCTCACGTAAAATACCCTCAGTGGTAAAATGATCATGGGTTAGAATCCTCAAACCGTTAAGCTAACCGTGGAGGTTTTTATGGTAAAGTCGCCTCCGTGTAATGCAAATGCGGTTTAGTTCTACCAAAAGGTCTTCCATAAATGCTAGTTTCTCCCAATGCTTGATTCAGGAGTTCCCCTATCTTCTAGATCTTCTAGATTGGGTTTAAAATTACAAGGCTACTGAGTTATAACATTGGCAGTCATAAATTCAGAATCGGTAAATAAAATAAAATAACTTTCTAATCACTTGGCAGTTGTAATAGTTGTGTTTGTTTATAATAGCATTTTTTCGTGTCATTCATTCTTTATATATTTCACGATAATGTTACACTTATTTTAAAATTTAGCCGCGATATTTTGCTCCCACGAGATTTTCCCCCTGATTTTCTGGCAGTGAGATTTTGCTCCTAAACCATTGTAACTTCCAAAACTGCATCTATTCATTTCTGTATCAAACATAATTAGTAAAAAAAAGCTAATATATCTCTTAGTCCACGTCTAAAGAAATAAATTTAGACCAAAGTTTTGGTTGCTGCATCATAGACGAAATCATCTGCTAGAGATCAGCTCATGTGATTTAAATAGCATTCGATCCGAAGTTTTAAAGCAAATTAATAATGAAATGCCCCAATTTTGTGGGGTGATAACACTTTCTAACTGGAGTTTCTAAAAGCATTTCAAAGAGTTAACTACAAAATCATGCTTTGTACACTTAATCATGCAATGAACTATGTCCCTCTTCATTTGAATAAAAGATTATATGCAAGCGAAAATTTTTATTTTTTAATGTATTTTTTGGAAAAATGGGCGTATTCAAATAAACGAAATCAAAAATATACTAATATTTAGTAAAATGTAATGTTTTAAAATCATGTGCATAAACCCATTATTAAAGGTGTGCTGAATAAAAATTGGTGAACTCCATTTTAAAGAAAGTTAGGTCGAAGTAGTGAAAACCTCGCAAATCCTAATGAAATTGAATGTCGTTAGAACTCGATAAAAGTTCAATATACTTACCTTCATACACAGCTCATATTACTCTAATAATGTTTTTTAGTGGGCAAAATGCGTAATAAATCAGTTTCTTGAAGTTAATAGTTATCAATCTATAATTAGTGGTATCTTATGAAGATAAACTTTTAATCCATTATACTTTAGTAAAGATAACTTTTCACTCCATTTAAAAATCTTTTGGACTACTTTAACCTGCAACGTACTTAAATTGTTGCTTTTCTTCAAACAAAATAATATTTAAAAAAATATATATATAATACAATTCAACTAGTTTGAAACCAAATTAATCATTTATGTATTAAGTATAATGGAGTTATAAAAATACTAAGATAATCAATATAGTAGTTTTTTGAAATTCATTGTAACACTTGGATCATTGGATGGAAATTAATAAACTGTATAAATTAATGAATGCATTAAACGAAGTTTTTTTAGTGTATTAAAGAAACATCAATTTTCTCTTTCTACCTGAAAAATAAAATATCCAGTTATGTTATATGTATAATTTTGTTACCATTTTCATACTATTTTCATTATTCAAGATCAGAATAAAAGACTTTTCATTCTATTTTTAAAGTACGTTAAGCCAACAATTCCCGTAATTATCGCAAATATTTTAAAGCATCAAATTTACTCATTGTTTAAAGTGATATATAAATCAAGCTCGTGATAAAAAAAAGTATGAAGCTACTAAATAATAACCCACTATGGAATAACTCAAAAATGTGATTCACTATGGCACATTTCATTACAGGAGCAACTGGTAAACAACTTCATCAAGTGGTTCTGGGAGGTAGCGAACTGGCCACTTATTTGGAGAATCTCCATCCGGGCACTTCATACTCTGTCCAAGTGCTCGCAGAAAATGGTGTTGGACTGAGTGAACCCTCTCAAGCGAGACAACTTCAAACAAAAGAAGAAGGTAGGGTATACAATATATATANTATATATATATATATATACAGTTTTAGTTTATTAGTACATTTTAATTTAAGTTATACTATTATTTTAATAATTTAGAATATTAGAAACACAAATCAAGTATCTTAGCAAAACAGCATTTCATCAGGAGACACACTGTCTGCTAACACACAGGAGCCTTTCTGTCGTCAGTGGTAATACCAAAAGCTGACTGTGACCGAGGCCCCATACTGAATAAACTAAATAAGGAAAAGGAATTAAAAATTCAAAAATTGAAATGTAAATGCAATGAAAAACAAATGATACACAAACACAAGTCAAAAGTACACAGAGTAAGAACTAATAATGAAACCGCCACATTATTTTAATTTAAGTTTAATTCAAATTTTAATTTAAGGTTGACCAACATTTTAATTTAAATTTTACTTATATTTTAACTTAAGTTTTATTAATATTTTACTTAATTTCAGCTTCTTTATTTATTTAGTTTAAACGTGTATTAGTATTTTAATTTAATTACAAATTTCGATAATGTTTAAATTGGATTAATTGTTGCTTACATTTAACTTAAATTTTTATGTAATGATTTATTTTTTCAAATTTTAAATAATGGCCAAATTTAATTTTAAATTTTTGCATGAATTGAGTTTTTATTGCATCGAAAATAAACATCCAAAAATATTGTTCAACATTGGAATAATCATTCAGATAAAAAGATGAAATATATGGTGATAATCACAATTCCAAATGGTGATTTTCTTCCATTAAATACACATACCTCAAAATTACTTTTTGTAATAGAACTCTGAGAATGAAAGATCAACCTTTTACTTAAAATAATTGCTTGCATTGATGACATTCCAGAAATAAATACATTTTCGCTGCATATACCAAATTAGGAAATTCCACTTCTAACGACGCCTTAGAGAAACGTGGTGCAGAAGCCGTAAAAGCTCCACCATTAAGAAAGTGAAAATAAATGTAATATAATACGATATATTCCAGAGATTTCGAACGATTAAGTTAAAGAATAAAGGAGTAAAAATAATCGTTCGTAAAGTAACTCTCGGTAGAGTTAATTAAACCATTTATCACCTCGCGCAGCGGTGATTCTCGCTCACTATCAGCCTTTAGTTCCTAACGTCGTTGTTTTTCTGCAAAGGAAGTGGCCTTGTTGGGAAACAACTTTTACAGAAAAGTAATAACCTGTCATGGGTAGGTTTAGTTTCTCACAGAAAGCAATTGTTAGAAATTATGATTAATGAACTGAAAATAGAAACTAAAACATGGGAGTTACTTTTTTTTAAATTACAGAAAAAACGTTCTTATAATTTTCGAGACAAGCAGTTCTGTTATTTGTTTTGAGAAAAATAATAGTTCCGTTTTTAATATTTTTCCCTCTAATGAATCTTTTCATATGTCGTGTAAACATAAAGAATTAAGAATAGTTTTTCATAACGAAAATGAGAGGCGTTAAGTTTCAAAATCAACTCAGATAGTTTCAAAAATCTGTACAATAATGAATTTTACGAAATTGGTTCGATCCGTTTGAAACAAACAAAGTTTTTTGTTTTTACTAAAATTTTTATGTGCACCTGGAAATTTATAAAATATTTTAGGCTAAGTTGATTTTAATACGAATAATTTTTGCGTCCTCTAATTTGATCTGAAAAATAAAGTATGGTTTAAATGTATATTTAAAAACTAATATAAGGCAAACCTATTTTTTTTCTAAAAATATTTTTTATATTTTTTTTTCAATATTTAGTTATTTAAATTGATCTAGAAAGACAAAAAAATAAAGTTTAGTTAAAAGTCTTAGAAAACTATATAGTATAAGTTATTGTTAAAATCTATTAATTTTGCCGAAGTTCGTTACAATTACAGGCACTTATACTTCTTCTCAACGAAAAGAGCCAACCATATAAATTGATGCTCCATAAAAATTTAGCTCCATTCTTCAAATTTTTGGAAAATTTCACAAGCGTGTGTACTTTTCAAAATGCTTTCCTTTTGATTCAATCACATATCAAGTGGCTCATAGGGTAGAGCGTTCATCTCCCAATGAGGTGACCCAGGTTCGCATCTCAGCCTTGGCTGGTTGTTACGAATTTTGCTCCCGGCTCGCACCAACCACAGTGCTGATCTAAAATATCCGCAGTAATAAACGGATCAAGGGTAAGAATAACCTGCCCCACGGATATCCGTGGGAGGTTTTAGAGGTTCTCTTTTCCCTGTAACACAAATATGTGTTAGTTAAATCAAAAATCCTACACGAAGGATAGTTTGTTCTATTTCTTGATCCAGGATTTCTCTTGTCTTCTGTGTTTTGTTCAAAATTACAAAAGGATATGCAGTTGAACAATGATAGTCCTAAACTCAGAAACGAGTTGGATGCTCAACGCCGGTAATAAAACAATATAAAATCACTTACCAAAATCTTATCATAAGACTATTAGTAGCTTCCCGTCAAAACCTTTTGAATAATTTTCCGTTTCGCAACGCCTCTTAATTGATTTATTCATTATTAGAGTATTTTTGTAAGCATGGTAAATTAAGTACTCTGATTTTTTTTTGTTTATTTGAAACAAAAACTAAGCAAAATATATCCGAATCACTTCAAGCAATACGATGAAAATTTACTCAAATAGCAAGAGAAAATAGAACAATCTTTTAAATTGCCAACAAATATACTTTCTTTACTAACGCACTATTCACAAATGTATTGAAAAATCTTTCATTTGTTATTAGAACAATTTTTGATCTATTTAATAAGAAAGTTAAATTTATTGCAGACTATTTAATTAAAAATACATTTTACGCGCAATTTTTATTTAAATAACTGCAAAAATTATATATACACGCATTCAATATGAATCTTCAAATTCCCCCCTCACATTTACAAAACATTAAAAGCGCAAATATTTTCCACCTATCGCCATTCATCTTTCACTCTGCCTCAGGTAATCATTTACCCATGAAAGAATCTGTATAATTGATAAAATGACAGATTTCTCTTCCCGTTTCAACATATCCATTTATTTTCAGTGAATAAACCAACACGCGAAAGGAAGGGAGAGGATGCCCGGAGAGAATTAAATTATGCATTTTGTGTGGGCGAAACGCTTTCGAGAATTGCAATGCACACACAGAGAAATCACGTGCATTAAGCTACTCATAAAACCTCAACGGCCTTAATGGAACCTCGCTTAGTTTTGTAAAGCGTCAAAATTGCCTTCCTCGCAGCCATGTTTACGATTAACCTTTTTCACTACAAAAGTGATACTACGAAATAATATTTGAAATTGCTAAGCAGTAGTTTGAAAATATTCCACAAAGCTCTGTTGTAATTTGGTATGCAATGAAGTTATTCAAAGAAAAACTGTAAAAAAATATTCGTTTCGAAATTTTTGAAAAATACTCAAATAATTTTTGACATAACCATTGCTCCTAGTGAATATTTGACCTTGATTATACGATGTATCGAAATAACTTTCAAACTTTATTAGTCTAAAGATGCGAGTTCCGTCAAAATCATGAACTCCCAGATGACAGATGAATAAAATAACACGCTGGAGGAAATGCGGTTTCGTCAAATATTTGAGAGTTCGAGTTTCGTCAATGGCATGATTCACGACAAAATAAATGCTAAAAGTAACGAAATATAGCTCAAGAACCGTTAAATTTTCGAAATTGGAGAGTTTTCTTTTTGGGAGTTTTTGTAACAAAAATTATTTTCGCTTAAAGTAAAAAATATCTACAAAAAAATATTTACAATTGGATCATTTGTATATGATATAGTAAGTCACAAAACTAATTCTTCATCAAAACATCAAAATCGAAATTATCAATCAATCAATCGTCTTAATCAAGACAACCATGTCAAGCATACAATTTATAAGAGATAACTGAACACAGCATTTTACATTTTTAGAAGAAAAAAAACTTGAATGCATAAATAAAGTAAATACTTTAATTCAAACTTTAATCAGGCAATAGCAATTTTATTGCTATGCATATTTTTTATTATTTTTATACAAATTTCGTATTCGTTCATCATTTTTCAAAAAAGAGGAAAATATAGTACTTAATTCAAAAGTTGTTATAAAAATCTTAAATTTTTCACTAAAATTAAAAATGTTATTAATTTTATATCTGTACTAATACCCATGTATTAAAGTACGAAAAACCATAGGATTATACTAGCATCTTGGGAGGAAAACTATTTTCTCAATTTGTTTTCTTTAGTTCCTCAGTCATTCTCATATTTTTTTTAATCATTTTTATCTTTTTAAAAATCAAAAATATCAAGATCCTTTTCCTTTTCCCATTCATCCCGTATTATTAGCCTTAGGATAAATATCCTCCGTCATAATAAAAGCAAATTGACGCAGTCTCGTAAAAAAGTCGTAAAAATACGGTAACTTCGAACATTTTTACGATGCAGCGACACTTTCCAAAGCAACAGCCTGTTTGTACGACGTCTGTTTAACTTAGCATACCCTTTTCTGATACCACACCTATAAAGTAACGGGAGATAAATATGGCTCTAGGTTTTTAATTAGTTTTTCGTTAAGTGGCAATATCTCGGCATATGGAAATGCGCTGTTATGTTCTATTTACTGCAATAAATTTTCATCATTTGCAATTAAATATATTATTAAAATTTTTCAAATTAAATTCTTATATCATTCTCAAATAATAATTCGAAGTAAATATGAGTTGCATGTGCTGAAAATACTTGAGTAGGAACGAACTATTTAAAGATTTTATGTAATTACAGGGAATTTAATTTGAAACACTCACTGTAAAGAAAAAAAAACAGATCAAATTACGCTAAAAAGTACTGTCACTCAAGTTTCCGTTACTTTTCACCCTAAAATCCACTTTTACAGGAAAATTTTATGGAGCAAAAAGTCTGATGTACCGTAATTTTTACAGCAATAGTTACCTTAAAATCACTGAATCACTGTAAGTAAATAAATATTTCTGTAAAAATTATGTTAAATACCTTACAGTAGAAAAATAGTTTGTGGTAAAAATAGATTTTACGGTAAAATAGACTTTTTGGGATAAAGCACAATTAGTGCTGGTACTTTATACCGTAATTTTAACCAGAATTTTTTACAGTGTCCGAGACCTGTTTAGTTACTTATGTAACGTTTAAACCTTTTTACCTATAACTGAATTAACATCGAAACTAATAGTTTTTCTTTATTGATTAACTTCAAGTTGTAAAGCTTTTCAAGCACTAAATATTTGCATACCTGCCAACATTTAATCCTTTCAAGGATGATTTTCCCCAGTGGTAGTAAATTTAAATTTAAAATGCAATTTTAGGCTGCAACATTCGCGGTATTTTGAACAAGCTTATGCGGATTAATATAATAGTATTACATATTATTATATATGCTTAATTTTTAAAAAAATAGTGGTGGATTAAAAAAATTATAAATTAAGTTTATAAATGCAAGGAATATATAGAAAGCATATATTTTGCTACCACTTTAAATATAGAAATAAAATTTTACGCCAAATGCGTAAAAGTTGGCAGGTATGTATTTGGAATTTACTAAATTAGTTAACTTTTAATGTCCATAACAACAAATAATAATGACTAAGTTATCCAAAATATGGGATAATTGTTTTACTTTTTAAATAATTCAATAAAATTAAAATGTAAATGAGTATTATGTAAGATGAATATTTCTATATATATATTGTTCAGATTCTGCTCCATATCCAATTTTAATTACTTATTACTTTGTTATTATACTTTGAAGTATATTCAGATTATCTCATGTGACATTAAAATATACGTCATACAACATTATATGATAAAGTTACCTTATATGACGTTCATGTGACATTGTATGACAAAGTTACCTCTAATAACATTCATGTGATATTATGTGATAAAATGACCTCATATGGCATTATATGATAGAGTTACCTTATATGTCATTAGTTTTTATTATTTTTTATACTAAAATTCAATGTAATGGTGATTTTAAATATGATTACAGCTCCTAGTGCTGCTCCAACTGATGTTCACGCCCACTCAATAGGATCAAAATTAATAGAAATTACCTGGAAGGTAAGTTTGTTTTTAATATGAATTTAGATCTGAAGATCATGTTAAATATCATTTTAGTTAATTTGTTAAAATCAAATTTAAATTTAGAATCTGTTTACAAAAATGCTATTTCCCGTTTAAAATTATGTTACAAATAAAGTAAAACAAATAAATTAATATTCTGCACTTATTGCCAATCTAAATGTGCTCTTAATCTTAAAAAACTGAATGTTTCGAAATTTCACTTAATATATTCCTTATTTAGATTTTGTATTGCGAAAGTCTTTCGGCAAAGTATTTTAATACGCTTTGTTGATTAAAAAAATTGTAAATGAGGGAATCAAAAAATAAGGAAAAACTAGCTTTTATAAAAACTATCAAAATGAGTGCTCCATGATATTTTTATATAATTCTCATCTAATAAACATTTTCTTATTTTATGACCGTCGTTGAACAGCCGACCCAATTTTTGGGTTTTACGACTACTAATGTTCACCTCCATTGCCTTGTAATTTTGAACCTAATTCAGAAAACAGGGGGACTCCTGGATCATTGAGAGAAATTCAATTTTCGGTGGAACTAACCCGCATTTTCGTTACACGGAGAGGAAATCCACGAAAACCTACACGGTTAGCCCAATGATAAGTGGACTCTAATCCATGATCTGTCTACCACTGAGGATATTTTTACGTCAGCACTGTGCTCGGTGCGATCCGGGTGCGGTATTCGTATCGACCAGTCATTGCTGGGATTTGAACCCGGTTCACCTCATTGGAAAGTGAGCACTCTATCCCCTGAGCCACCACGGCTCCATCTAATAAATTGTTTTTCTTTTAAATAATCAATTCTTTATATATTTTTTTCATATATTCAATTGGTAATGGGTCGAATTTTCGCTGCCGAAACTTCGCCGAACAAAGCTTCGCAGACAAAACTTCACGTAAACAAAACTTCGCGAGGACAAAACTACGCTGGGACAAATTATAAAATTAATTAACATTAAATTATAATTAATTTATTTAATAACTTTGTTGGAAAATATTTTATAGATTATATAATTTTAATAAATTTAAATTCATAATTAACTTAATTAATTAGGAATATTTTGAAACAGGAATATTTTAAACATGAATATATTAGACATGAATATATTAAATAAATGATTTTTTATACTTTTTTATTTTGATTTAAAAACTAGAATGAAAAACGCTTAATGTAAGTGTAGAAAATTTTAGGTTTTAAAGCTTCAAATTCATAAATAATTTAGCTTCAATAAAATAAAAATATCAAATTTTTAAAAAAAAATAATAATAATTTTTCATTTAATAATTTACCTGCCAATTTTCCAAACATTAATTAAAAACAACCAGAAAATTTTATGTCTGCAGACATTTCTTTCTTCAACAATTTCATTAATTCAAATTCCACTAGATTTTAAAGCGTTGCAAACAAATACCAATTTTTTCTGCAAAATAATGCAGAGTAAAACATCAACTTGACCATTAGATGACACTGAAAAAGACTTAAAACTTGAAAATTAAAAAATATGCGGGTGTTACAGCAAAAAGAAGGCGTTGAAAGTGACATGTGATGTGAGGGTCACGTGACCCGCTAGGGCTGTTGAAAATGAAGAAAAAGATTTACGTATATTTTCTTTTTTATAATGACCTATTTTAAATAGTCACTTAATAAAAACGACAATACTATTTAAACGCGAAATGAGATATATATAATTAAAGCAAAAATTAAATTATATTTTATTAATTCATTTATTCGTTCATTCATTTATTTATTTATTCGTTCTTCCACTCAATCATCCACTCTTTCATTCATTCAATTCTTTTCTTACTTCATTCATTCATTAATTCATTTTCTTTCCTTCCTTTCTTCATTCATTCGCTCATTATTTCCAAGACTCATTTATTCATTCCAACATTAATTCATTCATTCATTTATCATTTCATTCATTCATTCAGTCAGTCAGTCATTCATTTATTCATTCATTCATTCATTCCTCCACTCATTTATTCATTCCTCCACTCATTTATTCATTCCTCCACTCATTCATTCCTCCATTAATTTAGTCATTTATTTATGTACCCTTTCATTCACTCACTCATTCATTTTTTCATTCGCTCATTATTTCTCTCATCCATTTATTCATTCATTTCACTATATTCCAGTTCACAAAATTCCTATATTCCAGCTTATTTATTTTCTTTACAGCCACCGCCTGCGGAAACATGGCATGGTGTCTTAAAAGGATACTACTTGGGATATAAAGTGAGTTCCTCTCCATTGGCATATGTCTATCACACGACAACAGATCCAAATGGTAGACGATTCAGAATCAAAGGACTCCAGAAATCAACCACTTATCATGTCGTGGTCAAGGCATACAACAGCGTAGGATCTGGACCTGAATGCCAGCCAATAGAGGTCAAGACACGGGAGAGTGGTAAGTTTTATTGAGTTTCAGTCGCATCCTTCCAGACCAATACATTCCCACTTCACCTTTGACATTAAATGTGGATTCAAATACAAATTCCTTCAATTTATTTTTATTGCAGTGTATTCTACAATAGCCACCTTTAATATATATATTACAATCATTGTCAAAAATGGAAATCAAAAAGTATTCACATTGATTACTTTTACACAAATTACTATTAAGATTAAACTATAAATTAATATTTAAGACAGGAAAAGAATCGCTATCAAAAACAGACAGATCACTATAAAGGAAAGTGGAATGGATGAACATTGAAACCTGTTTGTTTTCTGGAGAAACAGAGAAATGTTGCAGGATGATTATTAGAAACACCTTAAATTTTAACTAATACTCAAGCAGGTTAAGTATCATGCTCAAGCTCTCTTCAATAGCAATTTATCAGATTTCGATAAGCGTTCTATTTTTAATTTACATAATAACTTGCAATCCTTAGTGCTAATACTTTCTTTTACTTCATTTTTGACAGAATTTGTAAAAATGAAAAGTAGTCATTAAAGAACAATGAAGATACATATACATTTTTTATATATATTATCTAATTAATGACAATAGATTTCAGCAGTAGCGTCATATCATACAATTGACAAAAAAATAATAATAAGGGTGCTAGATAAGAATTACAATGCATTTGATTCTCTCACATATTTACCCGTAATGAATATAAATTTAATTTATTTGATTGATCTATTGAGTATAAATTGCATTTAAGCAGTTATTTGTCTACTTAAACTGTTATTCGCATTCAGTGTTGTTATAATCAATATTTCAAAGCATGTTTAAACAATACCAAACAAACAAGTGGTGCATTTTCATAGTAATGTGAAGGAATGTATGCTTTCACTTAGAAATCAATAAATATTATTAAAATTAAAATATATATATATTTAAATGTATATATTTATCTTGTATCTCTCTATCTATTTATCTATCTATCTCAATATATATAGAAAAGCGAGAAAGCGAGGAAAATGATGCAAGATTTTTTTTAAGGGAGAAGAGAAAAATTATTGAAAAATGCTTTTGAAAAATATTCACAAATACAAAAATTGAAAAAATGTTGGAAAATAAAATAAAGGAAAGATATAATCTCGTCATCAGCTCACTCGATTATAACTGCAAAAAATTGTGCTTTCTAATATTGTATTAATATAGCCAAAGCAAAACATATCAATACAATAGTGCTACGAGCACCAAAATTACTTTATTCTTTTTTTTTTAGTTTTTAAATTTGTGAATATTCCTTAAAAACATTTTATAATAATTTTTTTCTTCTCCTTTAAAAATTTTTTAAATCTTATTTCTTGTTTTCTGTATATTTTTAACTTATTTTATGAGTTTTCATGTACTTGCTGCTTATGCGCAGTAAATACAATTTCGTAATATTCTCTTCATTAATTTATTGCATTATTTTCATCATAACTTCTTCCTTTCAGATCCACCATATCCTCCTAGTTTCATAATTACAGACGTTACATCATCCGGAGCTATAGTTCAAATGAAATCGGAAGAAATGTCTCCAGTTTTACGTAAACCCATTTTCTTTTCTCCTTCAATTCATACCTCTCTTTTCTTGCAAAGTTTTTTTGTTTCTTTTCTCTTTTAATATCTTCATGAAGTATTTTCATTCGTTTTGTATGATACTTTCTTGGAAATAACAATAATCATGAATACAAACTCGGAAATTTTAGATCCGGAATATTTTATTAATATGGTCATGATGAAGCATAATATCTTTTAAATTTGGTACTATATTTTTATGGTCTTAGGTTGAACCATATCATCGTGCCAACTAATCCTTCTTAAACTTGATTATACGATAGTAGAAGGAAAAAAAACTCTTGTAAAATTACCATACTGTATAGAAATAATATTTCTGTTATTTTTTTTTTTTTTTTAAATCATTGATCATAAATTTTTTTCGAAAATTTAAATCCATTTAAAAGTCGACAAATTCAATCCTTCATAATTTTCTTGCTTTTTATAGTCTTATTTAAGTCATTTCAAAATATTTTCTTAAAATTCAAAGAGAAACTACGTGACAGTAGAATGTTTAAATAGTACAGTGCGCAAAATAAGAAATAGACCACACTGAATAACTTTTGATGTAATGTGGAGGACTCAATCGTATTAGTTTGAGGCGGTGACCTTAAATATGCTGATTAATTAGTGCAAACGATATTTTAAGTTACAAAATCAGACATAAAAACGTACCTTCTCTAAATAAAAATGCTTTTTTTTTTTTTTTTTTTTTTTTTTTTTTTTTTTTTTTNTTTTTTTTTTTTTTTTTTTACGAATTTGAATTTCTGACCCCCAAAATACAGGGGAATTCTGGGAAATATGGTTCCCATAGCTTGGTCAGGAGAAAGGTTCAAACTTTGGAACCCTTAAAGTTAATTTTATTTTTTGCGTATTTCGCCTATCTCAAGAACTTTTTAAGCGAATTGAAAATTTTTTGCACACAGTTATAATAATCGTTTATCCAAAGATAACTTCATGAAAAATATAACTTTTAATAAATAATTATCATTTTTAATTATTTTATTTAATAATGATCAAAAAATTTTAAATTGTAAAACCTATCATTTTTTTCATAATGTAATGTACAATGTAATTTTACATGGCAAAATACAAAGTTTGAGCAAAATCGGTCGAATAGTTCCTGAGTTTTAAAATTTGAGATCTCTGGAACTATTCTACCGATTTCGCTCAATATTTGTATTTTATCTTATAAAATTATGTTATTTAAAATTATGCAAAATATTATCCACCTTATAATTCAAAATTTCTTGAGCATTATTAAAAAAAATAATAAATATTTATAAATAGCTCTATTTTGCACAGAATTATATTTGGGTAAACTAAATTTAAAATTGTATGCAAAAATATTTTAATGCACTTAAAAAATCTTCAGATATGACAAAATTTGCAAAAAAATAAAATTTTTATTAAGAGGTCCTAACTTTGAACCTCTCTCCTGATCAAACTATGGGGATCATATTTTGGGGGTCAGAAATCCTAATCCGTCGGGAAAAAAAAGCAATGCTTATTCAGATAAAGTACGTTTTTGTGTCTGATTTCGTAACTTAAAATAGCTCCTTCATTAATTAATTAGCATATTTGAAGTCACCCCTCAAATGATTAAGATAGAATCCTAGAACGTGAAGATCCGATAACTAGATCAAAAATCATTCAGGTTGGTCCGCTTTTTATTTTGCACACTGCACATATTTTATCGAAGTAGTTAGTTAAAGAAAGAGTGTTGGAGGAAAATTAACGTAGAAGACTACAGTTGATATGAATCGTTACATTATTTTCTTCGTCTTGAAAGACAGTTGAGCAGAATTATTAGTTTTTAGGATATGAAAAATATCCAATTGAATAGAAAATTCCTTTAGTGTTTTAAAAACGCAAAATCCTCTGTTTATAACTCAAATCTTATTTTATTATACTATATTATTATATGAAATTATCCGCGAGTTGTCTAACACAAAGGCATTTCATCTGAACTATTATTATTATTATTATTATTATTGATTAATTTTAAAAAAAATCAGCATCAGAAAGGTAAGCCATTGGAGTGCCTTAAAACTACCCATGATCTCTCAGATCAAAATTTAATTAAATAGTGTAGGAAAAACAATTAGCATTAAAATTAGGGAGAAATGCATTTTTTTTTTTTTTNTTTTTTTTTTTTTTTTTTTTTTTTGGCTGTTGATTGAAAATTAAGCCAAGTACTAATTGAGGTCAAGGTATTTAAATATTTGGAAAAATATAAAAAAAGAACACGTTACGTTTCATGGTTATCTTGAAATTTAAGGATTCAATGATGTTAAAAAGCTAAGAATTAATTTGCTCTAAGAGAATGCAGACAATTAAAAATTAACAAAAAGTTAGTTCTAACTTAATCTTTTTAAATAAAAGATGCCCATAGTCTATTTGTAAATTTAGGTCTATTCAAAACTGGTAATTTTGGTAAATTTAGTTCCATTCAATAATAATATTTTAGCTGCTTGTATCATTAAATTAAACTGAATAACATATCACGCGAACCCTTTCTTAAAAGATAAAAAATATATATCGTTTTCAGTTTCATACATTAATAATTCTTTTTTTCCCCTTTAACTGAAAGTAAGAAACTCTAATCATGCATGTTTATTACAGAATATATTGTAGAATATCGTCGTCACAATGAAGATTGGAATCCCGTTCACGTACCCCGAGATAAATCGTTCTTCCAGCTCAGTCGTCTAGAAAATTCCATGACATATGAAGTACGATTGGCAGCTTACAACGAACATGGACGAGGGGAGTTTTCTTCTACTTTATCATTCACCACAACAGAGCGAGGTATTTATTTTATTAATACCCAACTTTCATATCCCCTCCTTCATACATTATAACTTCCTTCCTTTCTTTCATAACTCCCATCATTATAACCGATTAGTGGAATTAGAAAAAATATATATATATTTGAATGAGTACGAATAAAATAATTTTTAATAATTATAGTTCATTTCCTAAAATAGTTGAATTAGGAAAAAGCTAAGAATTGTTTTTAATGATTTAGGTTAGATCTAATGTGAAGATATCAACACCCAAGATGAGCTTTATCTGTCATCTTTTTACTAATAAGGAATGGCTGCTAAAGTTCAAAATGAGGGCGAATATCAGATGTTCCTATTGGATCAAAACAAAACAAAACTTTTAAATTAAAGCCAGGCTTTCTATAATTATTTCCATGTTAACATTTTTTTACAGTGGCTAAATTTAATTTTCTTCTTATTTCATTTTCCACAATAGCGTAGCTGATATAATAAAAACTTTCACCTGAGATTTCTAAAAAATAATATAATGGCATAATTTTTGAGTGGCTATTGTTGTACTTTAACTAATGAAAAATATATTTTGTGTATCTTACTACAACATATTTACAATTACTATACATTTTTTGCAGTGGCTAAATTTGGCTTTCTTCTGATTTATTGTCCACATAGCGTAATTAATGCAATAAAAACTTTCACCAGAGATTTGTAAAAAATAATACAATGTTATGATTTTTGAATGGCCCGTGTTGTATTTAAATTAATAAAGAAAAAGAATTATGGATCTAACTACGTTATATTTACAATTACATCACTTTTTTTTTTAAAGAAATTTGCTTATCAGACGGCTATTTTACATCTAATTTTTTCTATTTTCTCTTCTTAATATTCTTGGTATCACTATCACATCAGGGCAAAGAATTCTGTATAACACCTATCTTTTGAGGACTAAATTATAAACTTTAACTAACAACCTACTAATTTTAATTCTTTTCCCCCAGAAACCAACATCGGCTTCCGATCATCAGAAGAAGATATTCCTTTCTATTTTAGACATTATTTTGTGCTTCCTGTAGCAGCCTCCGTAGTCGTCATCGTCACTACAATTGTATTCGCCTGGGTCTGCTACAAAAGGGTTGTATTCAGACAACACAGGCACCTGGGTAAGTTGCTCATGGAATTCAAAAATATAGTAGGGTCCCGATTATCCGAGTTAATGATGACCACGACTAACTCGGATAACCGAAAAACTCGGTTAAAGCGAAAAGTATAAAAAGAGAAAGAAAAAGAGTAAGTTTAAAAGTAATATACTTAACAAATACCAAATTTATACGAGTACACCACGTACAATTCATCTTATAATTAAAAAGCTTACTTAAAGAGCATACTTTCCGAGAAGGAAAGAGTTTTTACTTTAAAAAATCCTTGATCGTTTTTTGTTTTACATTACTTTAACGTTTTTCTGCAACAATGTTTCGCTACTTTTTTAGGGATAACTGGAATGCTGATGTCACCTCTTCTTGTTGTTCTATATATTCAATAGCGCTTTCGATAGCTTTTAGTCCATATGTATGAGAGATTTTTGTATGTTGATTTCAATCGTCACTGTCTTTATCATCTTCGATAGAATTTTTTTCATTGTTGACGATAATAACGATCATTTCATCCGATCAAGCTGTTGGATTTCGTTTTCCTGAGTGTTTGGAAGATAAAATTAGGAATTTTTTTCGGAGATAGTTTTAAAAATAAAAGGTAAACTGGAACAACCACAAAAAATCCTTGAAATATTTGATAGCTCGGTTAAAGTGGAAACTCGGATAATAGTGACTCTAGTGTAATAAAAATCTTCTATCACTTGAACGAGTTCGTTCATAAAACGAATGAATTGAATGTCGCACATTATGAAAATAGCTCTGAAATTAAAACATTATGCGAATAATAAGTATTTTTTAAGTATAAATAACCCCTCATGGTAATTAAAAGGCTTCTTAAGTACATAATTCTTTCTAAAATCCTGTAATAATCTAAATTTAGCATAGTTAGTAAAAATTTTAAATATATTAAATTGAGACCTAGGCACACGTAGCTAAATATTTATTTTTTAATGCCCACCTGGAGAATGACCTTTCGTCATACAGGCATGTGAAGAGCAGATTTGTTGGGCACTCTTTCTGGGGCACCATATTAGGTGGGCCAACGTTGCTCCTATGGTAAGAACACATAGTACAGAGATGGAAAGAACATCCATGCCTTGCCCGGAATTCGAACCCAGAACCTTTCTGATGCAGGGTCAGTTCCCTGACCCTTACACTGGTCGGTCGGCCTAGCTTAATATAAAATGCAGTTTTTCTACAGAATTCAAATATTTTTGAAGTCATTTTACAGACAACGGTAATATTTTAGTGCAATCTTAATTGCAAAAATACTTCAGTCATGTTGCAACTAATGTGAAGTAATATTTAAGTAATTTATTGGAAATAAGTTTTTAGCTATTTGATTCGTTGTAGTTCATATGAGGTCATTTTCAAATCATAAATTTAAGAAATAGTGAAACTTAGAATCGGTGGGTGATGCTGTAGTAAATTTGAAGTAATTATACAGTCATTGTTTCAGAAGTTTATTTTCTGATGTATCTACAGGAAAACTACAACTATTTTCTAATGTTGTAGTCTACATTTTGTTAAATACGATTAGTTTGGTTTATTATTATTCATCATCATATCTGGCTAGACAGCCCAGGGTGGGCCAGTGCCTTCCTTTGAATTCGAATCCACTTCTCTCTACTTTTGACACTTGTTCACCAGTTTTTCTCCTTTAGAGTAAGGAAATCAGTCTCAAGGTTTATTATTATTACTTTAATAAAAAAAATCTTTCAGTTTCCATACTGATGCTATATTCATATGAATAATTAATTTAGAATTCGATATTCTTACCTATTTTCATAAAATATTATTAGTATTCTATACAAGATTTATTCTTTAGAATTTATTTATTGCAGAAAGAGATAATATTTAAATAAAAATTATACAAGTTAATGAACATTTTGGAATTTTTAAAAAAAATAGACTTTTTTCTAATTCAAACTTTTTTAATTTGAAAGTAATTAAAGGCCATTTCTTCATTTCCAAAAAAGGCACTGAACGATGCCCAAGTTCACCTTAGTCAGTATTCAATTGTAATATTTTAATGTTATTCAATATTCAATAATCCAATTCAATTCATATACTTTCAATGTAATTTATATACTTCTTAAATCGAATTGATTCTAAAAATCTATATTAATAACAGGTTTGTAACATAAGTCAATGTTAACAATATTCATTAGCCACAATCTTCGCTCATAAGAAAGTAATCTAAAGTTATTAATGTAACTTGTGTATAAATGATGGTGCTGATTGCGATAACATATTATAGTGGAATGGTTTTTTTCGACTTAACTACTTTTACCATTTTCCAATTTAGTATAGTTTCTCGAAAAACCTATGCTTGGTTATATTTATCTACTTTCTGAACCAGTATGTGTTCAATTGAAACATCTGTTTATATTACAGTCCTTCAGCAACAACTTGCCGGGCATCTTCCTGATGGTCAATTAACCCTACATCGTGACGGATATATTCGTCCTCCAACATACAGCCCTCCCTCCAGTCGACGAGGTGTTGTTACTTCGACGTCCATTGTAGGTATCTTGAATCCTGGTGATGGGTATGATGCCCCATGGGATGTCAAGAAGCAACAACAGCTACAACAACAGCAACAGGTACAGCTTTTAGCGCCTGAGGACACTGCAGCACGACAAAATCACATTGAATAAAAATATACGTTCACTTCATTGCTGAAACGATCAAAAATGAACAATGTAAATGTTAAATGATGATTTTAGAACTTACAAGTTTTCTTTTTTCTTGATGTCAAAATTTTTAAAAATTTAGATTCTTCATTACTCTTATCATTCAGATTAAAAAAGTCTTTCAAAAAATTATTGGTAAGTTATTGGAGAAAGTTAAGTAAAGTTTTATATACAAAAAGAATATAAAGCATTTTATTATTATCTTGTTAATTAAATCGCTACGAAATTGTTATCAAAATCAAACATTAACAAACAAACAAATTGTTGTCATTTCTGAGACACGCTACGCTTTGATGTTATTTGAATATTAAAGGATATTATTGTTATACTCGTTAAAATTATCGGTGTGATTTTTACAAATTTATGTTATAAATTTTCGTTTGTCTATGATCAGAGTATCATAAATGTAAGAAAGAAAATGTTGCTGCCTGATGTTATAAATGTACCTTCCTAACTTTTAACACGTAACTTTCCTACGACCAGCTTGGTGTGACAAGAAATTCACAATGATTTGGTTTTCCATCTTTTTTCTCAGGTATTTACAATCTACTCTCAACGGTATATAGGATATTAAAGAAACAGTCATCTTTTTAACATTCTTACTGTCACTGTCTGAATGTTAAAAAGATGACTATTCCTTTAATATTTTAATATCTTAAAATGATTATCTAATTCCAAAGCTGATTGATTACAGATAAGAATTACGAGTAATCAATTGCTTTTAATTGTGATTACAACCAATCATAATTTGGATTTCAATTATAGTCTCCATTATGAGTAATTATGAACAACACTTCGATATGAACACACTTCATTGCAAGTAATTATGATTAAAGATTTGTAGCAATCATGCTAAGAATCTGTGATTGCTAGCAATCAAGTAATCATAAGTCACTATTACAGTAACACTAATTACTTGGCATTGCAAAGTCAAAATTGTGTATTTACTAAAATTTTACTTTTATTTTACTATTCTTATCAAATCTTACTATTATTTAAATTTTACTTCGATTATTTTACTAAAATATTACTTTTATTGAAATTTATTCTATGTAACATGACATTTATTCTATGTAACAGGAAATATAGTTTTATGTAAAAATAATTTTCAACAGAAATCTTAATACTTTAAATCGCTATAATAAGTAATCAATTCAGTTATAATCGCGGTGCATGACTATACAATTACGAGCATGGTAATTATTATTTCTTGTAATCATTGATCACAATTACAAATAGTAATCGCGGCATATGATCATAATTATTATAGTAATCATGACATGTGATTACCCAATCAAAATTATGAGCAATTGATTATAGTGCAATCCTTATCTTAATTAACAGAGTTATAATTGATTTTTATAATTGACGCTCGATTCTGGGATGACAATGAATGAGGCTTAAAATAACATTTTGTAGTCTCGTGCAACAGCAAATTGTTAAACGAGTATTGCAGAGTTATTTTTATTTTTCATGCCTGATCTATTTAAAGCAATTTAATTTAACAATTTAGAACTGTAATTAAAAAATCCTGTCATACAGATAAAATATCAATTAAGAGAAAATATTTATTGCTTATTCAACGCATTTTGTATCATGTCGGAACAAGAAAATCGAACAAATTGGACCAATATTTAAATTGAGTTCAACACTTGCTGTTTTTAATTGGTAACGTTTTCAGGTGTTTTATGTTTTAAGCAGAATAATTTTAACGACATTCCATAAAGTTTGATTGGAATTAAAATCAAATGCCAAATTGTAAATAAGTTTAGATGAAACTATGAATGTATTTGTTAATGACTAGGTCTTCCTTGATACAGAAGTGCTGTTATTTTGGCACTTAAAATAACCTTTAATGAAGCACGAGGTGTGCTTTCCTTGTAGCTTATCTTCCATTTGTGAAAGATAATGAAATAGAAGAAAAAGCAACTTAGAAAAAAAATTATGATAAATTGATTAAGTTTAAACCTTAGTTTTAATGTGCCCTTTTTCCTTATTTCCCATTCAGTCTGTCTGTCAATTTCTCTCGACCAAAATATCAAATAAAAGGTAAAATGAATTGTTTGAACTTGTATCGATATTTTTATCGATACAAGATACCCTTTGTATCGATATTTTTATTCTACATAGAACTGAATGAAGATACGTGCTTATGTGATCCTAAAAAACTGAAGAGGTAAGATATTACTTGATTAAAAACTTTCTTCGTTTCCAAAATATACAAATTGGAAATAACAATCGACATATTCAATCTTGATGCTCTAGAATCTTAATTTTTCATATGAATGCTGATTCCCTTGTGAACGACATTAGTTCCTCGCCAACTCTTCATAGCGCATGGAAATGCTCTTTACCCTAATCCCCCCCCTCCTCTGTTTTTTTTCTTCCTGTCCTGGGTATCATTTTCTTTTTTTTTTCTTTCTTTTTTCTTGTCTCAGCTACTGTGGTTTCTCAAGTTTCGTTTCTCTTCATTAGTTTTCGATTTTTCGTTGACAATTTTACGTTTTATATTTTAAATCACTTTTGTTTCTAAGTAATTTCTGGCAAATCTTGAAAATGGGAGTTTATTTTTGATTTCTTGAAATATGTGAACTGTATACTTTTTTAAACGAATGAAGTTTTTAATCAAGTAATATTGTGAACGCTCTTTCTCACTTTCCACTATCGTAAAGTTACTCATAAGTTGGGATAGACATAAATATTTTCTAAGTTGCTCTTTCTAATAATGGAACTGTGGACATATCCATCAACCATGTCAGATGTGAGTGAATTGTTTTACATGGAATGTTCTGTAATAACTCACACATTTTTAAGAATTCCTTGCACAAAGTTTATACAGCTGTTGTCTTTTGCTCGCTCATAGTTTTGTTACTTTTATAATTTTGATACTGACTTTAATGTAATGTTTCATATTGTGTCATATACATGGGAACAAATACATTGACCACGGTGACTATCTTTCATTAATCCAATAAACACTTCCATGAAATTCGGATATTGTTGAATAATTGAAAGATGATATTCTGAAGTTATGCACATTTACGAAAAAAGGGTTAGATCAAATAAAGATAATTATAATCTGATTAAAAATACCATTTCTTTTACTATCAATTTAATAATAATACAGTTCAAAAATATAGTTTAATTACAAGGTTGATTTAATTGATGTTTCCCTAGCATCGCAAAAGAAACTGCTTCTGAAGTATAACTGAGTTTCGAAAGATCAAAATTGAAATATTTGGTCAAGCTGGAAGCTATAACATACCTAAAAAAAAGTACCTAAAAGCTTTAAAAAATAAAATACTTGACAGATATTAATAAATATAAAACTAAGGTGTATGATGTTATCAAGGAGGAATGATAAATAGATGACAAAATCAATGGCTTATTTAATAATCTAACGGTGGCATTTAACATTTAACCCTGTTTTTTCTAAAATACCGTATTTTTCAATCTCATCGAAATGATTGAAAAACCTATATGTTTTTTTAAAAGCTGTAAAATTTTCTCCTGGGATAAGATTTAAATAAACTTTTAAAAATTTATTTTCATTTTTAAACATTTAAAAAGAAAAACGGAATAGTAAATTCAGATGCTTTCAAAATAATTAAAATCTTACTTTACTCCTTTTTAAAAATAAAAAAGATATGTTTTTTTACAAAATAACACTTTTTTATCAGATTTTTTTATTTTAATAATTAAATCATTTTAATTATAAAGAATTTTAATAATTTTTCTAAAATTTTCTTTTTGAATGGTAGTGCGAGAATTTGTTTCATCAAAGGTAACGTAACAAATTCGGATTATGAAAATTACATGAAATCATTTTCCTTTTTTTTAGTTTTCTTTAGTTCACTTTTCAGTAACGAAATTAAAATAAACGCCTATATCAATCTCCTCCCTTTTTTAATACTTTTTAAAATAAACGATGCATGTAGTCATGATGTAGTCACAACTAAAAACATTATAAAAGTCATAAAGAATTCTGCAATAAAAACCACATCAAAAATTAAAAAACTTGAATGTTAAAAGCTTAAACTGTATTTTCCCCCCACTACCACGTCTTAAATAGGCAGAGAGAAAAAAATATTCACTAAAAATTTCTAGCACGCCTACAATAATAGCATTTTTAAATGTTATCAGCAAGCGACAATTCTAAAAGAAAATAATGCAGTATCATTTAACATATTTAACACATGGTTCGCTGCACTTTGTTTTTAAAAAATTTAATAAAGATAAAAAGGAAAATGTTCTAATCTACAACCGCCTTGAAATTGGAGGAAAGCCAAACGATTTAACCACCCTCCGTTCTATAATTCAACAATAGCAAATGTTTAAACTGAAACAAATGTTTTATTCATGAAGTTAGCTCATTTGAATTTTCTATCAACAGATTCAAAGGATATCACCTTTTTTTGTTTAACCGTTTTTTAGACGCCTAAGAGCTCTACATAAATACTTAACGAAATACATGCGGCAGTAATAAAAAAAAGAATATAAGTTTTTGAGAAATTGATTTTCGTTAATCTATTTCGAAAAAAAACTAAAATGTAAAGAAATTATAATTTTTTTTTTTAATTTCGATTTTTATTGCTTTTAGGTGTCCTTTGAAATTTAATTCTATTTTTCCGCTTTAAGGATGCTTTTATTAAGTAATTATATTTTAGTCATTTAGAGGGCTTTTAAAAAATGCGTAAGCACTTAAAGGAGGAGTTCGTAAATTGCTTACTTTTGCTAACAAAAGGTATAAAGAAATATAGTGTGCATTCTTTATGCAACATCAGCCCAAATCAATGTCAATGAGTTCGAGGAAATTAGAGTGATGGATACGAAAAAAAATCAGTCTTCATTTTCTTAAAAAGAGGCAGGTACTTGAAAACCATAAACTAAAAGTATATTTTAATTAGGAAATTTAAAGCAAAATAAAGCCAAGGGAAGGAGTAATTGATAAGAAAGGGAATCCATTTACATTCTCTTAGGCAGATATTTGAAAGCCAAAAATTAAAAATGTATTTTGATTCGGAAATTTAAAACAAAATGAAAACCAAATGAAGCAAACTAGAGTGAAGGATACGAAAGGGAATTCTCGACATTCTCTTAGAGCCGGGCAGGCATTTGAAAACCATAAACTAAAAATACTGTTTAAATCAAAAATTTGAAACAAAATGAAAACACATAAATTTCAGTGAAAAATAAATTACAATTTCTTTAAAATTTTGTTTAGCCATACAAATAAATTAGTTCTTTCATCCGAGTATCATGTTTTGAACACTAAAATGTGCTTCACTCTACAAATTCTTTCTCTTATAGTACAAATAATCAACTGGTTTCTAGTTATTAGTATAATTTGCGCAAAATTAATGTTATTAAATTGCGCACTGTCGTACCGAAATATTGAACTCTATGCAAAGTCTACATTCCTAATCTTTATTAGTTCCAATTTTATACGCTTCAATTTATAATTTAAGTGTTTCCATATTTTATTCAAAAATCAAAGTTGAAGTATTTTTTTTTTAAAAATTCCTAGAACTGGCTACTTATTTGGTCAAATTAAATTTTTTGTTTTTTAAACTTATTTTGAAATACTTTTCAAAGAGCAAAGTAATAGCTTTAACCATTAACGATAAGGAAGTATTTTAAGTTTAATCCCTACCAGGTATAATTATAATAATTAATTACCGATTTATGATTAAATGAATTGAAAAATATGACAATAAGAAAGAAAAAAAAACATTAAAATTATTTTTGCAGTCATTGGACACAGTAAATTAAAGTGAGATGCTGTTATATAACCACAAAAGTCCGTTATGTGTTAATATTGTCGAATACTGTGTCCAATAGCAGCAAAAATAATTTTTTTTCTCTCTATTGTCACATTTTTGAATTAATTTAATCATAAATATGCAATTAATTATGATTAATTATTATAATTATACCTGGTGCGAATTAAACTTAAAATAATTCTGCAAAAAGGAACTGCTTCCCTCTAGTTAATAATTGATTACATGTGGTATAAGCTGTTCTTAAAAATATTAATACGGTATTATTTAATATATTACACATTATCTAATAGATAGTAGACTACAATACTAGTTCTTAAAATTATTCTAAATATTTGTTCTAAGAATTGAAACAAACTTTGAGGGCCGAGGTCCATTCTTTGACTTTACTAAGACCCACCGAGTAAATGCGATATACGAGCTCGTAAAATCCGTAGAATCGAAAGTCCTGTAGTCGGTTGCTGAGCAGTATCATGTAGAGAGCCTATCATGGGCACAAGAATCAGGAGAAAAATTCCTTCTAATCAGATTTAAGTTTAAATTGAGAAAATGGCGCCATGGATGAATGGTGCTGCCATCTATAAGTGGGGTTCTGAGCCAAGACATACTTTCCCCCTTGCCGCGCTATCTTGTCAAACGAAATGCGCACAGTCCTGACTTAATTCGAAGGCCAATGGCTGGTTCGCTTGACTTGTGCAAGAGTCTTTAGAAACAATAATAAACTTCGAATAATCAAAATGAAACTTTGCATCTTAACTCCTTTAAAATACATGGTATTATTGAAAAGAGCACAAACTTTTTAAATATCATAAACAGGTATTTTTTAAAATGTGGAGGAATTTTATTGAATAATTAATGAAAGAGTCACCAATCCAGAGATTATATGTGTCTAAATATTGCACAAAGTCTACTTTTCTTGTTTCCTTATGATGTATAGCAGTTATTATCTATCAGGAGATAAAGCTGAGATTCATAAGTTCTAATTTTGTTACAATGAAGTTTGTTACTTTTGAAGCTTTCAAGTTAAGACGTGTTTCTTACTGTTTTTCATATGTCTCAGTATATGTAAAGAAAAAAAATAAGGAATAAATCGGTGTTTTGAAAACATTGTTTTTGCTCATTGTTAAAATCTTTTTTAAAACAAAGCCAAACCATAAAAATTTTAAGTAAATAAGAATTATATTTATTTAAAATAATACAGAACTCTACAGAAACCCACTATCATCAAAAGTATAAAATCGAAAGAATGAATTGGGCGGCTCATATTGCTAAAATGGATGAAAATAATCCTATCGGGAAAATTTTTACAGCAAACCCTGTCATCAGCTGAAAGAGGTAAGCCAAAACGAATATGGCTCGATTCTGTGGAATCAGATTTTAAAGTGATTAGGGTAGAAGATACAGGTTGGACACTTATGAAATACTCAGAGAATTATTTTTTTAACTTAAAAAGTGTTTAGAGAGCAAACAACAAAATTTTAAATTAAAACAAAATTTTAGCGTACTTTTTAACTAATAACAAAAATATCATTTTAAGCTTCAGAAAAACATGTATGGTTAAAAAATTTTACAAGATATGAACATGTAAAGACATCCTTTAGTACTGCGAATGCACAAAAAACAGACATTTTTTTTAAGAATTTTTTTCTGAATTGTATTTACATATGAACAAAAATCTTATTTGTATATTTTGAAAATTTAAAAAGTTACTAGCAATTTTCTAAGCAGTTTTTGTAAATTTGGAAAGAAAGCTTTTAATAGTAAGGAGTTTTCACAAATTTATTCTGTATTATTAAAACAAGATTTATTAAAAATGACATCAGCATTATATAGGACCACCCCTATTAAATTATGTTTTATTTCAAGTTTACTTTCCCAATCCCATCATTTTAATAATAATGTATTAAATTTTGTTTATGATACAAAATTAAATTTTTGGGAAGCCCCTTATCATTTGGAGTTTTCAATAAAAAGATACAAAAGCTACTTAAAAAATTTCTAAAAACTTTTTACACTTTCAAGGTACTTAAATAAAACTTTTTTCATAAGTTAGCAAATACGATTCAAAACCAACTAGGCGGAAAAAAATCTAAGCTTTCCGTGTATGTGCAGCATGAAAGGGCTAATTTAAAGCTCATATCTTGCACAACTTTCAAAAATTATTTTTTCTTCAAATTTTAAAATATTTTAAATAAATAAAAAATTGTTTTTTTATAAAATTTTATTTTTATAAATGTCTATATATCCATGAATACCGGCTAGGTTTGCAAAATTTTAAGCAGTTATTACATACAATAGCCAAAGTAATTAATACAAATTACAAGCTTATCATTAAATTTTTTGCATAGTGTTCAAAAACACTCTCTATCATTCGCAATTTTTTTTCTTAAGTTTTAAAAATTGATTCTCTAAGTATTCCTAAAAAAGTATGAAAAAATTAGCCAGTACAGAAGTGTTTCCATAATTTTGTTAAACCCTTGTAGTTTATCCTGTAACTATCTTCAAAAGAACTTGGCCTACCATGGGTTGTCGTGCCAAATACAATGAATAATTAATTTTATTTTGAATAAATTTTTCCAGTTAATATTGTAAATTTAAGTCAGTATTTTGAAATTTTCGCTTGACTTCTTAAAATTCGCAATAAAAGGGAAACAAAAAATTATTATTCGATCGCTAAATAAGAGAAAAGGACATCTTTATTGCATTTCTAATTTTAATTAACAGTTTAAAGCAAAATAAAAATTTTAAATCCTTGCGTTTTAAGTTAAAAAATACTAAAAAAACTACTTATGTTTTCGGGGCTTCCATTAATAGCTAACTACAATACAATTGGGCATAAGATTCCATTTCCAGAAATCTCAACATAAGTACAGACTTGTAATTAAGTGTTAAAACTAAGTTAAAAACCTTCATGCAAAATCTAATTTGAAAACTTTTCTATCAATTATAAAAGCTTAAGCAAGAAAAAGTTGTGAAAATAGATATCAAATCAGAAACTAATAAAAAATTAACATATTGCTTATAAAAATGGAATTGTCAAGAAATATTTTAAGACAAGACTTCCATTCAATTCCTTTTTCAGTTACAGTTCGTTTAAAAATTGTTCTTTTTGATTGGGCAGTTTAAAAATTAATCATATAAAAATTTATACAGTCCGTTCAGCAAATAGATAAACTAGATGTAAATTTTTAAAAAATACATCATTTGGTTGCCTCAATCATGTAATTCACTATTTTACATGAGGTTAAGCAGACTGGGAATATTTGTTGTGTTTTTTATTGTGATTAGTTCGTTAATGCACATTCTAACATCCATTCGTCAAATTCAATTAGTGATTAAGATAAGTACTTATCTTACATTTTATGCTTTAATTTCTTTTATTAAAAATCAATTAATTGCATTCATAAAAAAAAATTGGCTATTGTTCAATACAATAAAATTTACCAATATTTTTATTTTACCTTTAATATGTTCATGGGTAATTGAGAGCCCAACTCAAAAATCCTGAAAATTTCTTGAGTAAAATCATTAATGACGCATTTCAAAAAATTAATGTCTTTATAAATTTAAACCATTGATATTTTCACAACATGAAATTCTAAATTAATTAAATGCTGCAGCATAATTTAAATAAATAATCATGTAAAAGTTTACTTTTATCTCTAATCCCATTTATTCTACCAGTAAAAATATTTCCAAAAATAAAACAGATGCCAAGTACAAATTCTAGTTCTAATATTTGTAAATAAAATATAATAGAATTTATATACATAAATGTGATTGATGATTTCTTAAAACTTCCGGATCTTGGATCTCTGGAAAGTTCCGGGTAGCGGTTAGCAAAAAAATCTGGATTTTTCCGGAGCACAATCATCTCTGCATGTTGCTATAGCGGTTAATAATATTGTTACAATTTATGGCTGAATTTTACATTATAATTTTATTTATTTATATATATCAAAGGAGTTCCAGTTCAATTAGCAAGCATGATAATATAAAGCAAGATAATGATCAGTTTGGAAGCAAGTGGTTTAATACCACTTGAATAAAAATTCAATGTTTATTACACTTCATTCATTAAAAAAGAGTACTGTATTCCTAATGAATCCTGCATTTATAACAAACTGCATTATTATTCATTTTTAGAATAATTCTGTAAAAATAAAAAATGCAGAGAAAATCTCCAAAGGTGACAAACCTGATCAAGAATCAGGCAAATTAGTTTGTTTACTTTCAGTCCATCTTTTCCGTGAAAGCACAATAGAACTAACTTAAATTGAACTAGATGTGATTAACCCACTGGCGGTTAAGGAAATGGGCAAAATTGGGAGAATGTTTCTCCCCTACACACAGTTCCCCTATCAGTTAACATGGGAAAACCGGTTTTGCTATGCAGAGAAGACTGCAGGTTAACTTGCGACTTTTTACGTGCAGAACCGTCAGTGGGTTAAAGAAAGTAACCAGGTGGAATCTCAAATAAAGGCAGACTGTAAAAGCAAAAGATCCATGGACAATATTTACAAATGATTTATTTTGTAATACAAAGCAGGTAAGTCAATAAAATAATGTAAACAAGTTCATTAATAATAGGAAATATTTTAATTCTACATATTGAAATGAAATTTAAAAAAGAGTTATTTTGCAATACATACAGAAATAATTTATGAGGAAATAAAAAGGCAATATTTTTTATTGTATATATTGTGCGTGGGTTAATATTGAACAAACATTTCCAGGTGTTAAGTAAACCAGAATAATTAAACAAAAGACATCTAAAATAAATAAATAGTCCAAAAAAGCTGTCTCTCTTTACTAAAGAAATATTATGCATTTAGAATAATCTAAGATATAAATTGCAATAATAATAATATAATAAAGGGATAAAAATGCAAAGGAGAAAATTTTTCGCTTTTAAATAGAATATGTCCTCACATGACTATAATACAATATGAATAGTTCATTAACAAAACAACCGGAATGAAAATATTCTTTTAACAGATGGATTTTTAAGGATAAAGAGTGGATGCCACACTATAATATATAATAACATCTTTTTGAAGTATGTCCAAATATACAATAACAATAAATTTAACTTTCTGTTTGCAAAGTATCAATGGATGCATTCTGAAGTAAACTTTCAATGTTGATCTGTCCATCAGCATCAACTGGTAACATCAATTGTTGATGCTCTCCCCCTTCTCCTAATGCACCTAATGTACTTGGATCTAAAGCTAAAGTTATGTTGCCATCTCCAGAATCATCTCCTAAGGAATAACCCGGTGGTAGGGTCAAAACAGTGTTTCCATTTTCAGTTGAGTTAATAGGAATTATTAGCATCTGGTGGCCACCATCTGCAGTAGGTATCTTGAGAACAGCTGCACTTGTATATGACTGATCTCCAGGCAATTGGATGGGAACTTGCTCTGCTTCAGCATTTTCAAAATCCTGAGTGGTACCTTGCTGGCTGTGGTCTGCTTGGAAATCTATGTTGGAGTGCTCTTCGGTCGCAATGTTTTCACCGACAGATACGAGAACCTGCTGGTTTTCAGAATCCACGGTATAGACAGTTTGCTCTTGAGACTGCTGAGGTTCTGCTTTTATTTGGATCTGATTGAGAATATCGGAAGACTCTTGTATCATCAACGTTTCTTCGCCATCCTTTTGAATTAGAATAGACTGATTGCCTTGTTCATCAGTAACGATTTCATTTGCGTGAATCTGCAGTTGAGATTGTTCCACGGCCTCAACAAGTTGATGAGGCGTCATGATGGTACCAGTATTATCATTCTGATTGAATACAACTGTAGCTTCTTCTGACAAAACAGTAGATCCAGCAGAGTCTTCAAACTCTGGAATACTAACTGATACAGTCCCAGATTCATCTAATTTCGCATTGGGAGCAATTGATACAGTCACTTGTCCAGGAACTCCACCAGGACCAGTTGCTTCTGCAACTACTCTTGCAAGTTGTTCAGCAAATTCTTGTGAAGTCAGATTAAGTGAATTGGCAAGTGTTTGGTGAGCAGATGCAAACTGATCGGCATCTATAGTGGTTTCAGTACCATTTCCAGCTGTTTGTACAATAATTTGGTGGTCCTGTCCAAAAATTGATTGTCCAGCAGTGACAACTACTTGACCTTGTGCATCAGTGCTATAAGAGATGTTACAAAAATAAGTTATCCTAGATAGATATTAAGTCATGTATCAGGTTAATTTAAATAAATTTAGAAAAATAATTCAAAGCTAATCAGTTTACTAAGAATAAATAAGCACTTTCTAATTTACAGCTTTACAAGCATACATGCAGCAGAAAACTTAAGAAAATTTAGGTAAAGCTTCAGATCAAAATATGTAACTAATAAATATAATATATAAAGCTAAATTAAAAAATTAAAACAAAAATTAACATGAATGCAAAACAGTTTTATGAGAAGATTTTGTTCATTCTTTTTTAACACATTGATGAAAAAAATTACTAAATTAAGAATATATTAAAAGACAAGGGGAGGAAATAAAGAGCTGAACAGTAAGTAAAAATTCACAGAGACAGCAATTCAATAAATCATAGACTTAAGACAAAGATACCAGAAGTTAATATTATTTAGCCAAAGATTATAAAAAGGTTATACAATTAGTTAAATTAGAAAACTAAACCCAAACATTAAAAAAAAATAATGTGTAAAAGCCATTCTTTAGTAAGCCTACCATTTTCTTCTCAAATTCAAATTAAAAATATAACTTAATATTTTCTATAAAAATTTCAGTAGAAAATTTTTCAGTTCATTATAGTTTTACACAGAACTGCTGCAGTATAAAATGAAAATTTAACACTTCAGGCATCTAATCAGATACTGTACAGGGCAGTCCATATTTTTTATGAAACAATTTTTCTCCTTATTTACCTCAGCAATAATCTTGAACCACTTCTGCATCTTTCATGCACACATCCAAGTTCATTTGTTTGCAGAGTAGCAATCCTTTTTTTTGGTCCTGCTCATAAGTGTTAACATTTATTTTAACGATATGCCAATTTATGTCATGTGTGAACTTAGCCAAAGATTAAAGATTTTTCACAAATAGCTACATAGTGGTAACATTCTTTACATTGCTAAGTTCTGCAAAATTACTGTCTACTGTTAAGAAAAGATAACTAGGATTTTCACAGGGTTGAATATCAACTGCACAGAAAAGTTTTTGATTCTTCAGGAATATTTGTGTTTTCATTCATTGGTCAAAGCACTCTCTGAAACTATTTGAAGAACTTTTTTTCAACTTTTTCTTAACCCCAATTTACTATCTATTTCAAATGTGATCATCTATTTGAATGTTAATACAGTTCCAATTCTATCTCCATACCATAAATTAATTGAATTAACTGCCCTCTAACCATTATGATTACATATTACCACTGATATAAGGAGGTAATATTAGAAAAAATAGTAAAATACTTACGTAGCTTGTCCAGTACATATGTGCGCCTGGAAATGATCTTCAGATTCAAAAGGCCTCATACATCCTGCACAAACTAATTGAATGACATCAGCTTGGTTGGAATCAATAGATTCTTCAGCTTGCTCAATTTGAACCTCCTCAACATGTTGATTCATATCCATTGGAATATTTCGTCCACCCATTATATGAGACACAGACTTGCGTCCTGTCACAAAAAAAATATATTTTTGAAATTAGAAAAAATTTTTATTACATAGATATTTTACCAAATGTAGAGTACAAATATATTAAAACAGTAAGGTAAGGTATTTATTAATTGTTTTTGACAAAAAACTCTAATGTAACAAAATAATTAAGGTTACTGTTAAAATTTGTAATATCGGTCAAATAATGAATCTTCATTATTGCATAGTGATTGCTTCAGTTCCTTGGAATTCTCTAAAGCGAGCTTCAACTGCGACTGCACTCGCGTATGCTCATACATTAGAATTCAATTAGTGTAAATTGTCTGAAAACAAGATTGTTTAAAAAAAAAAGAAAGGAAAAACAAGCAGATGGAGAAAAACAGATTAGTTCAACTTAATAACGATCAGATCTCAGACAAGCCGGAAATACTGAAATACAATATACTGAGACGAACCACACAATCACTGAGCTTATGTGCGAGCTATATAAGGATAACTAAACTAATTTTAATAGCTGGAAAAGCTTTGGAAAATAAAGAATGGTTGAAATTTAAAAAAAAAGACTAAATTAAATCGCATAGTATAGTTTAGTTATCTTCAAATATTCTGCCAATTTATTAACATAAAATCAGTAAAATTCAAAAACATTTTTTAAAACTTTACATAAACATGATAAAATAACTAGTTTCTGATAAATATAGCAGAGAAAATTGGAAAAATCATGCATTTTTTGTAATTAAAAAGGACTTTTGACACAAAGAAAAAAATCTCTTTTTAAGAGATAGAAAATTAAGCACTTTTTACCAACTTTGAATAAAAAAGCATCTTTAAGGACTTTTAAGAAATGTAAATCAAAAATAAGCACCTCTAAGCACTTTGTAAAACCGCTATGCATCCTGACAACTGCACTAAAGTATATAAAAACAAAAAAATTTGCTATATATCATTTCAATAAATTGTCTTTCAAAACATTACCTCTGTTAGCTGGAACTTGCATTGGTTTCTCATCATGAATTTTCATATGGCTTTCAAGTGTTTTTTTCTTGAAGAAACCTAAAAGCATACAAATTGAAGTTAATTAAAACTTATTTTTAATTTTCCTGAAATAAAAGCTTGAAATGAAACAACTCTTAATAATTAATAAATTGATAATCATGGCTTCGAAAACTTTGTTTCAGATAAACACTTGCTATTAAGAAACAGTTAAAAAATTTCAGTCCTTTAATCAAACATATTTTTTCTAAAGTCCAACTAATCAAGCTTATTTTTTTCTTCCTTTTTTTAAAAAAAGTTTTAAGAATTTGGCATTCAAATTGTAATTCAACATGTAATAAAAATTGTCATACATTTCAATAACACATTTTTTGGATTACTGTTAAATTAATTATTTTTGTGCAAGCAATGCAAAAAATTTTAATTTGCAAAATAACACAATATGTAATTTTAATCCCTTGTATGTAATAAAACAATATGTAATTTTAATCCCCCTTTAATCCTGAATCCCTTGTAAAATATGATACTTTACAAATTATTGCAATTTTCCTTTTACACTATTGGTATGGGAATCTAAATCTTAGGTATGAGAACATCCAATTTTATAAAAAAAAAAATCTGAATAAAATATTTAACGGAATTAGAAATTTTGATTTTTACAATCAACAACACAGGAAATAAAAACTCATTTATTATAACCTTTTGACTGCTTTAAAAAAAATTTTATTATTACATTATTATTATTATTAAGTATTAATTTTATTTTATTTATTTATTATTATTATTAATCTTTTTTTTTTGAATTAAGAGAAATTTTACTTAAATGCACTAGTAATACTTAGTGTATGCATGGCATTGAGCTAAGTCAATTTTCATGTATTTTAATTTAAGTTCTACATTTTTTTTTTCCCAAGAGTGTTTTTGGCAATTATTGCTACAGATTTCTACAAGGTTTTTAAAATGTCGATGTTTAATACATTATTAAAACGAACTCTCATATTTCAACTCACATAACGAACTCTTAATTCTAAACACACATTTCAGTAATCACTTTTTGACCCACTCAATTTACAAAATTTTAATCATAATTCCAAATAGCTTGACAATCTACATTTTGGTAGTTATTACTACATATTTCTCTTTGATTTTTAAAATAAAAATGTTTTGATACAATACTACAACATACTGCGAATTTAGAATCTCGCATTTGAGTAATCACATTTTTATCCCATTCGATTATCGACACTTCCACGGTGAATCAGTGAATTCACACTTTTATCGACTGTCTTCTGAGTATTTATTTATACGGACTTTTAAAAATGTCAATATTTTAAAATAATCTAGAATCTCACTATTTTAATATCAATCGGGCATTTGAGGAATCACTTTTACGCACGTTCAATTATTGACGATTTACTCTTAAACCTACAAGGTTAAATTTATCACATTTTTGTTAGTTACTTTTTTCAGATTTCTTGAAAATCCACTTTTTAATGCCACATTGTTAAATAAAGAGACTTTTAAATCCCTGATTTAAAGAATCTCTTTTTGATGCACAAGATAGCTTTTAAAAAAATTAATGTATATCCAAAGAGTACATCTTAGTGATGTTTTTTTAGCTAAAAATATTATCTGCTATAATTACTTTTTATATTTTTTAGATCTACCTCAAACTATTTCATAAGAATCCAACTTAGTACTTGAAAATCTGATCAGTAGGCAGCAACATTTTAAAGCTGGTTTTATTAAACATTTCCCCCGTTCTCATTTGCTGACAGTCACTCCATTAAAAAAAAATTTTAAAAAAAAGATGCAAATCAATTATACACAATAACACATGAAAGTACAAGCAAATACAAACCTTTATTGCATATTGTACATTTAAAGTCTGTATCACCTCTATGCATTCGTAAATGGTTGAAAAGACCAACTTTTGTGGCAAGTTTTCGGTTACATCCTTCCCAAGGACAGGGTGTAGGTGGACTTAAAGAAAATTAGCACAAATAATTAGAAAGAACTGAATAAAAATTCATTTTCAGCAGCTTCTTTTAACAATAAAAAAAGTAACAAATTATGCTTGGTAAATACAGAAGAAAGCAAAATTTTTTGATAGCCATGGATTACATTTTATGCAGGAAATTGTCCCCTAAGCAAAATTATAAAACACTGTTTCATAAAACACATCATTAAAATTATGGAAGTAATTTTGTTATGAAGAAATAATTAAGTTAAAAGTTTTCCCTACTTGAAGTTCAGTGGTTTGAGTACATTTTTTCATAGCAAATCAAAATTGTGTTAAAGACTAATTAAACCTAATATAGCCCACAGAATTTTTAAAAAAATTACTAATTCAAAAGCCACTTCTACTGACTAAAATAATTAAGCACTTAATGCTTAACCAATAATTCATTTTAATCTTAAAAAACCTTTCAAAATTCATATTAACATAAAAACATAAGTTTCTACTCTTATTTTATTTATTTCATAATAATTTGAATATTAACTTTTTAGTCTTACATAATAATTAATAAAAATTAAAAAAAAAGAATTGCTATTTCGGTAAAAATCCCATAATCAGCCTATAATAATTTTTAACCTTTTTATGCTATTTGGTTATCTAGCAAAATTAATAAAGAATAGAGTAGAAATTACAACAAAACTTGTTAAACAAATGAAATAATTAATAAACATAAGTATCATATTATAGATTAAAAACACTTTATGCGATTACAAAAATTAGATAGTTTAAATAAAAAAAAAGATAATTTCTATATAAATGAAAATAAGAATTATCAAAATTAAAAATTAGTTATACTTAAAAATAAAAATATAGTAATGACTAGCCAAGCATAGTTATTAAAAAACAGTCTTTTATAAAACTTCATTTATAATTAGAAATATTTATTTTTTTCAAATTAAATACTTACGCATGCACTTCAGAATGAGCAACTAACTGTTCTTTTTGTAGGAACCTCCTATGACATTNTAGTTATACTTAAAAATAAAAATATAGTAACGACTAGCCAAGCATAGTTATTAAAACAGTCTTTTATAAAACTTCATTTATAATTAGAAATATTTATTTTTTTCAAATTAAATACTTACGCATGCACTTCTGAATGAGCAACTAACTGTTCCTTTTGTAGGAACCTCCTATGACATTTAGGACATTCATGTACAATATTATGGATGGAAAGATGACTCCACAAAGCTTGAGAATTGTTTAATTTTACACTACATATCTAAAATATATACAAATAATACAAATTAAATTTGTAAATTAAATTTTAAAAAGAAAACATTTATTTTATTTATACTACAACCATTTAATAAAAAATTATAATTCAACTTGTATGTGATTTTTTTATTGATTTATTAAATATGGAAGAGCTAAGTAAAAAAAGGTTGTAAGAAACATTTTTGAAAAAATGTAGATATCTTTGAAATTTATTTTAGTCTAATTTAACTATACAACAGTGATAAAAGTAGATTAAAGATTAATTTATTAAAAATCTAAAATGAATTAACACTTTAAACNATTTAAATTTGTTTCAAGTATTTTGTAATAATATTTAATCAGCAATTTAGATAATTTGGTTTTTGCCGGTTTTAACCAGTTTTTGCTGGTTTTTACCAGGTTTTTGCCACTGTCCTGGCAAAAAAACCTTTTTGCCGGCAAAAACTCCAACCCTGGGAAGAGCTAAGTAAAAAAAGGTTGCACAAAACATTTTTGAAAAAATTTAGATATCTTTGAAATTTATTCTAGTCTAATTTAACTATACAACAGTGATAAAATTAGATTAAAGATTAATTTATTAAAAATCTAAAATGAATTAACACTTTAAACAAAATGTTAAAAAAGCTGGTCTACAATAAAAATATTTCTGATATAAGTTGTTCAATCCAACAATTTTCACATGTACACATTTAGAATAATATCGAAAAATAGCAATAGATTATTCAAAGCATAAATATTCAGGAGAAAAAAAAATTAGAAAGAGAAAAACATTTCAAAAACGTTAAAATGCAAATAATAATTTATTTTTACCTCACAAATATTAGCAATTTCAGGATGAACACTTTGAATATGATTACGTCTGGGACCTGGCTGTACAAAGAGTAAACCACATTCTCGACACTGATAACTATGACCTTCAGTCTCCATATGTTTGACAAATGTAGCAAACAAACCAAACCAACTGTGGCAGACTTTACATCGATGATTCCGAGGTTCTGTCCTATTATATTTTTCCTACAATAAAATTCAAAATATAATCACAACTAAATAATTCATAAAAAAAAAAAGTTTGAAATACTCATCAATCTTAAAATGAAAAAAAATAGAAAGAAAACAAAAGAATAGTGTTTAAAATATAACTTAATATTCATCACTGCATGACAATTTAAAATTAATATAACCAACTTAATTGAAACCAGAATATAAACTGACTTTTAAAATTTACAATATCAAACATATCAGATTAAGAATTTTAACTACTACATATACTTTTGCATAAATTTCCCAACAAATTATAAAATCTGAGAAAAATATTTCAGATAAGAAAAGTATTCAAGTTAAGAAAAATATTGAAGATTTAAATTTACCAATACAATTACTAAGTCAAGAATAATAACTGCAATTAAGAAAAAAGGTTGGTTTCACAAAATAATTTCCAAAAATATCTTAAATAATAAAATTAAAAAAAACATTAATTTATGCCATAACTTGTCATTTCTGGCAATCAACAATCTGCCTTTTTAAATTATTAAAATCTAAATTATCAAAAGTTTAATTTTTAGTCAGAAATGAAATTAAAATATATGAAATGATTCAGATAACACCAGTGATAGAAGTAAAGTTCACTTGCAGCAATAAATAAAGTGTTTTTACGGTCTGATACGTGTTATGTATAGAAATATAATCTAAGCGGCAGCTTTAGCTTCTGAGAAAAAGACAAAAATGACCAACCTTATTAAGAAAGCCAATTTTAATCAGTTGCACTTAAAAATAAAATTTAAGGCAAAATGCTTTAAGCATTTTTTTAAATAAGTTGTAAGAAATATTTGAATTTAATAAAATAAACAATAGTAATTGAAGAATAAAAGGCTAAGTTTGTAATAATAAAAATTTGTTATTGTTGCACATTTTGACTAGATAAATATTTTAATTTTAATATAACCTTTCAAACTTTGAATAAAATAAATAACACACATTTTTAAAATACAAGTACAGTAGGGAACCGATTATCCGGAACGATCGGGACCATCGCTATTCCGGATAACTGATTTTTCCGGTTTTCTGAATCGCTACAAAAAGCCGTTTTTTTATCGTTAAACACAGCTAAAAAAAAAAATTTGAAATAATCTTAAAAAGAAAAAATAATGAAGTAATACACTAATGATTATTTCTAAAATGATGGTAAGGTGAACATCTTTCAAAAAAGAAAGAAAAATCCAAAAATCTTATGAGGAAAAAAAAAAATTTCTTAATGGAGGGAAAATTCATCGAATTTTGTTCCGGTTTTCTGATTTCCGGATAACGGGTTCTGCACTGTACCAATTTTCAAACACTGGGAGAAAATGGCAGAAGTAAACATCAATATAATCATTCGCCACTTGGTGTGGCAAAAAAAAGTTGAAACATAATATTCCTTAAAATAAAATGTCCGTCTCTATTAAAAAATTTAATCCTTCAGAATCCATCAATTTGTGGTGGAAGAATGCATGTGGAAGGAAAGTACTTTAAAAATTCAATAATTTCAAAGTTGTAATGTACATAAAATATATTTTGATATTCCAAATATTTTTAAATTAAGTTCTTTAAAATCAGTATGTTTAACTAAATTTTGTCACATATTTCATATTATTTTTATTGCTGAAACTTTTTACAGCCAAATGAATATATTATTTTATTTTTTTTAATATAATTTAATCCAAGGAAGAGGTTAACAAAAAGTGGCTATTAATTTAAAAGGACTCGATATTGGCCACAAATTCATTAAGTTTGACGGAAAAGTGGATACTGAGTTAATGAAGTCTACCAAACACTGTCTAATAATTGAAAATTTAAACTTTCAGGCAGAAACACAAGGCAACAATAAAATATAATATAACAAACAACATATTACCTGTACTTGCATGTATTTATTTGCATGGTCAGAGCTTATCAGATGATCTTGCAGTTCTTCATCATCTCCAAAAACATTATCGCACATACTACAATAATGCTCACTCTTCTGATTGTGATTTAAGGCATGTTTCTGGAATGCCAAAGTTTGAGAGAAAGTTCTACCACATGCAGTAATTATACACTGGAAACGTTTTTCCATTTGATGCAAGTTATGCATATGAAGATAATACAAACGGTAGCTCTTAATGACAGCATCACACAGGTGACAAAAATGTCCGACCTTACTGGGAAAACCAATTTCAACCAGTTCTTGATCACCTGGTAAATCATCCAGGGAAACATCAAAATCACCAAGTCTTTTGTATTCTTTACTTATGTCAGATTCTTCTTTTTGCTGGTTACTACCAAAATCTGTATTCATTTTCTCATTAACTGGTTTATCATCAGTTAAGTCCAAGAAATCAATAGTTTCAAAATGTTTAGTTTCTTTGCTTGAATCATTCAAGTCTGTTGACATAAATTCTGATCCAGATTGTTGATCAAGAAGAGAATCCTTAATTGAAACAGTGACAGCCGACTCACCCTCAGAAGTTTCACTTGTGCTTTGAGCAAATATTTGCTGTCCATTCATTTGAGATTTTACATTTAGTTCAAACTGTTCAAGATTGCTAATTATTGATGCGGTATCATTTTGGTTGAGAGGAATTTCAAGAATTGAGTTAGACTGAATTTCTTGAATAGCTTGACCAATTTCTCCTTCATGCTCAGCAGAAATACCTATTTAAAAAGTGATAATTGTTACTTTTTTTTTAATCAACAGTCTTTAATTAATGATCTTTTTTGCTTAGAAATGAGAATCAAGGAAGATACATTCAATATTTTAATTTAAGCACTAAAAAAAGCCCTTGATCTATATACCTTAATTTTAAAAAATAAATAAAATTTGTTTACTTTGACTAGTTAAAAAAAAACTCAACCTTAACATTGCAAACAATGAATATTAACACACAATTATACTTATGGTACTAAAAATTGGGAGGGTTTAAAGAAAATGCAGCACTTTCCTAAGCTTTATAATTCATTTTTATTAAATTATTTTAGAGAAAAATCATTTTAAGGATAGTCTTTAGAAAATGATAAAAGTTTAAGTCTTTTGCTTAAGGGGGAAATGCATATTCAGCAAGAAGTCAAGCTATAATGATAAAAATTTCGTTCAATATTTTATTCAAACATAAATTTGTTTCCGGAATTCTATTCAGTACAAATCACTTAATCTAGATCAAAAGCACCAACACAAGACATTCTCACTAATCATAAGCTTGAGAAAGTGTTATTGCAGGAGGAGAAACCTTAGTTCATTTTTTAAAAGAGAATGCAGCACTAAATCAGATTTTTTAAAAAATAAATAAATACAGTAAATGTATTTACTAAGAACTATCCCAAATCATATAAACTCATTCATTTCAAACAATAAATATTAACTAACCATTAAACTTTCAGAATTTTAAAAAGTCTGCAACAAATCCTTAGCCTGATAGGCAAAATAATAATGAAAATAAGAAATAAATTCACATATTTGTAAAATTAAATTAATTCATTACATTCAAAAGTTACTATATAGCAGAGGTGATTGTGAACCCAAGTCAAAATTCCGGAAACTTTCTTGAGTTAAAAAAAAAGAAGTTTAAATTGAAAAATTAGAAAAAAATTTAAACAAGGTTTTTTCTTCCTTTTTCTCAATATTTCTTAATTTACTTAAAATATATTTAGAATTTTGCACATACCTATACCATTTACACATACCTACGATGACCTGGAGAAAAAATTAAAATTTTCAAATATGTCTTTCTTTCTTGAGTTTATGTCTATAACTATTTACTGATAAAAAATGAAATAAAATAAACTGTGTTTTTAAGTGCCACATTTGAAAATTTGATTTCCGGAAACCTCTGTGATCAATGAGTTCTTTAAACATTTTTCCGGAGCACAACCAGCCCTGTATATAGTTAATATAAAAAATTTCTAATGATTTAGTACACTATATAACTATTGCGTACACACTATACTTATGCCAAAAGCATAGGAGTTAGGAAGTTTGTATATACATTTAGGTAGCTATAGCAAACTATTGGCCTTTTAAATATTGATTAGTGAGAAACTACAAATAAAAATTTTGAAATAATGTATTACTTAAACACATCTTACCAGAATATTCGACTTTAGAATAATCAGGCAAATCTTTGCTAACCCATCGCATATGGACATGATGCTGATGTTTTCTGCATAATTCAACAGTAGGAAATCTCATACAACACAAAAAGCATGTGTTACGATCTAAATTAGAAGGATCATAATGTTCTTGGTGAGTGACATCTGCAGGAATACTAATTTCTTCAAGTCCAGAATGAACATCACACATGTGTTTCTAAAATAAAACAAACAATATGTTTAAGCAAACAAAGATCAATACATAAACAATACATGAATTTCCCAAAAATAAAAATGAACTACTAAGCTGTATCAGGTTATTTAGTGGATATTCTCACAGAAACAAAAGAAAAAAATTTAAACTATTTTAAAACTACAACGATTGTTTTATTTTATGCTTAGTTTTAGCAAGTGTTTTCAGTTTTCAAAATTTTAAGCTTTCAACATACTTTTAGCAGCAAAAAATATATTTTAAGTTATTAGGTGATTTTGTTCTTAGTTTAGTAAAATGAACATTACTTTTTATTAAATTTAAATAAAATTTTTAGTCTTATAATTTACCAACTGTGATAAAAATGAACTTTCAGTGGCTTGTAACAATTTTGTAAGCTTGTAATTTTTAAAACTTCATTTTAATACTTTTTTAATACTTTGCAACAAAATAATAAATAAAAATGATACTTACAATTTACTTCGATTAATAATTTACTTTATTTTATATAAGAATGCAACATCAAAATTCGTAGCTAAAGAGCAGAAATTTGCTACATCAAGTTACAATATATCATGCATCCAAAGTAATGAAATTTGTTTAAAAAAAAACCAAGTCTTGTAGGAAAAAAAAAAAGAAAAAGATCATCATGATACATCAGGGCTCAGAAACATGTTTTTAAACAAAAGCAAATCTTTGAACGAAAGGAACTCTTGAATCCAAGTGTGCTAATGATCACGTTCCTCTTAAAAATCATAATTCTATGCATTCATAATTTTGTCATAACACTTATATTTGAATATAATGCTTATGACAATACATTGATATTCAATCAGTAATAACAAACATAACTTAAAAGTGCTAAGAGTATCACTTAAGAGGGTTTACCAAATTTAACGCAAACTACTTTTAAAATAAACTATTATTTTCCGTAAAATATAATTTCCAGAATATTTCTAATAACGAAATACATGCAAAAAAACTTACTTCAATTTCAGTCTTGTCAGAGAATGTAAGAGAGCAATGATTGCATTTGAAGAATACAGCATTAGAATTACCACAAGCATCAAGTGTTTTTGATTCATGCATAGGTTGCAATTTGGGACAAGTTGGTATATGATTCATAAGTTCATGAGGATCACCATATGGATAAAGGCACTTTGCACAAGACCAGGTTTTGGGGCCTAAACAATCAATTAAATAATCAGTATACAATCATTAAATTAAAAAGTTAAAAATATATTAATAATTTTATTGTGGCACTGAAATATTTTGAGTGAAATCATTGGAAAGATATGTCTGCTATAATGATCTAAGAGACTAAAAGAAATTTTATAAGTAAAAAATTAAATAAAACTAAAAATATTATTTATGTGATAGGTGTTGTCGGCTGAAAGAGACTGCTTCAACAGTTTAACATAAAATAAACAAAAAATAACTAGTAATTAACAATATTTGATTTTAGTAACTCGTACAAAAAAAAATCCAAAAGAATTCCAATGTTCTTGAGCAATTGTTTCTCACATTTAAATATATTTTTCGCCCAAAAAAATTTTAAAAAGGTATAGAAAAAGAAAAAGTCTTCTAAGTTTTCTATAACATAACTTTAATGCATAACATATTAAGAGTTTGATTACATTTTAAATGTCCAGTGTGAATTTTAAATTTCCATTTATTTTCCTCTTATCAACAAAATCTGTAACAGAAACTATAAAACTATTATACAGTGCACCAACAAAATGAACCACCCTGAATAATTTTTTAGCTACGAATTGGATTTTCATGTACCAGTATTCAATCCTTAGGATTTGAGGAAGTGACCTCAAATATGCTAATTAGTTAGTGAAAACTATATTTTAAATTACGAAATCAGACACAAAAATGTTATTTCTCTATTTAATTATCTTTCTCTCAACTAATCATGATTTCAAACCATCAAAATAAAGGGGATAGCCGCAAACTAGGAATTAAGGTTTTAGCAACCAGATAGCAGAGCAGTTGAAAATTTGGATCCCTTACTTAATATTAATTTTTTTCTTTTGGTGTATTTCGCTATATCTCCAGAACTTTTTGATCATAAAAAATATTTTTTAAAAGTGAAGAATTATATTTAGTTCACTAAAAATTTTAAATTATATTCAAACATTAATTCTAATTGCAATAAATATTTTTGAGAATATATCATTTTCAGTTTCATGCACAATACACTTGATAATATATTTTTTTGATTGAAGGTCATTTTATTTTATACTACATTTTAATCAAAACTAAGGACAAATTGGGTGGTAAAAAATAAAATTTTATATTTTCTTTCTATAACAGTATCATACCTTCTTGTTAAGTATCTAAATAAAAATTCTGTAATTTCAAACAAAATAATAAAATTTGAGCCATAAACTTAACTACTAACCTGTTTGGACAGCATGTGAGAGCATGATGTGTTTTGTTAGTCTATCCTTTCCATGAACATAGACAGAACACACTGAACACTGCAAATGTGGACCAGGTTGATCTTGTAAATGTCTCTGTTTAACATGAGTCCTTAAACGACTAGGCCTAGAAGTACAATAGTTACAATAACGACAAACATAAGTTTGCATGCGATGCATTGTTTTCATGTGTTGATGATGAGAGGTAAAATCAGCAGATGAATGACCACAAAGACCACAATAGAAAAAGTTACCAATTTCAGTAACATCAGCCTCTGGAACCAACCGTACTGTCTTGTTATGTGCATTTGGATAGTGGTCTCTAACTTCAGCCAGTGTTTTTAAGGTAGTTTCACAAAACCGACATCCAGAATTCAGAGTAGTTTCTTCATTAACATCAGCTGGGACACATACAAATACAATATTTTCATTGAACTCAGCTTTACTGGTATGTACAGCCAATTCATGAATTACATGATAATGTTTCTCCAAATCAGCAGGAAATCTGAGAGAATATTTGTTTCGACAGAATAAACACTGCAAAGTAGTATCATAAGAAGAAAATATCTGACGAAACAAAAACATGCCAGATAACTTATCACAGTTATCAGCTTCACTAAGAGGAAGTTCACTTTCAACAAGCTGAACAGAATTGGGCAAAATCATTGCATTCAAATCATCAATAGTTTCAAGAGTGCAGTCTTCAAGAGCTGGTCTTGTATCTCCTCGTTTTTTCATCTAAATACAAAACAGGATAGAGTTTAGATTAGAAAAGTTCTGAAAGAAAACTTATATATTTAGTTAAGAAAAAGAAATATAAATAAGACAGAAATAATTAATGAATAACTTTTACAAACTTCAACTGAACTTACTCCATAAGCATATCTTGCCCCAGATTTTTTAGGATCGTCATAGTCCTCATCATCATCTTCCATGTATTTTGATTTTTCAATTTCTCTAATTCTTCCAACACTTCGACGAATCGCTTCAACTTTAGCTGTAGCTTTCTGAACAGCTTTTTGACGATCATTTCCACTCACTTCCACCATAGTTCCATCCTGCATAACAACAAAAACACGATTCTTCTTAATTTCCCGCTCTTCTTTTATCTTCCTACTAACAATAGAGCTCTTCCTTGTCATAAGTTCACTCAGAGTGGTACCTAAATAACCACCATTAGTCAATCTACTTAGCTGATCTTCTTTACGAGGACGACCAGGTCGCCGTTTAATCATTTGTGCACCACCTCTACCTCTTCCTGAAGGGATTCTCTGCATGAATTCAGGACTGAATTGAAACACTGACGATTTTTTTGGTCCCTTTCTAATAGGACTAAAATTTGGATCTTGTATTAATTCTCTGAAATTAATACTATCTTCATATGAAGAGTTGTTGGCTGTTGTCACATTTCCATCTATACTCATAGAATTTTCATCCCCAGACTCAGGTACTAATATTCTTTCACCTCCAACTGTTTGAACAGTTTTCATTCCAGGTTCTGGACGAGACTGAATAGGTCTAGAAAGCACAGTATTTGTCTTGAATATAGGAGTAACAGTTAAAGTTCTTTGTCGTACTTCTGGTTTTGCACCAGATGATGAAAAAGATGGACTTGAAGACATGCCTTGAACAATAATGTGGCGCTGAGGCTCAAATTTTCGTGGTCTACCTCGTTTCTTTGATGATAATTTCCACATTTGCTCTGGGGTAATACCAGATGATTGTGACGTTTCACCACCAAATCCTATCATAATAGGGCGAGGTAATTTTGCAGATGCTGGTTTCGCACGACGTGTCGGACCATCAGAAAGAATATCATCGTCGTCATCATATGTGCCTGACAAATCTTCTTCGAAATTACTATCATTAGAAAGATCTGCTTCAGATTCTGAAAACTTTCCAAGTTTTGGTTTGGGAGCTGATGATGTAATAGCTTCGTCAAAATTCTCAACAATATAATCATTCCAACGGGAAGGTAATTTACTTCTTCGTCTCTTTCCTGAAGTGTCTTCAGAATAAGTACTATCTCGCGCATTTAGCTGTGAATCATTGGTGGTATCATCATGAAGAAAGCTAGGTGGATCAACTGTTTTTGGCTTTTTAGGTCGCCCAGGCCTTTTTCTATTTGTGCCAGACTGCATGTAGCCATACAGACTTGAGGGTTGTTTTTTCATCGTATGTGATAAAACTTGAATATCATCATCATCTGCCTCAACTTTTATACCAGGAAGAAAGTTGATTTCTCTGTTACTTCCTTTGTTTAGGATAATTTCTTGATATTTTTTAGAACCTGACATTTTGGGCTCAAAATTGGATTGATCCAGTAAATTAAGTTGATTTTGTTCTCCCATCACTAATATATATTTTCCTGGCTCTCCAGGTTTAGGTAAATAAATTGCTGAGGGTCCCTCTTTCCTGGAGCCTTGTGAACGGTTTAAAGCTCCCCACATTTTATTTTCATCATTAATAACTTTTACTTTGGAGGAGGAACTTTTATTTCCTTCACTTTCATCCAAATCTTGATTAAGGCCCAAAGCTTCAAGAAGTGTTTCAGTAGCAACTACTGTTCCTGATACTAAATCCTGAGAAAAAAGTAGTTTTAGTAAAAGAACATTTGAAATAAATTTTGTAAAATGCACAAAAAAATTTTATTGTACATATGAAATACATATATTTATGTTATGATTTATTTAAAAAGCATAATACCAAATAAAGTTGAAAGCTAAATGCAATTAAATTTTTAATTCTACATTATTCACAGTGTGATAAATGCAACTTCATTTCTGTGAAATAGATGTTCCAATGTTTTGAAATGAAATGGCTTCTGCAAATCTGGTTATTTCCCTGTTTTAAATAAGATATTTTTCCTATATATTTAAAGTAATAGCACCCTCTATATTTCAAATTTGAATTACACTAATATTATATTTATCACAACAAAATAATTCAAAGACATATAGAAAAAACTGATAACCGATCTGAAATGATTACAGAGTTCTCTCTAAGAATAAAAAATAGCAGGGCTTTTCCTCTCAGAAAAAGGCATTTTGAGTTTTGAAAGGACACTAACTACATAAAAAATTTATCAAAATGTGTAACATAATGTAATAACTGAATTTTATCCTCAACAATTTTTAATTACTCTTTTTTACTATTTTATGTGTATATTTCAAAAAGTAATTTTCTTCTATTATGAAAATTAGAGAAAAATTTGCAGTTTATTTATATGTAGTTATTTTTAATGTGAATCAGAATTAAACCTATAAACACAGATAATTTTACCAGTGTGTAATTATTGTTTAAACAGTGAATTAGTTTTCTTCAAAATGGAATATGAATAAAAAGGCAGTGTTTTGTAAAAGATGGCGAAACATCAGATATTTTGATATTTGTCAGATATTTTGATAGTTGTCAGACATTTTAATATTTATCAGATATTTTAATATCTGATGTTTTTTATTTAAAAAAACTAACCTCATTGTTTATTTTGCAGCATGACCTAAATAGAAAATTTAAAAATAACTTTATCTTATATATGCTTTGACTATACCTAATTTAAATTTCTTTCTTCCTTCTTTCTTACTTTATAAAAAAAATTTACTTTCTAAAACCAATTTAATTATGAAAAAGCATCAAAAATTTATGGTGATGTCAGGGCTCGAAAAACCGCCCGTCAAACATACCCCGCAGACAACAAATTTCTCGAATCTGACGTCAGCGCGGACGGCCATTTTTCCGCAAATATTCGTGATAAATTTTCATTATCTTACAAGAGTCTTGCGCCTCACTTCTAAAATGACCCTCTAATCTGGAAATAGAGCAACATACTGCACATGGTGAAATTGATGTTTTCTCTGTCAGGGAGTACTGCAGAGGTTGAAAGGGACTTTTCAGCAATGAACTTACAAAAAAACACATTACGTATTGGTCTTAAACAAGAAGCGTTAAACGCGATTATGAACATCTACCTAAATGGAAAACCCCTTTCAGATTTCTGTGCAGAAACCTCTGTAAATCATTGGTTTGATTGCGGAACGGGCAAACGTCATATTTGATTCATTTAAAAAACGNACGCGATTATGAACATCTACCTAATTGGAAAACCCCTTTCAGATTTCTGTGCAGAAACCTCTGTAAATCATTGGTTTGATTGCGGAACGGACAAACGTCATATTTGATTCATTTAAAAAACGCAGTACACTCGGATAAATTGACATTTAGATAACTTGACCTTTGTCATTTAAATTATTTTATAAAAGAATTACTAGGTTACTATCAGTAACCTAGTGTTTCTTTTATTACTGTATAATATAATCCTAGTATTTGCAATGCTAGTAACTACTAATTCAATGTGCAATTTATATAAATGTTTGTAATTAATAAGAGAAAATTATATTTTTATTTACTTAGAAGCTACGAGTTAGTTTCAAAGGAGGATGGGTACATTGTTGGGCAAGCCGTCCTCGAGGATGGGTAAAATTTCTGAGTTTTTTTTAGGCCTGGGTGATATATTTCTCTTTCAATTCTGATTATAGCAAGAACAATGCCTTACATAATTTGTGACAAAATAAACTAGAGTAAAAGAAATTTTAGTAAAAGCACAGCATAAAGATTTAAAAATTACATATTAATGTTTACTTAAAGTAACACACACTTACATTAGCAATTGAACTCAAAATTAGCAAGATATTTAAGGAAACATTCACTTTATTCAGTTATATTTAAACTAAAAGTATTTTAATTAAAAAGATAATAAAATTACAAAAATAAGTTTCCTAATTTTTAAAAAAAAGAATATTTGTTTAAACCTACCCTGAAATAAATATTCGACAGATATCATGGTATACATCAAACAACATTGTTTTCTGCAAGTGTGATTTATCTTATATATCATAACATAACTCTTCACACACACATACACGAAAAGAAATACAGTGGAACCTCAATTTTACGTTGTTCGTTTCGTAGGTTATCCCGCTTCTTGCGTCATTTTCTGCTGATCCGTGAAAATTGCGTATACCGATAATGTTAAAAAATCCCGGATTTTTCGTTACCCCTTTTATGAAAATCCCGCTTGATGCGTTTTTCTACCAACAGATCAAATTAATTTTTTTTATTCTACAACTCTCACACAAAATTTTTTCTAGTTTTTTGAACCAGAAAAACTTGCTTTTCAGCTATATGGAGCAATTCTTGCATTCTTTCTTTTCCATTTGTCAATAGGAGGGTAGGTAACAAGCATAAAAACTTCATAGCATAAAAACTCTAATGCAATTTTTACTTGCAAATGTAAATCAAGAAGCAAATTTGCAAAAAACTGTTAGTATCGAACGAGTTGTAGATGAAATTGTAGCTAAAAACAAAGAGGAAGTGAAGATTACTAATCTTTTCCATTAATTTACCTGCTAGGTGTCCATTTTTAAAAATATGCATAGATTTTTCTTAATCCCGATTTTACGTTATTCCACTTCTAGCGTTTTTTATCGCAAGTCCGACCGAAAACGTAAAATCGGGGTTTCACTGTAGTATTTTAATATATATTACATGTTTATATAAGACACTTTGCTTATGGCATATATTTTCTTAACTCATAGATTTGTGTATGCACATCTGGCAACTATATATGGTTTTAAGTATTATAAAATAAAATGTAAAAAATTCGATTCATAACAAAGAAGCAGAAATTATGTTGCACATAAAAAATTAATTTAGTAATAACAAAAATATAATTATTAATTTATTTAATTTAATAATGATAAAAATATAATTATTTAATAATCAAAACTTACTGATCCCAACTTTATTCTTTTGGCAGGTGAGAAAGAACTAGCATCTGCTAGAGAACGTTTGACGGCTGCAAGGCGTTGTTTCTCCTCTAGTTCTTGTCTTCTTTCATATTCATAAATGAGATCTTTACTATAGATATTTTCCTCAGGCTCCCATCCATTCTGAGAGCTAAATTTAAAAATAAAAAAAAATAATCCACAATTTACTTCAAGTTTACCAAGAAAAAGAAATGCAGAAAACTTATTTAATTAGAAAGAAACAAAATGTACTCTATATGTTAACAATGCATTATTATAGCACCACAAAATTGAATAATTTAAAAAGTTCTTACTCAGGATAGCCTTTCCATTTCAAAAAATATTCAACTCTTCCATCAACTATTCTTTTATCTAAAACTTTCTCCACTTGATAAACCTGGCCATTCTAAAATAATAAAAGTCATTTTCCAAATGTCAAATATTTCTCAGAACATAAAACAAATTATAAAGTTACTAACAGGCTCTTTCTTAATAATTTTTTAAAATTTAATACGAAATTGTGTATTAAAAAAGTCATTACAAATCATATGGTTAATTCATATTTAAGAAATTGAGGAAAATGTACCAAAGATCAAATGAAATAAATTTTTAAAAATATATAAGAATTCAAATTAACATGAAATTACAACGATAATTAAAAAATAAACATAAGAATTCATATCAAAATGTNTATGGTTAATTCATATTTAAGAAATTGAGGAAAATGTACCAAAGATCAAATGAAATAAATTTTTAAAAATATATAAGAATTCAAATTAACATGAAATTACAACATTGAGCAATGCTATATCAGATTTGTAGCCGTAGTTTCAAATCTGCATCATTTTAATTTGGGGAAGATCCTTCATTTATTTATGATTATTTTACACAGTCAAAAAAGATACTCTCTTACACAGTTAATAAAGTGACTGAAAAAATTACAAGATATGGAGTGGAAAAAAATCAGAATCACACCTAATAAATAAAAATTAACATTTAAAAAATATTTTTTCTATATAAAATACTAAACATGCGGTTTCCCTCATTCAAATGTTTCAGTGAGCAACACATTCTTTTTAAAAAATTCACTTTTATCCACACTTTCTAATTCCACAACAGTTTTGCAGTTATATCGAATCTTTTTTAATCAGTTTTCGGATTGGCGATTTTCAAGGAATCTCGATATTTTCAGAAAAAAATATTTTATATGTTTTGTAAATTTAAATGAGTGTAATTTTTATCATAATTAAAAAATAATCATAAGAATTCATATCAAAATGTTTCTGATTACACAGTAAAAATGTATACATAAAGGCTCCCTAAAATTTTATTTAATTATATTTTTTATGCCATGTCTATAAACTTTATTACATGAAATAAAAAGAATATTTTTTTAATAAATTCATTTTATTGCTTTTAATTGCTTTATTATAAATTGCTTTTTAAAAATGCTCGTAATAGTGACATATTAAAGAGTTAAAAGAAATACAGACTTGTCACCCCCCAAACTAAAAAATCTAGAGAAATTTTTCAAAAACCTGGAGATACAGAAAAAAATTAAATGTTTCATTACATAAATGAAGAAAAATATTATCCAAAAAAAAAAAGGTCAAAAATACCAATAACTTATTACAAACATATGTACTCAATTATTTTAGTGATAGTGAGACATGTAAATAAAAAAAAAAATACCCCAAATTTTTGTTAGACAAAAATATGTATTCATATTTTTATAAGAGGCCTATTTAACGTTCATTGTGGCCAATTCTGCTATTAAAAGAATATAATTTTCATAAATGAGAATTTCATGAAATTCTCATTTCATGAATTAAATTATTTTAAAGAACTAAAATACCTACACTTCAATATTAATCATAATAAAAGAAATTTCAATTCTTGACACAGATTTGGAAGATCCTTGAGTAAAAAAAATAACAATAAAAAGCAATAATAAAAATAGCCTCAGGAAAATGATTTTTAAAAAAATTAAATTACGGCTTGTTAATTATTCGCATGAACATTGAAAATAAATGCTACAAATATGTTATAAGTAGTCTAGATACAAAGCATTCTTTTTTACAATTTCTTCATAAATTAGTATTCTCAACTCTTAAAAATAAATCATGTAAATGTCAATCCCAAAGTGCAACTTTTAAATCGCAGAAATAAGAAATGTGATGCTGGATTTTTTAAATAACCTGAATATGAATCATGATGAGCGATTTTAAACACTTAAAATACAAATCCTGATCTGTAATGTTTAAATTGGATGATTATGAATAGTAAAGCCTGATCTTTAAATTATGAAGCACAATTTTTAAATCAAATAAATATGAATCTTGTTGGTGGGAGAACTTGTGCAAAAGTGGAAGTAAAAGTGGGCATTCATCAAAGGCTTATTAATGAAAAGTAGAAATACATAGCTGCCAACCTCTAGTTATAAAAATGCAGAAGAAATGCCTAAAAATGCATAAGATTCGCAACTGCATACTAATTACTAATAAATCTATTTTTAAAAAAAGCTGATTTTAATTATTTATTTATAAATCCACTATAATATGAGCATAAAAAAGCAATATACTCTCCTTTTTTAAAAAAACAAGAAAAGGAAAAATATTTTAAAGAAAACTTTTGACCAGCTACTTGATGGTACAATATTCATTTATTAATTCTTGATTAAAGGGAAATATGTAATATATTAAGACTTATATTAAAATTTGTTTAATTACAATATAATAGTATGCACTATATATAAACTTCATAGAAATTATGGAAAAAGATCTACACAGGGTTGCCACAGCAAAAAAGGAACAAAAATAGTTGCCTTTAGTAGCCTCAAGAAGGAAAATAGTTGCCTAAAACTACGAAAATAGTTGCCTGAACAGAGTCAAAAATTTATCAAAAATAGTAGCCAAATAACTTAAATTATAGCTTATTTGTTGTATATTATGATTAGGACTGGGTGATGTCAGAAATTTTAAATCGTTATACATCGCGATATAGCGAATTTAGCATATGTTCAAAAATTACCTTTGGCAAATCTTTAAATCAATCAAAAATAAATAAAAAGAAATTAATCTATTACAAAAGAAAATACCAATTCTAAACATATTCCACTATGACATCAATATCATTGCTTAATATTTTCAATTAAAATAATAAAGAAGTCAAAGTAAAAGCAAACCCAAGTTTCACTTCATTATTCTTAAATTAAAAATGATTTATGATTTATTGGTTTAAAAATAACACTATAACAAAATATTTTACATACATGCATTAAAAATTAAAAGAAAAAAAAACGAAAGTAGAAAACAAACCAAAGAAATGTTCACTTTAGAAAAAAAATATTTTTTTTAAAAATTATTTGTTGAAAAAAAAATCATGCTTTTGAAACATCATTAGACCCTCTTTTATTTAAAATAATAAAAAGTAGTATTGACTAATGGTCAAATTCTGCACTTAAGAAATGCAAAAATATTTTTTCTTTATTATTTTCTTTTTTGAAAATAAAATCGACTAAAGATTTATTTGTTTAAAAATGATACTGACTATCTAAAAAATTATACAACAAACAAGTATTGAAAGAATTTTTATAAAAATTCAAAACAAAATACTTTAAGAACTAATGTTAAATTATTAAAAAGCATCAAAACATTACTAAATTCTTATATTAAATTTTTTAAAAAATTTTTTGTTTTAACTGTACTACGCGCATGGTAGGCGACAATAAGTACATGTTAGTGAGGAGATTGAAAAGTAAAGTTCATTTTTGCGAAAGAACTTTGCTAGGAGTAAAAAAGTCTCTTAATAGTTGCCTATTCCAGAAAATAGTTGCATTTTTAGCCTTTTCAGGCAAAAAAAGTAGCCATAGTCGCCTAAGGCTGAAAATAGTAGCAAATAGTCGCATTTTAGTAGTCTGTGGCAACCCTGCTACATTAAAAAAAATTTGTTCTTCTGACTATATCAGTTTTACCACCACGCATGGTGCTAAAGTCATTTTTCCATACGTTGCAACGTACATCATGTACTCCAAAATTTGATCTAGAAATAAATAGTCATTCAAGAGAATAAGACACCTTTAAGGTTAGTTTGTATTGTTTTCGTTCAGACATAATAAATTAACACGATTAATCTAATGAGCAAATAAATATCGCCATAAACCAATTGCTGTTTTGCTTTGACACAAGCCATTTTCTTTTTAAGTTTGCTTTCGCGCTGGCAAACAGGAAGTCCAGTGATAACGGGAAACGCTCTCGCAAAGTAAGCTGTATTTTCTCTCTCATTGGTAGAAGAGAGGAGAAATCTATTACGTCACATTGAACAATGTAACGTAAATGGAAGGAAAGGGAGGATCACCGCAAACGGCTTCCTAAGGCCATTACTAGAGGAGCATCGACGTCTGACTTAAAGAAAATACTACTTATCGAGCTGACGGGTAAAAAGCGGAAGATCTTATCTTCTGCGCGTAAAAGCGGAAAAAATGGCTAAAATAAGTAAAAATGCTGAAGGGTTGGCAGCTATGGAAATAACAAAACTGATTGGAATTATTCAAAATTTAGAACTGAATAATTTACTAAAATAATACTGGTGACGAGAAAAATAAATGATAGTGCAAATGCATGGTTACAAAAAACTATACAGATGACAATAAATCACTTTTTACTCTATATAAAATATCCTTTATGGCTAGTAACAGATTGAAACATTTCACAAAGCTCCGTGTGACTCCTGAAAAGACAATCACTTAACTTCAGGACAACAAATACCAAAAATGTTCTTAATTTCAAGTTTTTCAATTATGCTTTAAAATCTTTTGAGAATTGCATGTCATCACTGTTTTGTTAGCAGGTGACCACTTAGGTTTCTAGCAAAATAAATGCATTCATACAAATTCCTATACTTCCAGTTTAAAGTGCATGTTTTCTTATTAACTTTAAAATAATTGAAAGACGGACCTAAAAAAAATGTCTCAACTCTGTTTCTATTATCACATATTAGAGCAGCAATATAAATGTTTTTCATGGAAATAAGCAAATACACTAAATTAAAACTAGAACTTACAATTTCTTCAATGCATTGTCGTAAAAGACACCGTTTTTTTGCATGTTTCCAAGAACCAGACTTCTTTTTCTAGACAGACACAAAGATATAATTAGTATTGACATAAGATAATAGAATTAACAAGCATATGAATGAGATTATTCTAGTAAATTATGGTAAAAATGAATTTGAATTAGTTTCGAACCTTAAAATCAACAAACGGGAAAAAATAAATGTTATTTTATTAAAAGTAAACTATTCAAAATTTTTAAGAAGCAATAACTGGGCAATTTTATGGTAAGATCAACCAAGCGACGAAAATTTAAAAGTTAATATTTCTAAGAGAATAAAGTAACATTTTAAATGCAAAAGTCTAAAAAAATTTTAAAAAATAATAATTTTTAATTTAATGCATGCATTTTCTGTTAAACTACTAGCTGTTAAGAGAAAGGCAATATTATTTGAATGGTCTAGAATTGAGAAATGATATAGTTCTTAAGTACACTTAGAGACAGATTATCTTGCACAAATATAGAGAATAATGAAAAACTTTAACTGTTCAAAAACATTCATAATTTCTACCATAATTATAAGTGCAGGGGTCTGTCAAGGTTTTTCTGAGAGGTACCTATTATGTGAAAATTAAGACGTAATTTGTGAAAAATTAAAAATTATATTACAAAATCAACACAAAAATATTGATTTATCCTTTCTTTTAAGGAAAAAGTATTTTGTGAAACTATCGTTTTTTCTAAAGTTGAATTTGTGAAACTACCGTTTTTCCTAAAAATAAATTTGTGAAGATACCGCTAAATGGTAGTAAATTCGACCTGGACAGACCCCTGANGACAATAAACATACTTGAAACGTTATGAACAGGGTTGGCAAGTTTTTGACACATTTTCCAAATTCAAAGCCAAGTTCTACATCTTATTGGTATAACTGAACTCAAATTTTATTATTATTCTCATACATAAATTAGAATACAGTATTTAAATCTTATATATTAAATTCTATTGAAAATTAATAATTATTAAATATTACTTTTAAATCTAATAACTATTCATGTTTGACATCATTGCTTTTTTTTTTTTCATTACGTACTTTCAAATATTTCTCCCACACATTTTGGTTTTTATTTATGATGATTATTGAATACGCAAAATGCAAACTAAATATACTTCTGTATTACGTATTTTCAAAACTTCAAATTCTGTTTACCTAATAAAAGTTATTTACTTTATGCACAAAAAACAAATAATTAGAAATTTTTTTTTTAAAAAAAAACGAAGCAGAAGATGCCAACCAAGATTAAATTGATATTTAAATTGATAAAGTATATAATTGTTTTTGTTTTTTTCAAATTAAAGCTAATTGTACATTAAAGATGTTTTTAAACGGAACAATTACTTTTTGATTGCAGATTTACTGTTTATCATTCATTTAAAATCCATACTTGGTGATTCCTTTTTAATAAGCACTAAATAATAAATGAAATTTTATTATGGCAAAATGACATATTTTAGTAAGCAAGATAAAATTCATATTAGTTAGATTTTAAAAGTCAATTTCAGACTTTCACAGAATTAAGAGGATTTGCAAACAAGTAATATTTTTTACTTTTGAGTGATTCATAACCAACACCAACTGTTTCATTTATTTCATTTGAAATTCTTGAATTATTTATTTAATAAATTTATTACTTTTAGATAGATATTGATTAACTAATTTTTTATCAATCCAAATTTTATTTTAAATTTAACTTAATTTTAAATTTTAATTTAGTAAATTTAATTTTTTCTAAGCAATTTTTATTCATTTGTTACGCCTTACACTAATGAAATTGCTGGACTGTTATAATAGGTGACATTCTGAATTTTATAAAGTAATTCACATATGGGGGAAAAATTTTCCTGATTCTTTTTGCTCATTCTTTAGGTCTGACACTAGGGCATTATGAAGTTGATATTGTAAGATATCAAATATACTAATTAAAATAATTAATACAAGAAAATTTAAAATATTATTACAAACAAAAAAAAGCAATTTACATTCATAAGATAAGCAATTAGCAATTTAGATTCATAAGTTAGAAAATTATACATTTTTGAAACAATTAAAAAATACTACTGAGAAAACAGGAAAAAATATATGAATCAGTAACGGGAGAATAAAATAATCGTAAGATTGTTTATAATTACATTAACAGATTATTTTAAAATTATGAACTAACATTAAGGAACATTAAGTTTACAGAAAATGCAACTTGGAAAAAAGCTATAATAGAAATGCGCATAACATATATAAAAAACTATAAAGATTCTAATTAGAAAAATTGAAAACGTAAGATAAGATAATGAATCGAAATTGGCATTTGCCTTTTAAAAAAAACTTAGACATACCAAACAAACTTCACACTCTTCACAATCTTCTGTTCTGATGCAGTTTTCACAAATTCCACAAAATGTAGCATCTTCATAAGTATCCATAGGTTCATTTTTAATTTTGATACCTCCATAGTAGCTCTTGTCCTTATATCTATACTTTTTTTCCTAAAATAATGAATTGATTAATATCACTGAAAGATGTGACAGTTAGATAAAATAGTAAGAAAAGAAATCAAAATAATTAAAGTAATTAGAAACTACACTTACAGTGGAAAAATGTGCAATGCAGCAGAAATTTCAAAAGGAAATTGAAATAAAAAAAAAGAATAAAAAAAACAATGAAAAATATGACAACCAAAGCTGATGTTAACCCTTGAAGTTATAAATGCAAAACCTTTTCTATCGAGAGAGCACGACAAATATCTAAATGTAAATGACAAATGTCTTTGGGGTACAAAGAGAGCAACTTAAACATCAGTCCGTAAATTTAAAGAATCGAATTTGAATATTTTTATCAGCTTTATAAATAAAAATAACAAGATTTTAGATCAATTATCCAAATCTTTTGATTTATCAAATTATAGATTACAGGATCTTAACATTCACAAAAATCAGGAATATAGAACAAGTTAGGACAAAATATTGAGTTTCAGGAAAATCAGGACAACTTTGAACCTAGAAATACTCAAAAATAAAGAAACTTCTTTATTAAGTAAATTATTTCTTACTGAATACGAAGATTTATGGCCAATTTAAAAAGTATTTATAACTTGATATTTTTATCAAAAATTCTTTCTCTGATGAAATCAGTGTTCGCCCTAAATGTGTTTAGATTGACGGCTTGTCCTGCAAGCCTTTGATGACTGTGCCCTCCTTTTCCTTTTTGTAAAAACAAGCAGCCATTCCTTAAAAACACTGCCCTCTTATTCATATTCCACTTTTTTTTAAAAATTCATTGTTAAAATAACTACACACAAAAATTATCTACGTTTATAGGCTTAATTCCGATTACCATTTTAATTCCGATTACCATTTTTTTTATTGATTTGAAACTTTAAAATTTTTTTTTAAATAAATACCTTCTTTTTTAAAGAAACAATGCACCTTTAAATGTTCATTCTTAAATAATTTTCCGTATAAATTATAGAAAAATATCTTCTAAGCAGTTAATCAAAAAAATAATTAATTTTTTAGCTAAATTGTTTTTGTTTGTTTTTTTGAAAAAATGTATGCACAGAAATTGTCTCTTAGCATACCTTTAACTATTATTTATTAACTAAAATTTTTTCTTCCATTTAGATAATGAGCGAAAATTACTTTTTTAAATAAACACATAAAATGGTAACTTAAAAAGTGTTAAGGATCAAATCCAGTTATTACATGATATCACACAATTCAATAAATTTTTAAATAGTTAAGTGAGTGTCCTTTCAAAACTTCAAGTGCCCTTTTCTGAGAAGAAGCACCCAAACTTTTTTTATTCCTCGGAAAAATTCTGATAAAACAGAAAAATAAAGCAATCTGATAAAGAATCAATAACTATATTTTTTGCTTGAATATTATTTGCTTGAAACACTAGCAAAAATCAATAGATTCATGTAAAACAAAAAAGAAAAAGTAGCATAAAACCACAATACTTTATCTCCTTTCTCAGAAATATTTTTTATATTATATTATGAAAGTTAAAATACCAGAAATCATTTCTGATCTTTTTTTTTTAACAATCTTTTGTGAAAAAATCTACTTAAAATTTTGAGACTTTGTGATGATTTCCAGTTTTCTTAAAATCTCAGAAACAAGTGTACTTTTTGTGGTTAAGTCCTGTTTTTGCAAACTTGTGAAAATTCTATAAATTTACTAGATCTAAAATTAGCAAAGAATCGAATTTTTTTCTGTCAATAATCCATTTTCGTAAAGATATGAAAATAAGGACTTGCTTTTGTGAAGAAAGAAAAAAACTTGAAGACTATGCCTTTAAAAAATTGTAGTAGTTTTAAATTTATGAATTTATGTCATCAACTCCATTTTTGAAAGTAAGATTTTAAAAAGGATTCAAACTCTAAAAGAATTTTGAGAAGGAGCTGAAACTGAAAAATGTTGAGCAGTCTTTTTGTAGAATAAAATATTATAAGAAAAGTAGATAAATGGACCCCAAACTTCAAAGTAAATCTTGAATATGATAGATAAAAGTTATTACCTTAGAAGATAAGTAATAATCTCGATACTTTGACTTTTTTTTATGCTTGTGACTGAGGTACTTTTCATATTCTTGGAGCTCATCATATTTTTTAGAATGTTTCCCATGTTTCTTCCCTTTACCTACAAAATAACAAAAATCTTATTTTAAAACAAATATTAGAACTATGACAAATTTAATGCTTTGTAGTTATTAAGGCTTAATAATTAATAACTGCTAAAAAGTATAAGTTTTAAAAAATTTCATTGAAAAATAATTTTTTTTGGATATGCTTAGTAGTATGAAAAGTGATTATAATATAAATGAATATTCATACAAAATACTACAAAATCAAACAATTAATTAAATGAGGGATACCTCAGATTGATATATAACAAAACATGGTAAGAAGTGGAAGTAAAAGTGAACATAATATTTGAAAAACTTCATAAAATGATCAGGGTTGGCAAGTTTTTGACACATGACGGTTTTTACCGTTTTATACCATGGTTTTTACCGTCATGTCAAAAAACCCTCTGTCAAAAATGTCAAAAACCCATAGTTTTGAGAAAACTGAATTTAAATTTGAGTTTAACTGCTTATGATTTAAAATTAATTCATTTTTGGGCAATAAAATTAGAAAAAAAGTTGCTAAAAGATATTTAAGAACAGATTTTTGCATTTTCCCAACATGATTATATCAAATCATACTATTTGAAGTAAAATATTAGGATACTAAACAAAATTTTCAACATTTCCAAGCATCATTTTGTTTGGCATATTACATTACTGAAGAATGTCAAGTCATTCCTGACTTAGAGTTTGTTAGTAGTTACAAGTTTTGAAAGTTTTGTTTAGCTTATTTCTAATATTTAAGAAATGCCAAATTTTAAATTCTTCTTTTTAGTTCTTGAATTTATTAATAGTACCAAGTTTTTTTGTTTGTTTACTTCTAACAATTAAGAAGTGCAAAATTTTTAATCCTTTGCAAATCAAGCTATAATGATAAAAGTTAAGTATCACTATTTTCAATAAGTATATTACAATATTTCTGTATGAATGTATATCCTTCTATAAGAATGCATGTATATAGTTGCAAAATCAATAGCAATTGTTTACAACATTCATTTATAAAGGCAATTAAGTGAAAATAATATATTGTCCGCTATATGCCATAAATTAAAGAATACAGTAGGTTTTTCACAGCTTTTACCGGTAAAAACATGGTTTTTACCACTGTCATGTCAAAAACCCAACCCTGAAAATGATAAACAATATTAAGATTTATAGTAGCAAATTAATAAATTTAAAAAAGAAAAGTATAAACAATACAAACATTTTAAAATGAAATAAATAAAAAGATCAATTCAAACATTTCTTACTAGAATTTTATTTACCTACTATTGTTAGCCAAGTCTTAAAAACTAAAGCAACACTTCTATGAAATGGATAATTTTAAGAAAAACTACAATATAAGAATACATAAACTTTTAAATGCAAAAACATTTATATAAATGCTATTTAAAATTTGTTGCAGGGTCCATTTTGATTGTTTTTAGGATTTTGTTAGTTTTTTTATTTTTATGCTGTAATTTTTGTGAAAATCCTATTTTTTAAGTTTGACTTTAAATTATTGTTCTTTAAACCAAAAACATTATATTATAAATTTTTGAAATCTAAAACTAAAACAAATACAAATAATAAAACAAACTCATAATTTGTCTGAAGTAATTTCTTGGTATTACTTAATGAATAGCCAGAACTCAGATGAAAATAAAAGAATAATTATAGCAAGAATAGTTAGGTATTTGAAAAATAAGCAAGTCTTTCAGGCCAATAACTTGAAAGCTCAGCAGTTTAAAATTAATGTTAGGTTTTAAGCTTAAAATTAACACCAAAGTATGCAGCTTAAAAGTACTTTTTTAAAAACAGTTACTTAATATATACCTAACTCACTTAGTTTTAAAGAGTGAATCGAAATTAAATGCAAGTTACAAAACTACTGTACAGAAAATAAATAATAGTACAACCAAGAGAAATAAAGATTAGTGATAAAAAAAACCAGTTTATTCTTTTTTTTTCAATTTTAAAATGTTTATTTCATTTATTCATTTTCTATTCGATTGTTTCAAGTCGAATTAATTACTAAAAAATAAAAATTTTATATTTTGGTATATCATCTGGAAAAATAGTAACCTTTTAAGTTTTTGTGTTTGTTTATTAGTAATTAGTTCCATGGGAAATCAAGGATTTTTTTTCAAGCCTCAAACTAATGACATCTATCTTTTCAAAATAATAAATTAAAAAAATCACTAAAATTTTATTTTAAAAAAATCAAGTTATCAAAAAAAATCAACAACAAAAATTTAAAAAATGCATTTTCGAGCAGTGCTGTCTCTAATCTATCTAATCTTAAGGGACATCTAACAGACAGTTAGATGTCCCTTAAATGGGAAATATTATTTAAGCAGGCAGCAAATACTAATATTGCAGGCAGCAATTCAAGTTGCAATACAGTTAAAAGAAGAAAAAAAACAATACCAGAATTAAATTAATAAAATTTAACAATCAATACTTCAATAACTAAATTACCATGTCATGCAAAACAGATGTAAATCTAAAAATTTAAGAAATTTCTTCCAAAACCAAAAAAAAGTAACAATATAAAAAAATCATTTACTAGGAGAATGACGAATAACTTCAATTTCACTTTCATCATCGTCATCATCCTCAGAAGTCTGCTTTTTTGTAGCAGGCACACATTCTTCACTTTTGTGGGCAACAAAATCATCCAAATTAAAAAATATCTTTTCACAAGCACCACATCTCAGAATATCTAAAAATAATAAAAAGAACAACACTCAAACAATTAATATATATTGTATTACATTACTCAGCAACACAAAACTAAAAGAACATAAATAATTAAGCCGGATATGTGTATGCTTAAATTAGAGATATTATTTAATTTATTTAGTGACAGAAAATTTTACAGATAATTACTGTACAAAAATACATATATACATATGAAAATATTAACATCACTTTAAATCAATCACATAACAAAAAAGAAATATAAATAATCAGAAATTTCATTAACAAAATCTAAAACCTATCAAAATGACCAACATACCATTCAAATTTGGCTTAACTTCTTTTTCATCAGCAGCAGAGGCTGGTTCTTCAAACTCATTTTCGTTTGCCATTGTAATATTAACTAACTGGCGCACCTAAAAATGTAGAATATAAAAGCAATCATTAATTTCATTTCAAATTTAAAAGAAAGAATCCCAATGCAGAAAAAAAATACAGATAGGATCAGAAAATCAATTGTAATACTTGAATTTATAACAAGACTCTGACAAGTACCAATATTTCATATAAAAAGATGATAACTGTAAACAAATGGTTTTTTATTAAAGTACTCTTTTACCAATTTTTTTTATTTTTTCAATGGGCATTTATTATTATAAGGCAAGATAAACTTCATTTTACAACCTTTAAATTTTACAAATAAAAATTTCTCAAATCTGCTAAATATCAGCAAAAAAATTAATAAGTTTTACCTTTTTCTTGTTTTTAGTTAGAGATCTACCAGGGGCAAAAAAATTAATTAGTTTTACCTTTTTCTTGTTTTTAATTAGAGATCTACGGGGTATACGGCAATTATCCAGTACTCTGCCAGATTTCTACACTGCAAAAGAATTTTATTACCCGGACACGGTTTTTTAATCTCAAGCCCCGGTAGCAATTTTTTATTCCATTGCTGTTTGACAACCCAGAAACAAATTTTAAAAGAAATAAAAGCTTGTATTATAATAGGAACCACCTGCAGTTAAGTTTAAAATTTCCAAAAAAGAGAGCATATGTTTAAAGGCTGGTGGATTGTAAATTAATACCTGGTACTGCTATACTTTGTTATATTTTAGTCCGGGTTCAGGGTACCAGGACCGGATGAATTTTTCCAGGTATCCAAGGGGGGTTTTGCTAAGGGGAATACCTTGATAGATACCTCGAAAGTGAGAGACACAGGGATGCATTCATATGTTGTTCCTTTCACTTTGTGTAGCAGCTGTTTGGAAGATAAATTATTCTCTTTCAAAACATATATGATAAATTACTTTATTTTTACTAATTAAAATTTTTTTGTAGTAAAAAATTCAAGTTATTGGGGAAGAAGAAAAAAAATTTTTTTAGCATTAAGTTGATAAGAATATGAGAGAAAAATTTATCCAATCCAGTTATTGAAAATTCATAAAATTGGGGTTCAAGTTAGCGTGATTTGACAATACTTTGTGTGATATATAAAAATGGATCCACTGATTAAAAAAGGTTGTACCAGGCACTTAACAGATCCAATAAAACAAATATTTGTTTAACAACAAAACCTGTCACTAAAATTTGAAGAATATCTATGCCAATTACGATTAAACACTCCATAAAAAGCTATCATATAATTACTAATTAAATGTGGAATATACTATTCTAAAAAAATACTATATTAGTGAAATTAAATTTGTTTCCAAAATAAAGTAGCATTTTTAAAAAATAATAAAATCTTAAACCATCATTTTTATAGTTAAACTTATTTCTTTTAAATACATTATCTATACATCAACAAGCAAAATACCTTAATGTAATAGGATTTAGGTAATAATATAGTAAGATTAAAAAAAAAAAAAATTCTGTGCACACAATCAAGAAGTATCTGCAAGCTCTCAAAAGTTTTCGAGTACAGAATGATTTTATTACATTACATAAAACATTTAATTATTTAAAATATTTATTCCCGACAAAAAAAAAAAACATATAAATATATATATGCACAATAACATTAAGAATATTAGAGGAAGATTAATATAAACAGTTACAAATAAAAATGAAATTAAAGAATTGCATTCATATTAAGTCATTATTATCTTATTAAGAATTAGGTATTATATTAATGATTTTTCTCTCATAATTCTTCATCATGAAATACATATTTTAACTTTTCCTATTAAACATGGGCCACTGTTTCACTTTTATTAACAAACGAATTACATTCAAAGATTTCCAGCTGTTACCGTAATTGTTTACCTTTGTTGTTAAGCGATAGATGTGTCTAGTTGTTTGCTTGTCCTCTTACAATGTGAGAATGTGATCACTAATTTTTAGACTAAATTACTTATCTTTTCTCTTTGACAGTAGCACTCATACAATTTAACAACTTTCTTCTCTCTTGATTATGTTGTCGTCTAACTATTTTATTTTTTTACAGGCAAACTATTTTTTGTGGATACTTTTTTCTATCTAACAATAAATATTAAAAAATTGTCTGCAAAATTGAAAAACCTTTGCCAATGTAAACACACGTGGCGTGCACACATTCATCTATTTTATCTAAAGGCTTAATAGGGTTAGTCCATTTTAATCTAAACTCAAACTATAAATATTTTAAAGTATTTTACTCTCTCTCCCATAAGATGGATAATACTAGTAAAACTCAACACAAATTGCATAAAATTCTTTTTATGAAATTTATATATTAGGATATAGGCAAAGAGAAATTGGCAATCTTTAACAAACAAACCTCTTGTCTTAATAACACTTAAAACTTCATCTATAAAACAGCTTAACATGCGAATTTGAGCCAGCAATATAAGTTACATTCTCACCTTTGCAATTTAAATGGATATGAAGAAGTCATCATAAATCTTCAATTCAAACTTTTAGCTATTTGATGTTAATTAGCAATTAAATAATTTCAAATTGTGAGGTTAAAATGAGACTTAAAACCTTCATACACAATTTCATAAAAATTAATTTTTTTTTAATTTAATTTCAAAATAATAATGAACAAAAAAAACTTCGGTTTTTAAATTCTAAAATCTGTATTACTCGAAGATAGTTTTGTAGTTTCTTCTTAAAAATTCTTTTTAATAAACATTTTTAAAAAAATGTATAAAATACAATTATTCTTTCTAACACTAAGAAAATAAAAATATCACCATTAAAATATACAATAACTCAATAACTTTTAAAATTTATCTACAAATATTCCGTTAATTAATTCCCATGCTAAGTGAAAGGGAAATATTAAGTAAAAAATCTCGATTAAACGAAATTTAGAACAAAAAATATTTTAATTTGATTAAATAATTATGTTACAGTCAAGATATCCTCCCTATTTTACTTTCTGTAAGTAAGTGACAGTCAAAAACATTAGTTGACATGACCAAAGTAATTTCTGAATGGAATTAGTTCATTAAATATTCATTTTTACAAAACGCGCCAGCATTTGGAATTACTAATCCGTAGAAGTGTCAGTTTAAGTTGTTTTCTAGCAACTTTTATCAACAAAAGTTAATGGAGATAAAACGATGAATTCAACAGAATTTTAAATTCATTTTTTTAATCGTTAAAAAGAGCGGGAGCTCGAATGGTTTTGTTTAAATAAACCGGATATTGATAAATATATAATTTTTCTGTAGAACAAAATAAACAAAACAAAAGATTTGTTTTTGGTAATAGTATCCATAATAATGCTTCTTTTTGAAACATTAGAAAACAAAACAAATATTAAGGTCATGCCTAATCGAAATCATATCCGATCAGTTTGTTTTCCGGATTAAAATTATTTTTCTAAAACGTAAATAATTTCGCCATATTAGGCTTAAAATCAGCTTACGCTGTTAATTCAATATAAATAGATAATATTAGTGTCAGTATTATTGTTAATATGTACTAAATTTTGGGAATTTTTAAATTTCTTTTTTTCTAAAATCTTGAAAACGAAAAAAAAATTTGATTTATAATTGCCATCTGTTACAAAAAATTATTTTTAAATTTGGTGGCGCCCTCCAAGAAGAAGACCATGTTGGCTAAAACAGCAGCAGACATGTTTAGAAGTATGTGTACTCATAACAATTAAATAATATACATTTGCAAATTATCACAACTTTATGTTTGCAAAAATTCATAACAATGCTTAAATTTAATATTCATCAATAATACTTACTTGAAAATCGGAAGTATCATTGGAAAATAATCCAAACTTTTACGGGCGGAAAATCTTTACCTTGGAAATTCTAGAGTTCAGAAATTTTAACCGTCACGAGAGGGCGAGAAGCAGTATGATGTCATGAGAGGCAACCAATCAGAGGCGTTGTATCACTCAAAATCATTCAAGATATGAAATCGTACTTCATTGTTGTTATGTTGTTAAATTTATGATGTACTGTAATTTAATCTTATTGTTAATGAAATTGTTATGTGAAATAACTATTTAAATTAGTTAAATATTATAAAGAAGTGACATTTGTTCCAAATTGTAATAGTTTTGGATAGTGTCAAGCAGACAAAGTTGTGTATAATTAAATTAAAGATTATCTTGTTTAGTGTTTACTTTTTAGCAACGGAGCTTGTCTTCCAATTAATAGTATTTAAATATTGATGCTTCGTTTGTTAAATATGAAGAGAGGAAATGGGAGCAAATATTTCACTAATTAGTACATTTATTCTAAATAATTCGTTTTGTTTAATAATGATGAGATAGACAAAAAAAAATTAGTTTTATATGAAATACTCTTGTAATGGAAACTATATCTTTGTATAACTGTTTTACCACTATTTGTCTTGATATGATTTTAAAATAGTCTGTTTACGCCTAAATTCTACTTTTGTATTTATTATAATTATGTTATTGTAGCTTATGAAAATGCTAGAAGAAATTTTACGTTATTATCCAGTTTTGAACTGCTAGGTAAGTGTAATAAAATTAGGTAACTTACCGATTTGTTTTATTTTTCAACTTATTTTATGGACACAACTTACATCACAATTTTAGTAAACAAGCAATAATGAATTCGAAACATTTAAATTTATTGTTCAAAAATTTATTATTTTGAACTCTTTTTCAATTGACAAATTTTACAATTAAATTATTACTTACAATCTTACGATGTTTGTTTGTTTTTGTAAATTATGGGGATTCAAAACACAGAAGTATCTTTAGAAGGATATTTCCGTATCGTGATCCGTTGCGCCAACTATAGTCATCAAGGTGCCAAGCTCAAAAAAGACATGTAGAAATTTACTTGGGGGGACAACGAGTTATACCTTTCGAGGTGGCACCTTTCTGTAGGGCTGATTGTGCTCCGGATTTCCAGAATTGTCGCTAACAGTGATCCGGAAGTTCCCGGAGATCAAAGATCCAGACGTTTCAAAAAATCACTGATCACAGAAGTTTCCGGAAATCAAATTTTCAAATGTGGAGCTTAAAAACACTGTTTATTATATTTGTTTGTAAGGGAGAGCCAGAGATATACTTTATAAGCTTATATTCATGATAAATATTCATTTTTTATCAGGAAATAGTTGTTATAATCATAAACTCAAGAAATAAAGACATATTTGTAAATTTTAATTACTTCTCCAGGTCATCATAGGTATGTGTAAATGGTGTAGGTATGTGTAAAATTTTAAATATATTTTGAGTGAACTAAGAAATATTGGGAAAAAGGAAAAAAACCTTGTTTAAACTTTTTTAAACTCAAGAAATTTTCCGGAATTTTGACTTTGGCTCACAATCACCCCTGTTTCTGTGAATTTTTTTTTCACTTTCTCACGGAGGGCTACCCAGAAGTTGCGAAGATGTGGAGATTGTTCTACCACAGATCACACTACAAAAATCTTCCCCTTTAAAAACTGGGAAAAGTTTGCATGTGTCCTGTTGGTAGTGAAGGGACAAACTTTATACTTTAGAGATAAAAATGTGGAGTTCTATTTTCACAAGTGTAATAACAATTTGGTATTTGAAAATATGGTGTGTTTTGTTTAAAATAAAATAAAAATTATGGATATAAATGTATCTGTGCTAGTCTAGTCACTAAATTTTTTAAAAACCCAATTTGTGACATGAGAAACTGCATTAAAAATTCACAAAAAAGAATGGGTACGAATTATGATTCATATCCTCACCCTAGTTAGCCAAAAGATGTTCGGACATCATTTGGAGCTTCCTTTCTGTATTGGTAACAGTGAAAATGGTATGTTATCCTTGGAATAAATGTTAAAATATATAACAGCTTGACGAAGTATAACTACACGTTTTACCTTTAAAGTTTGCTCCATCATGTAATCATTTTAGTTAATTGTGTCCTACTGTCTAGCAGGTACTGATAAAAAAAAATTATTGCAAGTATAAAAACTGGGAAATAGCACTTAGACAGTTTCAATTTGCGCTAAAAGGTACAGAAGAGCGAATATCCCTTTTCTTTGTGATTTATTGCTATACTGTAGCTTAGATTATTGATTTGATCAACTTTTTTAATGAAAAAAAAGAACTTTATTTTTTTTATTCAAATCAGTTTTTTTTTTTTAATTATGTTGATTTTCAAATGAAAAGCATAATATACTGTGAAACCTCTGTTGAAAGACCACTTCTGTGTAGAAACCTCCTCTATTTATGACCATTTTTGAAAGGAACGGAATTTTTTCCACGCACTTTGTGTTAAAGAAACCCTTTAAGAGAGTCCTTCAGAACCTCTGAACCAAATGAGGAAAAGGCCAAACAATTACGAAAAAATATTAACAAAACAAATCAGTAGATTAAAATGTATTCAAAATATTTATGAGGCTTTTTTTTATGATCTCCGAATTATATTTACAACCATATGTTGTAGTCAGAGTGCACTAAAGATTATTCTATCAATGATTTATTTTTAGATTTAAAAGTTAAATTAGAAAAAACTAAGTATCTCAAACAAAGAAACCTCATCTTTAAAAGCTAACTAATTTTTATGATAGAAAATTAAATGCAAACTTAAACCAAAAACAATTTTTTATTTAAAATTAGTTCTATCATTCGTAATTAGTAAATTTGTTTTTACAATTATATCAATAGGGATCATTTTTGTTGATGCTAAATTCTATTCATCAATCTGGTTATCACAACGTCTACAAAGTGGCATTTCCGCACCAAGAAAATTGCGTTAACTGAAATTAAAGTCATTTGCAAAAAATCACGCACCTTGATAACATTTTGAAGTCAGTGGAGGTAACCCTTAGGAATTTCACACCTCCATTAACGGCCATTTTGCAGTTGAACAGAGAGTGGTCGCTCCTAAAAGTTATCACTCTAATAACTTATAAGTTTAACAAACTCAAAAAATTATGATTGCTATCAATTAATGTTTCTTAAAATTGGTTATTTGCTTTATTAAAGTTATTGGTTTTAATTAGTCTATTACTTTTTGCAATTAAATATTTATAATATTTTTTATTTGAATTTAGATTGTAATCTTTTCCAGCAATAAATTTACTACCTTTAATATTACGTGGTTGTAAGCTTTAAAGAAAATAAAAATTTAATAAATTTCAATATACCATGAACCATGTTAACTCCATAAAATTTTTAAATATCTTTAAAATAATAGTGTTGTCCCTAAGCATTTTTAGAGGAACTGCTTGCCTCTCCTACTATTTGATTCCTATAAATGCATATTTGCCCTTTTTGATTGAATCCTTAGATTGAGCGCAAAGATACTTGCATCCTAAAATATTTGTTTTACTAAATCTGTGTTAGGAAATTTCTATTTTTTTTCCAATTGAAATACTAATTGAGCTATTCTGATAAATAATTGTTATTGTTAGCCATTTCTTGTTTGTATGTTTGATATTAATCTCTGATATTTTTATTTTTTACAGTACTATTTGATTTGTCATATTTATTTAAAATTTGTTCAATGTTAAGCTAATTTTCTTTATAAAAATAGAGCTTAGAGATTGATGAATTGTGTCATCAAAATGAATACGGAAGAACAGTTTTATTCATGAACTAATTTCAGTTTATGAAATTTCAAAATGAAGGAGTGTATTTTTATGGGGGCTTTCTGTGTTAGCTATAGCCACCAAAAGCTTGGAACTGTGTGAGCAGTTCTTTTTTTTATTGCTTTGTGATCTGTACTGGTTACGCTCTCACCATTTCTTCCCTAGAACCTCCTACTGATGATTTTCACATATGTTTCAAAACTACAATGGTTTTTTAAAGTTACATTATAAAAAGTGATTTTGCAATTTGTTTATAGACTAATAAAATATAATTGTAAAAATATAATTAAATAACGGAGTTATCGTTACAGATATAATTTCTGAAAAAATAATTCACAATCTGGGATGGATTACTAATAAAGAAAATTAAGCTATAAATGTGGATTGATATTCCTTTACTAAAAACCACAGGTTTACAATTTAATTAATTTCATACATTTTGTTCCCTTTAAACTATATTAATGACCTAAATTTTTTAAACTACCCACATAGTTTTTTTTTTATAAATGCTTTGCTCGCTTATTTTAACTGTTCTAAAATTAGAGTAACATTAAAAGGTTAAAAAAAATTCAAAATGAAACTATAATTTTATGTGTTTGTTTGGAAATAAAAGATGAAAATTCATATTTTTAAAAAAATATTTGAATTCTTTTTATTTATTCCTTTTCAAGTATTAAGTTTGTTTTTATTTTCTACCTGAAAAAAATCAAACTACATAAGTTCAAGTAAATTACGAAAATGGTGTTTGGTAAGCAAAAAATAATTATGGATTTGTTATATTCAGCCAAATATATTTCAGAAAAACTGATTTTCGTACAAGGGACAGTTTTCATGAAGTACAGTGTTCTATATCTACTTGAGGTTAGATGTATCATGTATGTATTAATATTACACCAAGGGTACAGAGAAATCTCAAAACCAAATATTTCCCTAGAATACAGTTTTTTTGGTTTGAAATATCTTCCAAAATTATACCAGTTTTTTTTTTTTTTTTTTTTTTTTTTTTTTTTTTTTTTTTTTTTTTTTTTGGACAGTTGGTTGATGTGGCATAAGAAATAAAAAATATGTTGAAGAAAACTTTAGGAATGTATACTTTAATAGTTAGATACTTTTCCCATCTTTCTTATGCCTTATTTGTCCAAATACTACATTTTTAATTTAGCAATCAGATTTTAAAATAGTCAGAAAATCAATCATTCAATCTATTTTGTTTTGATTAAAAAAAAAATCAGTTTTAAACATTCTTATGTTGTTTAAAATAAATACTTATTTTTTATCATTCATAAAAAGCAACTTCCCTTCTTATGAGTTTTTTTATAGCGAAAAATTGTGCACACCAATGAATTTTTTTTAATTAGACCAAAAATTATTGCAGGACTGTCTAAATTTCTCCCAATCCTTGTTCATGTGATCAAGCATATTCTGCACACCTGCGTGATACACATATTTACATTACAAAAGCAGTTTTCATGCTATACATTGTTATATACACAAAATTAGAAGTATAGTGGTTGGGCCAAGTAATGAAAGCACTTCAATACTAACATATATTTTAATATTTCTCAAAAAATAATTAGAAAATCAGTTTATAAATTTAGAAGTGATGAGATTGTATGATTTTTCATAGTTATCAATGAAGTTAAAAGCTTTTAGTAAAATGTTGTAAAAAAATTTAACTTATTACTTTTATTTTGGTTATTATTTTATGTAATAATTGCACAAAATTTTGTAAACCCAGCTTAAATATTTATGGTGATATGGACATTTTTATACAACATTAATTTTTTTGTCTCAAAGAAAACTTTTGGATCCATTTAAAATTGATTAATTTTAAATTTTCACTTATAGCAAAAAAAAATTCGATTTTTATAAAAATGTCCATCTCTCCTCAAATATTTAAGTTAGAATTACGAAAAGTTGTCCAATTATTGCAGATAATAGATAAAATCATAGTTGTGAGTTACAGATTTATTTCTACATTTTATGGCATAGGGTGTTCAAAAGCATTTTTTCCCAATTATAATTTATTGTTGGTCCCTCAAACCTTAAAAAGCCTTTAACTTCATTGATATATGTAAGTAGTCGCACGATCTAAATTTATAAAATGATTCTTTAAGTATTTTTTTAGAATATTAAAAAAAAAATTTATTAGTATTGAAGTGTTTCTTGATTTTGTACAACTTTATTTAATCTCGTTATAAAAAGCTTATTCATCCATAATTGTTTTTTTCCAATAAAATCTCATGACATATTTTTCACAATGAAAGATCTCCAATAAAAATTTCATATTTGACACAATATGCTGGTGTGTTATCCAAAAAAATCAATGTAAAGCATTTTAAATAACTATATAAATTTAAATTATAATTTGAATTTATTGGAAGGAATTTATTAATCAGTATTTTCATGATATCTGTTTTACATAAATTTTGATGTGTACTTGTATGGCATATTATGTGCTAGAGATAAATAGGTACGAATATTTTGGTATCGGATATACTTATTATTTACATCTTAAAGGTTGGGTTGAAAAATTAAGTGAACTGTTCTATTTGAGCTCAAATCTATATTGAATTTGCTTAAATTCCAGGCTTAAAATATAATTTTGGTTGTAAAATAAAACAGAAATTCATTTAAATTAAATTTAAAATTGCAAGTATTTTTCTAAAAAATTAACATGTATTCATTATCGTTACTTTCAGTGAAGTTGTTAAAATATAAAAAATCCTCAGGTATAACAATCATTATTTCATATATTAATAGCAAATGAATTAAATATATTAAAGTTTATTTCCTGATAATTTTAGCTGGCAAAAAAATAAAACTTCTTCAATTCATCCGAAAATATTTTTGTCCCGCAGTGGACTGATCATTAAGACACGGTTCCTTGACTTCGGTGATCAGCATATCACCGAAGTCAAGCATCACTGGCTGCGGTCAGTGTGCGGGTGGGTGACCACTTGGATTAGTCGGTGAAGGGACCGAGGGTGAGCGATATTGGTCCTCGTTAAACTGTTCTACCGTAAAGTGCTCGACTTCGCGTGCAGGTCGTCGGGCTACCGAAGCGAGGGTGCCATCCTCTCTGCAAAGGATCAAAATTGTGATGGCATGTCTTCGGATCATCCTCGGGGATGTTTCCCCGACCATCGCCAATAGCCCATTGTGCAAAACATCAGATGCAGTAATAATGACCCATGTCTATTATGTACTAGATTATAAAAGTAAAATAACAGCATCATACAGTTGTTAGACAATTTTTATTATACATTTAAAAAAAGAATTAACATTTATGACTTTTATAAATCAAGAGTTCAAACAAAAAGAATTGAGTAAAAAAAATCATTCATGAATAAATATCCAAATGCTGGTAAAAGCACCTTTCTCACTCCATTCATGTGGTTTTGTTGTTGCAATCTGTGCACATGTCCAATAGCTGTAAAAGTTTTAATTAAAAAAAAAGTGAATTTTCTAACTTTTAAAATACCTGCCAAATTTTACTCTTTCCAATATTATTTTCTTAAGTTTCTTCACCATATTATTTTACATTTATACATAAGTTCAATTTATTTATGGTTGTGATGGTCAAAATAATCTTAAATTAAATTTATAAATTCGAAATATGAGTAGATAAAACTTCCGTTTTGCTACCACTTTATTTATAAAAATAACATTTTATGAAAAATTTATGCGATTACTTTTTGCGTTTATGTGATTACTTCATATTTATCATGATTATGTTTTACACCAAAATTTGGCTTTTTTTGACAACTGTCAAAAAGGGGTTTTTGACGTGAAGGTTAAAATCTTGTCAACTCTGTAATTGGTCCAAAATTATAAACTACAACATTCACCCTTGCTGTAATTAAAACTAAATATTAAGTTATCAGATTTCATCCTGCTACCTTGATTAACAGCAATTCTGAATTAAAGATTTCGAATTTGAAACAGTTTTTTTTACCTAGGAATAAAATTTAAACTAAATTTTTTATGCAACAGTATTTCTCTTTTCGCGTGCAAACGAAAAAAATTCACTTATAAAATGCTATAATTAAAAGTGAATAATTTTGAAAACTTAAAATCAATTTACCTAGTGAAGAGATGTCTTGCATTCTTTTATGAAGGTTAATTTCTCATATTTTTCAGTTTAAATTTTTATTATGTTTATATTGCTATCAAAAGAGAAATTATTAGCGTGCATACTCACACTAAAATACTTGTTCTACTGGCATACCAGAACAATGGCATTCGTCCTTAATTATTTCTTTTTGTTGCACATCAGATGCTGGGTATAAGCAGTTTGGTAATGGATATGGCGTTGACCCATAGTTTTCTATGACATTCTTTTTCATGAATTCGTTTTTTTCAGACCTGTAAAAAATTAATGTAGATGGATTTATTTTACTTTCCAAATATTTAATACTAATTTTCTTCGTCAAATTAATACCTAAAAACAAAGTTTTGATCTTTAATATTTTCTCTGTACACAAGTAGTAGTAGTTAATTTAATGTCGCACTAGAGCTGCACAATGGGCTATAGGCGACAGTCTGGAAAACATCCCTAAGGATGATCCGAAGACAAGCCATCACAAATTTAATCCTCTGCAAAGGGGATGGCACCCCCGCTTCGGTAGCCCAACGACCTGCACGCGAAGTCGAGCACTTTACGGTAGAAGAGTTTAACGAGAACCAATTCCGCACACCCTCAGTCCCTACGCAGACTGATCCAAGTGGCCGCACACTGACCGCAGCCAGTGATGCATGACTTCGGTGATCTGCTGGGAACCGTGTCTTAACGATCAGTCCACTGCGGGACCTCTGTTAATGAAAAGTACACATTATGGGTCGCAAATTTATGATTTAGTGCGAGGAAAAAAAACAACGTCGTCGAAATTTTTAGAGTCGCTACCGTGGATAGCGAAACTTAATAACACCAGAATTATTTTGACTAATGGAGAAATGTTAATTAGAAACGCTTTTCCCTTTCATTGGGCAATTAAACTGATTTTGATATTTTCATTCTGGCCTTCCTTAAGTAGTAATTAATTACTTTTCAATAATTTTTCCCTTCTTTGTGACTTTATGTACAGACTGATTTGTGACTTTAGGTACAGACTTTTTGACACAATATTTAATATATATTTAAGGCAGTGTTTCGGAACTGCTGAAAAAGTAATGTCACTGATTTTGTTGTGAAGCTTGTACGCGTTCAGCTCACTCATGCCAGTTGTAATCACTAAAGGTAGTTGTTAGTCATCGCTGACCATCCAAAGAAAGAGAACATGTATTTTCGTGTTTTTCTCTGCAAGTTACCAAACACAAGGTGGCACAAAACTGGAAAAAGTCTGGAAATTTTTTTCATGTAGAAAAATCAGTTTGAGGTCCTTAAAATCGAATATTGGACTTATAAAAAAATATATTGTTTATTTTCCACTCGAATAGCAATAAGTGCTTTGTAATATTTTTTCTGTTTACGAATATGGCGTAACCGAAGCTAACGGTTACAAAAATTAGGGATAAATCAGTCTGAAAAAGTCAGCAGTGTTCTTGGCCATCCGGCATGCTGCACACGATGGATTTCATTCAAGCTTTGTGTGAAACAACGGTGGAAACTTTTCCGTGCTAAAGGTGGCATTTTGGTGATGCTTGTTTATAATGTTTTCTATTTCTTTTCCTAGCAGCACCACATGATGTGTAGATCATTCGCTGCAGTGTATAAACAATCCGCACAGACCCACAAGGAATAACAACAAATAAATAAAAAAAGTGTAAAATCATTAAAACATTCGAAATACAAAACTACATTAAATAGAATATTAACAATAGAAATATAAACAGTAAGTTAGTAGTGTCTGCAGCTGTTCCCTAGCATTCCAGTATCTGTCATAGATGTTGCCAGCAACTGCGGGTCAAACCCTAAGATGCCCAGCATTCAATGGGGAGTCTTCCCCGCATAAGACACAGTTTGGATCGGGAAAGATCTTAAGTCTATGGAGGTGAGCTGCAAGGCAGTCGTGTCCGGTTTCCAACCTAAAAGCAGCAACCGCATTGGGTCTCGGGTGATCAAGGATCTTATTCATAACGTCTACCGGTGATATAAAGCTTTTCTAAAGACAGTTAAGAGGCTCGCACCGGAAGGTAATCAACGAAATTGTAACACATGTGATTAAGTTCTTTAATTCAATCCGACATAAGATTGTGCGCTTAATGAGACGGTCAGTAAACATGCGAAAAAGTCCCAACTACGCATCACGGATGATTGGAAACATAACCTTGGCCTTCTTGACCATATTTCGTCCGATGCAGACTATTTCCCAACCTCTCTTTAGTCTCCACGTGGCGAAGTCTTGTTACTATCCTTGAGATGAGCTTGACTTGCTCCCAGGCTTTAAACACCTTTCTAAAGGTACATACTGTAACTCCTTCGATACCTGGAAATTTCACTGGATCCGTTTTGTAAAGCTGTTTAAAGTCATTTTAATTTGTTACAACTATCCGATCAACACGTTTCTTAATCAACTCAGTGACATTTCTTTTCGAATAAATCTTGTAACTTGACTACATATTTTCTGCGACTTACAAATGTTCATGGATGTTTATTGACAGTTTTGCACGCCATGTCGGAAAAACAAAAATTTATTGCAAAACTCATAGTTACAGATTAAACTTTTCATAATATTTGAATGGAGAATGTTTCAGTATTGAATAAAATCCTTACCGCCCTCGAGAAAGCTGAAGTTGCGGGTATAACCAGATTGACTGCCGCAAATTTTCATTAAAATATTTAGTTCGTAACAAATTCTTTTTCATTTTTTTAAAAAAAAAAAAGATTTTTTTCCCCGAAATGTTGAAGATAGAAAAAAAAATTTAAGAAACATTTTAATCTTCTTCACTCTCCTTTTGAATATTAAAAAAAAAATTTAATTGAAGATTTAAATTTTAAATAGCTTTAAATATACTTAGTGTCAAGATTAAATCACCAGCGTCTGAAAAACCGTTGCCTGAGCACAAATTTATGTAAAATATAACCTTTTTTTTTCTCGTTTGATTTGAATATTTAAATTTTTGTGGACCCCTGCTTAATATTACATTGTTAGAATGTTGTGTCAAAATCTCGATCTTGAAAATACTAATTCATTGCCTGTTTCCTTCGTTATGAGTTAAAAATAAACATTTTTCACCCTTAAAAGTTCCTTAAAAATGTATTTTTCTGTAATTAAATCTAAAAATAATTTAATTAATAACTTTATAAACTTCTACAAAATAGAGTTTTATAGCGCCGATTAATTCTTAAATTATAATGGATTTAAGTAATTAACTCAGCAAATGAAAAACATACTTACTCCAGCCCTAAAACTTGTTTTGATAGATTAAGAATTTTTCTATGACTTTCTATTTGCTCTTCTAAAAATAAAAGAATTTTAATTATTTATTGCGTTTAGTCAAAAAGTATACATATACGTATATCTTACTATATATAAAAATCTAATGGTGTCGCAGTTTCCATTATTGTCCATGCGTTTTTATTGGCAGGGAAATCACGTGGTAGAATCCAATTTTTCCACATTCATTTCCATATTGTTTTGGTTGTCATCAGCATAAAAATCATAAAGGTATTGTTTTTCTATAAATATATTTAAAGTTATTTTCATGTACTACTATTATTTCGCTTTTAATTCTTGAGTTCAAAACGAAGATAGTTGTTTTTTATTATAATTTAATTCTGCGCTTAGAAAGGTGGTCTAATCTTATAAAACGTTTTGCAATCATTATTTTTGTGCAAATAACATTAATATACTATTATAAATTACAGTTAAAGAGATGTGTTAAATGATTTAGAACTTAACGTTCAGCTTCATACACAATGAGATGCAAGCAAAAATAATATTTAATATATCCACCAGTTTGGTAAGCGAAAATATTAAATTACGGTTTCGAACTCATCAAATTTATTTAAACAATGCAATGTTATAACAATATAAATGTTATTTTAAAAAATTATTACTTAGAGAATTACTTCTGTTCACCAATAGATTTAAATAGTTATAATACTAATAGATAATATTTAGACGTAAAAAGTAGAGGCACAAACGTAAGCAAACAGAATTCCTTTTAGTACATATATGTAAAGTGAATAATTTTAACTTTATTAGAAAAACTCTTTTTTGCCTAGAAGCAACAATTATTGCAAAGCAATCATCGGGGTTGGTGAGTGGTAGCGAACAGGGGGCTTAGCCCCTAGTGGGTGTGTGACAAATTACCGCAAGCGAGTTTGAAAACCTGTTTTAATAACATCTAAGGCCATTAAAAAGACTTCTACGGAGTTGAAAGGTTTTTAACGTTTAAGGTGATAGACGAAAATTTGTTTAATTTTAAAGGGTAGGGAAGGTTTCGGTTAATATTCCTGTTAAAGACAAGAATTTCATATTCGGTTCTAAATAAACTAGTTAGGTTTCAAAATATATATTCTTTTTAATTTATTCTCTTTTTTTTCCTAAGGATAGTTTAGAATAAACATCGGTGTAAAAAATTTAATTTATTAGTCACGAAGTTATTATTAGTAATCGGATTAATCAGGATAATATGTTGAAGAGGTGTGTGCCTCTGCCCGGTATAGCCTACAGTGATTAGTATATATTTTTTTAAATAAGAAATAGGAATGCCATAGCCCAGTACTGATATTTTTAAGGTAAAGTGCAAATTACCTTAAACTGGTTTTATTATAATAATAACCATCTATAATTAACAATAACAAAATAAGCCCTCTAAAGGGAAATTTGTATTTTAATAAAAAAAAATTGATTTATGGAATATTTTCTTTGATCATAAATTTTGTGACATACGTAAAAAAGGGACTGCGTGCGTATTAGTCACTACTTTCAAGACCCACCGCCAAAAATGGGACAAACTAACAACCCTTGTCACTCTCACCTGATTTTATCTAGGTTAAATAATATCATCTAGGTGGAATGGTATCACCAAATTTGTTGATTTTTAAATTTGCTGATATTTTTCTACAGTATTATTTTTTTATATATATAAAGCTGTGGTGATTTTTTTTTTTTAATATTTAAGTTACATACTAAAGAAAAAAGAAACGTGAAAGGAGCACAAATGAAAGTACATAAATTGACATACTATAGTTTCAGTTCCATAAGCAAGAACCTTCCTCAGTATCTAAACGTCAAATGAAGGGTAAAGAAGTTGACACAGAGTTGATTTCTTTAACTTCTTTTGACGTTCACTGAGGAAGGCTCTTGTTTTTCTTGTTCACTTTTTTTTTTCTTTAGTCTACATAGCATCTTTGTTGGACTTGAGTTAAATATCTGTCTGTTATTTAAGTCTGGAGAATTCCAGGTTTGAAATATAGGTTTTGTTTCTGGCTGGTCTAAGGCAAAAGCACTCAAACTGTATCCCCCGTGGCGATAGAGCTTCAGTGAACAGTTTTCTTACAATTAAAAAAATACAGAAAGTATTTGTAAACCTGTATAAATTTCAGGATGTTGTTCCATAAATGCCAGTACAAATTTATCAGCATCCATAAGTTTGAAAAATTTCCCAGCTGCTCGAATTTCTGCTCCAATAAAAAAATCATTAGCTTTGTAATACGTAGGTTGTGCTGATGAACTTGAATGTTGTTTGGGTAGCTTATTCCTTTTCAAAAATGCTCCACCAGGAAAGCCAGAGTTTGGTATTGCTTCTTCATTTATAGTTACTGTGTCGTCAGAAGGAAAGAACGTTATTACAAATTCTCGAGAAATGTCTTCCTTTATGCTTGTTATCTGTTGAAATAAAATACAAAAGCTTTTTAAGTTCTAAATTGCGTTAAGTGAGATTGAAGTAAACTTAAGAGTGAATATCTTTAACGGAAATGAAAAACATGGGAACCAAATATTTTTATTCAATCTAAAAAATAACAGCTATTAGTTATAATTAAGGCCCGGATTTTGATGACATTTGCATTTTTGGACATTTTTTGTTTTTTGGAGCATTTTTTTAGATTTATAGGGCATTTTTCTTTAAATTTTGGGGCGTATTTTGTATTTTTTAAAGNATATCTTTAACGGAAATGAAAAACATGGGAACCAAATATTTTTATTCAATCTAAAAAATAACAGCTATTAGTTATAATACTTCCATGTAGCAGAAAAGTAAATGACAAAAAATATTCTTATATATTTGGCATTTTTGTGTAATAAGCAGGGCTGCCAACTACTGAGCTTTTTGTGAAATATCTTACAGAGTGGTGGCAATTTAATTATTAAGTTTTGTTAATTTTACAAACATTTTAAAAGCTTCACCACGAGAGGCCTGAACTTGAACTGGGGTCTGGTACAGTGCACCTGTCCGTACTTTCATCTGAAGGTGTGCCCGTGGGCGCCTGGAATATTGACGATGTGAAGAATAAATAAATTCCACAGAAGGTTATGCGATCGTCATGAGTGGATTGTCTTGGAAGAGGGGAGAAGGGATTGGAGTAGTGAAACTAGCTCCTCGTCTTTGAGGAGTTCCCGCATCTCGCTGAAGATGTGCAGGAATCGTGTAGCTGAATTGGCAGCACTCCGGTGTTGCTTTTTCTTCTAGGCAATCTTCCTCTTGGGTTTAGCCTGAAAAACAGGCTGAGTGCTCTCCTTTACAGTTGATGCAGGTCTGAGGCTCGCTGTAGGGCTTCGTGCAGAGGTAAGAAAATTCAATACGTATCAGATACTTGTCTTCTCATCGAATAAATTCGAAGCTGAGAGCCTGAACAAATCGGGGTTCCATGTGAACTTTTGAATCATTTAAATGTAGTGGTGTGAGAAATAACTTTAAATCGAATTTACAAAACAGCGATATCATGAACTTCGCTATCACTAGAAGAAATTTACCCAAAAAGCGTAGAAAGTTGGCAGTCCAGAATAAGCTACATATTGTTGAATTTGTAAAAATGCGTATAATTTTGTAAATATTATTTTAAGATGAGGCTAAATATTTCAGACGGGCCCTAAAAAAACAATTTAATTAGAAAATTTACAACAAAAAAACGTGCAATTTAGAGAGTAAATAACGCCTAATCCATTTCTTGAGTGAAATTCGGTTTGTCGACATTTTTACCGACGTGACGACAATATGATAGTTCTGAAAAATTCGAGTTTCTAAACAATAGGACTAAAACATCACTGGAAATCAGCTATCGGTACAACCAATAGGAATACGTTTCTATTACAATGTAATGTATTGCAATGTAAGGAATTGTCCAATGGGAATAATGTAAACGGTAATTGATTAAATGATAGTGGAACACTGATCTAATTAAGCCGATTCGAATGATCTGACATGCTGTAGAAACATTGTTTTATTGTTTCCCCATTCAACAATGCCACCTTTTGATAGTTTTTAAATCTTTGTGAGAATAAATAACTTAGTTCCCTAAACAGAACACTGCAACGCCTTTTACTTATCTAGAATTGATTTTTAAATTGTCAGTTATTTTTTGGGACATCTAATAAGGATCATTCGATAAGTATATTAATTGTTAATAAACTCCAGCTGTAGTTATTATTTTCAGATTTCATTGTGTCTGGATAAACAGCAAATGTTTTTTTTTTAATATGATTATGCAACAGGTTTCTTTTCTATATCTTCCACAATTCTAAAAGAAGATTCCAATTTCTTACCAATTTAGCTTTATAACGCAATGCGATTCCGCTATAATGCTCCTCTTTCTTGAAATCTTTTCTAGGTGGCTTGGGTACAATTGATAAACAATTTTGTAAAGAGTCCTCCCATCCACCGATACCAGTATGAGGTGGATATATCTGAAAAACACATTTTTCTAAGACATTTATGAATCTATTAAAGATTATTAAACAGCAATCTTTTAAAGGGATTCATAAATTAATATTTACAATATATTTATTAAAAGAATATGTATAAATAATACATTTACACGAAACAATAATGCATTTAGTTAAAAACCTTACTTACTTTATTCTATTTATTTTTTAATAACAGAGTTGAATATTGCAATGTTCCATTTCAAGACTAAATCTGTATTAGGAAATTTCCCTTTTTTTGCCAACTGAAATAGTAATTGATCTATTCTAATAAATAATTGTTATTGTTAGCCATTTTGTTTGTATGTTTGATATTAATCTCTGATATTTTTATTTTTTACAGTACTATTTGATTTGTCAAATTTATTTAAAATTGGTTCAATGTTAAGCTAATTTTCTTTATAAAAATGGAGCTTAGAGAGTGATGAACCGTGTCATCGAAATGAATACAGAAGAACAGTTTTATTCATGAACTAATTTGAGTTTATGACATTTCCAAATGAAGGAGTGTATTTTTATGGGGGCTTTCTCTGTTAGCTATAGCCACCAAAAGCCTGGAACTGTTAGAGCAGTTCTTTTTTTATTGCTTTGTGGTCTGTACAGGTTACGTTCCCACCATTTTTTCCCTAGAACCTCCCGCTGATGACATTCACATATGTTTCAAAAATACAATGTTTTTCAAGGTTACGTCATGAAAATTGATTTTGCAATTTGTTTATAGACTAATGAAATATAATTGTAAAAATATAATTAAATAACGGAGTTATCATTACAGATGTAATTTCTGAAAATTCATTACTGATGTAAATTCTGATGTATCATTACTGATTTTGATAATTTAAAATTAATAATTAAAATAATAATAAAGTAATTTCTTTATAATTAAAATAATTTTTAGATCTATATCTGACAACATTTCGAAAAAATTAGAATTTCGAAAGAAAAGAAAAATACTCGTATTATGTTCATAAACAAAAATGAACTTTCCAGCACGTCAAATTTCAACTCCGTAATTGCATTTCTGCGGCCTGCAGAGTAATCCGCATGGTATTTTTTACCGCAAGTTTAACTGTTAATTATTCTCGAATTAACTATTGGATGTTATTCCATCTCACTCCCTGTACTTTTTTCTAAGCACCATCGTAATTTTATAAGTTTTGCGCAGCAAAACAAAATGTGAACATCCGGAACATCGGCTAAGCATACGAATTTCTAATAAAGAGAGAAAATTCCTATCTCGATTTTCTATTAATAGAAATTTTTAGCAGCTTCCTGATAAAATTTGACTCTCTAAATTTAATACAAATTTTTATGAAGAAAATTTTCATTCTCATTAGCTTTTTAAATTAGAATTTCTGAAGCTTCCTAAAAACTCTTAAGAAGAGGAAAATCACTAAGAAAGTTTCTAAGAAGCTTCCGAACATAATAGTTTAAATAAAGAAATTGAAAATGGCTATTTTTTATTGAAAAATTGTATTAAAAAATTAATTAGACATAGTGTTCCGTAATGACCGTCCTTAAACATTAAATTTTAGAAATCTTGTAGAAAAGAAGGTGCTTATTGAGAATTACAAATTAATATTTAAGTGTATCTCATCCAAACTCTGACCTCTCATTATTAAAGTCATTAAAAGTAAATTAAGAATTAAAACTATTCAAAACTTATAGAAAGCCTCCTGGGCCGAAGGATTGTAATGACGTCAAACGCTTTGGATCGTATAGATTACGGATATGAACCAGACCGTACCTCCAGGTGAATCTGTGCGCCGTTTTTCTTTAATCTGTTTTTTAATATTACATATTATAAGCCGCTCTTTGAAACCATGTATGTGAATCAATAAATATATAAAACCAATGTACTTTTTATGAGTGCCGTACACATTCAACTTTTCTAGAAACAGCCTTTAAGCTTTATCCTCCTATGAATTCTTTGAAGATTATTTTAATTCTTCTTCAATTGATCTTAATAGTGAAAGTTTGAATACTTTTTTTACTGTTGATATCTTAGTTTGCGATTCCAAATAACTTTTTCCGTAATTTCTACAGGAATTCAATGAACTAAGAGTGGTCAGTACAGAACACCCGGTATGTAGAAGATATTAAATTATAAAAGTGTTATTCGTTAAAGTAGAATGAGTAAAAATTACCACTGGAACTGGAGGCTTTGGCTTTTCTGCTACCCTTATGGACTGCATATCGTCTATGCCATATTGAACTTTGTAGAAATACCTGGTGAAATCGTCACAATCGTAGAGAAATATATTTTTTCCCAAAATGGTTATATCTTTTCCTGTGCGAAGATCTTTCGGATCAAAATATGTGAGATCGTCATCTTTGATTTCCAAATAACCGAGTGGAAAATTTTCTGTAAGCCAAGTTTTTTTAGTGTTATTTTCAATAGAAATAAAACAACTATACATTATTTTCTGCTAACTGAACATACAAATAACTCTCAATCCATACTTAGTTAGAGGTTTATTCTTCAAATGAGACTATTTCACAAACTTTTATTTTAAAGAAATTTAAAAGTGTTGCTAAACAAGTATTACTAATCATCATAAGTTTGATCATAGAGGTAATCGTAATTGATGATGAACAACATTTAATAGAAATTGCCGCAATAACGTTAATTGCTTACAATTGCAATATCTTAGTCATATAATTATTAGAATTTATACCAAAAATATAATTTGATGTCAAACCATTAATGCTGTGGTTACTTGTAATCAAGTTAGAGATTAAAATTTTATCATTTTCTGTTATCAATTACAACTGTAATCGATGTTATGCAACTGGGTATTTACAAGAAAAAGTAAAGTTATTTTTCCTAATCATGTGATTTAAATCAGATTTAAGTGGACACCTGTAGGCGACGTCATCGTGTGGGTCGAACTGGATTGGCATCTGAATTGACAAATGCCACAATTTACCTACTATTACGTCACTTGCGGGTAACCGATTGTAATGGCTGCTCAATTGCCAATCCTGAGAATTGCTTACTTGCATCTTTTCAAGTATCCCTAGCTCATCTCATCTTAAGCCTTGTTTATTGTCCGATCTTACTATAAATGCAGGGTAGGTTTCTGCTCCCATTTACTTGAAAGTGGTAGATGTTTTCAGGTTGCTTTGCTTTGATCATCCAACTGCTCATTTATCTCTTACTGAATAATCGAAAACTCTTAAAACACATTGGAGTTTATTGGTATTTATTATCTTTTATATTAAATTTAAATCTTTTAATTTAAAATTCCTTAAATATTTAGCTATAAATATTCTCGTTTGTGGTTTAAATTTTATATTCTGACCACTAAATTGAACTATTAAAAGGAAATCGATAGTTCGCTTAACACCACAATCATTCAAAACACGAGAAAGAAAGATGCAAAGACGAATTGTTATGGAAAGAAGAGGAACTCGTTCTATTTTTTTTTTAAGTCTGTTAACACTACTGACTTGATTATTGTTCCAGATTTTGGATCCACAAGAGATTAATTTTTGTGTACTATTTTTATCGGTGCACATAGCTTACTGACAACACAAGGCATTTTTTGAAATCTGAAAATAGTCAGCAATGAAGCCAGTAAGTGAGTCATCAAAGATAGAGAAAAAATTGACGCGTTTGACTGAACTGAGACTATCATTTGAGGGTTTGTTTAATGGCACAAATATTGAACATTCCAGAAAGTTCCGTTCACGAGATTGTTATAAACTTGTTCATGAAAAAAGTGAATAAATGTCTTGCCACTCTTCCTTTCTCGCTGCGAAGTCCCTGAACAATTCAAAGGTATCAACGATTTACTAACGCCTTTCAGTCTGGATTTGTCTCTCCAGTTTTTTGTCTTTATTCTTGCCCTTGAAAATTCCCACGTTGACTAAGTCCTGTAATCTAGCACGCCTAGAAGTATCTTCAAATGCCTGGAAATGTTGCCGGAAGTAAGGTATCGACATAGGAGCTTAATTTGAAGCTTTGAATGTGCTATACCGATCAAATTAACAAATGTTTAACAATTGTTCACAGTAATAGTTGACATTACCGTTTGGTCAAATCCTTTGAAAAAGCGGAAGGATGGGATATTCTAAAATTTCCTTTTATTTATTTATTCTATCCGAATCAACAAAATGAGTGAGAAAACTTCTTAGGTATTTCTCATAGTTATAATAACTTACATGATAATATAACACAATAACTTACATTATAACTATAAACTTACATGAGAGCTAAATTCTAATTGATTACCTGACAGTTTATCCCTGTCGATCGGTATCTTTTGTTTCTTGACTACTGTTTTGAGGGGGAGTCTACCATTATTGGGTGCATGGTTTTCTAATAACTCCATTGTATCGTCTGCTAAATAGTACTGAAATTAAAATAATAAATTATTTATATTTTTAAAAATATTAGAACTTCTATTTAAAAAAATCTTTAATTTCCACTAAGTTCACAGAACAAAAATTTAATCCTTTTTCGTATATTTTATTATAAATGACTTCGTGATACTTTGGAAGAATTTTTTTTTAAAAATTATTATTATGAATTGGAACCGCTTACTGGAGTGGCTGCTAACATGAACCAGCCTGCTACTTTTAACATATTCTATATGTTCAGATGATGCTTTTTAGTCTACCTCTTCATAATAAGTTTTCTGTTGATAGTTCGATTTTCTTCAAAAAAACGCTTGCAAAGTTTATCGAACTGAAATTATATGTGTTTGGTTTTGTGGACACTTACACTCCATTTTACATCCCGCTTAGCATGCGATCATATTCTCAGCGTGTGGCAAACTGGCAGCGATGATGCTGCATAACCTTCCTAACCAAATCTTGAGTTCCTGATATCTGACTCTTAGTTAGAGAGTTACGACAATTGCTTCAAAATTGTGCGTAACAGCTGCGTTGAGAAAGATAATGAAATGGTTATCACACTTGGTGACGCTTTTCTACATTTTCCCCAATCTCTTTTTTTTCCCTTGTGTTGGGAACATTTAACTTTCTCTGTGATTTCTATTGGTATTTTAATTTCCTTTTTAGTATCATGAGATGTTTAAGTCGAAGATATGTTTAAATAAAAATGAAATTAACAGCATTTGAATTAAAGGAGTAAATTTTTCATAACTTTACAAAAATTAAATTGGTAAAAGTTTTTTTTTATTATTATTATTTTTAACAGCATAATTTTTTGTTACTTAAATAAATATTTTCATCATAATATAAATAACATTTTTACTTAATTATTTGTTTTTTGTTAACTTAATTTAATTTTGATGTCTTTGCGATGGAATCTAGATAGATGAACGTTTGCATCGATGGAATCTTGCAGTCAAAAGCTAGATCACTTTCCGACTAGCTAGAACACTTAAGTCAGTACTAAAGCTACGTGCCCAATGTCAATGCAAGATTCAATGATTTTTTCGCCGCTACCAGCAGAACTTATCACGCTGTTACTGTCAAAGAGAATTTTCCGTCAATTAAACTTTTCAGGCGGCTTTAAGACTGTCTAGAGCACTCAAATTTAAACTGAAGCTCTATGTTCAATTACAATACTATTTGCAATCATTTCGCGACCCTTATCAACAGAAATTATTGCCAAGGTAAACTTATCACTTGTCGAATTTCCGAACGCTTTCTGATTAACTAGAGTGCTTACGTTTGAAGAGTCTGATGAAAATGTGTATTTCAATCCTTTCCAAAACAATCAGAATTAATCACCATATTATTGCAAAGTTGACCACATGAGTGCTGGTTAGAATTTCGTCCACTTTCCGAAAAAATGGAGTGTTTAAACCTGTTCTAGAGATCTGAGACCGATGACAAATTAAATAACAATTATTTCCTGCTAACTTTGTCACAAGCAAATTTTATAGTCATATTATTTCTACAATAAATTCATAGTCAATCGAAATTCCAACAACTGTCTGATTAACTAGAGGGCCTACATTTTAAATTAAGCTCTGTAATGGATTGCATCTCAAGTTTTCATTTTCTCCTGATCTCTACAGGAAGATTTTTCATATCACCAAAAGGAATTTGTCTTCAATCTGAATTTCGACTACTAGTTAAAGTGTTCTTAAATTAACTAAATACTGACAGATTTCAATTATTTCTTGACCTTTATACGCATAATTCAGATTGTCAAGTGAAATTTATCAGTAATCTGAATTTTGACTTTTTTTTAGAAAAAGTTTATTTCGGTAAATTTTGGCTCTCAACCAATCAGAGAATGTTTCACATATGTCGCAACTCTCTAACGAAATTAAATGGAAGGAACTTCAGTCAAATCCAGAGGCCTAGGTTACATATGATATAAAATTATGCTTTCATGATTTCTTTAGGAGTGACCAATTTTTTTGTCCGGTGAGCTTATGAAATGTGCACTAATTTTTAACTGAATAATGAAATGGCAGCTTTTTTTTCCCAAAAAGTAACGCCTGTAATTACTTTGACTTCAAAAACCTATCTTAAACATGAAATTTTAATTTTTATTAAAAATTATATAACCGCAAATTGAGTATATCTTATTATATAACCCAATAAAAATAAATTTTAACAATGTAATCGAATAAAATCAAAAGCACATAAAAGTTTTTTTAGAAAACTTATGAAATACAATCGATACAAACAACTACTGATTTACAACTTTGTAGCTTATAAAATATATTTAGAACTTAGTAAAATGTTTGACACGAAATTTCGCTTCCCCCCTCCTAGACCAATCATATCGGGGGGAAAAATATACAATATTCGTTCTATTTTTATCAAAAATTAGCCTTAAATCCGGTAAAAGATTTTAATTGGATTTTATAGAATTTATTTTGTTTTGACTGAAAAAGCTAGTCGAAACAATTCCAAAGACTGACTTTTAGCTTCAGAAATTTATAATTATATAATAAAATATTAAAAAAAGTACTTTAAATACGCAATTAGAATATTTGCACGTTATTCAACTTAACATCAAAGTATTTAAATCAAAAGTACCTGGACAATAACTCGTCTCATGTCAGGCGGTTCATTGAGTAGATCTTTCCATATGCCATAGAATCTGAGAACTTTTCTGTCGTTAACAAGGAACTTGTATAACTTATCGTTGTCAATGTCTCTAGATATTACTTCGTGTCTTCCTTGCGCATTTATTTTCTGCTCAATGTATGGATCAGGTGGTATGGATTCTGGTTCATTAAGTTCAAGACCAGCATCGATTAGGTACTCCTTCCAGTTAACAAAGAGTAAATGAGTTATTCAGATTATATTGAAATTCAACGTGTTAGAAATTTAAGCACATATGAGCAGCAGTATTTATAGCTTTGGCTTAGTTAAACTTTTCCAGGTTGATACTTTTGCTTTTTAGTTTAAGGATTCATGACACATCATTGAAATTTATTTAAAAATGCATATATAAGGTAAAAAATAATAGGAGAGAAACTTATTTACATATCCCAACGTGTAATGCTTAACAAAACAAACAAACAAAAATTTTGCTTCTCAATAATATCTTCAATTCTTCAAACGTTGAATTCACTGCTCAAAATTGTGCTGAAATTTCCCAGCCATGCGTTTCTTTCCTATTATGTGGGGATAACTAACCAGTTTATTTTTTCCTGCAGCTGTAAATTCAGAAAATGCCGAAATTTACGGGCAGCGGGTAAATTCCTCAAGCAAAAACTTTCATAACCACCGAAAACTGGAATAAGAACCTCCAAAGTTATGCTTAATTTTTTAAATTTTTAACCATCATTTAAAAAATTACATTGCACGATTATTATTCTTGAATACGTGTTAAAATTTTTCGAAAAATCATTGTAACTGAAATTTTTTAAATCAAAAATAAAATAGTAAAATCACGAAATTTATTACTACTTTAAATATTAAAGGAAAACCTCCTACGAAAAGCGAGAGAAGTTGGCAAATATGCTCACGCATTACAATTTAATTAAAAATCTTAGTAACTTTATTGCATCTTAGAAATTTTTGATATATTTATAAAAGATCATGTATTAACAATATTCACGCTTACTATGTCAGAATCAAACATGATTTGTGTAGCTGTAGAATATGATCTTTTGCAAATTTTTGACGATATTTTCAATCCGCGTGATATTAATATTTACGCAAATCATCACTTTATAATTTTACAGAGAAAAACAAATTTACAAATATGATATAATTTTAAAAAATAATAAAATAAAACTAAGCATTAAATCGTCGTTACCCTTGTCCATTCGTCGCAATCAGTGAGATGAATGGAGATGCCAAAAACTCTAACATCTATCCCAATGTTCAAATCTTTCCACAAATATCGACGTCCTCTGCCTTTTGGGTGGGGAAATACCTGACGCTTCAATAAAGTTCCCTAAAGATTTATAACTTGTATAAAACATAAATCCCATTAAATAGCTATGAGAATGAAGAAATAAATAAAAGACTTTTTTTTTATTTCGAGTTCACTATCTGTATTTTTTAATTAGAGCAATTTACTGAACTTAGTAAAGACTGAGAAGTCCTCGAAAAATACATTTACCAATATTCATATCAATGATAGACAAATTATAAGTTGATAGATAAATTATTTCAAGGGATATATGCACTAATGTACAGTGCGCCAAAAAAAAAAACGGGCCACCCTGAATAATTTTTGATCTAATAATCGGATCTTTACTTTCTAGGACTCAATCTTAATCGTTCGAGTGGGTGACCTCAAATATGCTAATTAATTAGGGCAGATGATATTTATAAGTTACGAAATCAGATACTAAAACGTACTTTCTCAAAATAAACATACCCTTTTCTCAATGGATTCGGAGTTCTGACCCCCAAAATGTAGAGGGTAACAATCTTAAAAATATTGTTCCCATATCCACAATCTTGGAAGAATGGTTCTCATAGGTTAATCAGGAAAGAGATCCGAAGTTAGGAACACTTAATGTCAATTTCACTTTTAGCGTATTTCGTCATATCTCGAGAACTTTTTAAGCGAATTGAAAAGCTTTTGCACACAAGTGTAAGATTCGTTTATCCAAAAATAAATTTGAGTACATGTTTATTATATTTTTATTATTTTTTTAAAAAATAATCGAACAAAATTTTTAAACTTTTGATATACAATTTTTTGTGCCATTTTAGAGTATGTAATTTTACATGGCAAAATACAAAATTAGAGCGAAATTTGTTGAATAGTACCTGAGAAATAGAATATTAAATATACTTATAATTAATTATACCAATTTCATTGAAATTTTGTACTTTGCTGTATAAAATTACAAAAATGATTTAAAAATTTTATACAATTCAATCAAAACTTTTTCGACTGTTTTATTTAATAAAAAAATAATAAATATTTACTAACATTTATTTTGTGTATGGAATTATCTTTGAGTAAACAAAATTTATATTTGTGTGTGAAAGTTTACCAATTCGCTTTGAAAGTTCTCGAGATATGGTGAAATACGCAGAAAGTAAAATTAACGTTAAAGTCCAAACTTTTGGGATCTTGACCAAACTATGGGGTCCGTATTTCCCAGATTGCGGCGATCCTCTATAATTTGGTGATCAGAAATCTGAACCCGTTGACAAAAAAGTATGGAAAAAATATGTTTTTTCGGAAAGTATGTTTTTGTGTTTGATTTCATAACTAAAAATATCGTCTACACTAATTAATTAGCATATTTGAGGTCCCCCCTCTCGAATCATTTAGATTAAGTCCTAAAACGTGAAAATCCAATCACTAGATCAAAAGTTAATCAATGTGTTTTCCCCTCCCTTTTTTTTGGAGTAATATACCGAGTACATACATTCTTTACGTGAAATCATACAAATAATTTTCTTAAGCCCTAAAACCTTCTCATAATTCGCACTACAACATATGGTACAGGATATCCTAAATTAGGCTAACAGTTTTCAAAATTTTATTACAGCAAAACAATTAAGGTAAAAAAAATAATTCTTTCAGGGCAAAAATTTTACTCTACGAATCCTTGATTTTAGTTCTTTTTGTAACAGATGGCGCTGTCCATAATGCACGTCTAAATCAAAGAAAAATATTTGAAAATAACAAATATAAAATTTCGAAAACTTCAATGAGTAAATGTCACATTGTTTTAAAAATGTTCACCATTACCCATAATCCAAAAAAACTAAGAGAATAAAGAGCGACACTCAAATACTCGAACCCACAATCGCTTCACCAATATTCAATCCCACCATCAAACACTCATGTAACATTAAAACAATCCAACACATGCATCAAAACGCAACGGAAAACGATGGTCAATAGATTCATTGTGCCATCTCACTGCAAATTTTTCAACTGAAATCAGGAATTCCTTTTTCTGCTCAATGTATGGANACACAGCTGTGGGTTCACACCACTGTCGTTTTTATAAAATGGAATATTCTTACCCGGAACCATCTCAGGCATTATTTTATTTACTTATCGTCTAAAAATTGAAATCCCACATGGTTAAGGAAAAACATTTTATTCTCATCCGTGTCTTTATAATTTTGAATTTAATTGAAAAAACAAAGAGACAAGTGCCAGATCTGTTTTCGAGAAAGAAAAAAAACACGAAAACATTCTATAAATATCAAACTAAACTATGTAACATGTACCACTGGAAATGTGCCTTATGTCTTTGTTGCAGGCCAATGTATTGGCCTGCTTGAGATTCGAGCCAATGTCTTCTATTTGGTTACAAGTTTTACAATTGTGCCAGGGAACTTTTAATTTATTGTCGCAATAATATAATTAATTTAAGTTTAGTATATGTCCAACCGGTCTAGGGTCTAGCGTTTGTTTCTGTATTCTTTTAAACTAAAAACAGCGGGAAAGTTACCTGAACTAATCCACTATTGGCAATTTTTGGTTCAATAACTTCCATTGTATCATTTTGGAGATAATACAGGACATGTACTGGTCGAATTCGATACTTTTCTCTTGACCAGTCATCAACTTCCTCTCGCAAATATCCGACGAAACGAAGCACCTAAAAATAGTGAAAACATTTTTGCTAGAAATAAATAGAATCAAAATTTAAAAGATAATTTTTATGCAATTTGTATTATGAACAATCATAAAAAGAAGTACATTTTTATAACCTTCAATTACCATGTCGATTTATATTATATTCTTATAAGTAGAATAATTTATTTAAGTTTCCTTATTACATTTAGTGCTCTTTTATTAAAAAAAAAGGTCTTTTTTTTTCTTTGAAAAAATAAAAAGGCATTTTATTATTACCATTTATCTAGGAGAAATAAAACATTTATATCAACAAAAATAAGAATAAAAATATTACTTAGATTCTAGATTATGCCATTGAAATATGTCCCGCAGTGGACTGATCGTTAAGACACGGTTCCCAGCAGATCACCGAAATCAAGCATCACTGGCTGCGGTCAATGTGCGGATGGGTGACCCACTTGGACCAGTCTGAGTAGGGACCGAGGGTGTGTGGTATTGGTCCTCGTTAAACTGCTCTACCTTAAAGTGCTTGACTTCGCTGGCAGGTCGTCGGGCTACCGAAGGGGAGGTACCATCCCCTCTGCAGAGGATCAAAATTGTGATGGCATGTCTTCGGATCATCCTCAGGGATGTTTACCTGATCGTCTCCAATAGCCCATTATGCAGCTCTAGTGCGACGTAAATAAACTACAACAACAAAATAAATTGCAATATAGTAATTCAATTACTTACACTGAAAGAAGATCTCTTTAAAGTACATGCGCTCATCTAGTTTAAGTTTCGAGAGTTTAATTAATTATTTGTCTTTCAAGACAAACGAAATTTCATCTCAAAATTCAAAGCTTTGACATAGATTAGAAAAATTGCTAATCAACAAACATTATGTTTCATAGATTTATTATTATTTATTTTATTTTGCATAATTATTTTTTGAAAGGAAAGGAAATAGAAACAGGTACTTGTATGCTTTACGAGCACTTTCACAGAGTACGGTAAATTCAAACGCAGATTTACTAAGATTTTTTTTTCATTAAAACTTTTAAAGATTCAAAAATCCCTTAGAAGGCCCAAAAAAAATTTAAGAATAAATAAATAAAATTAATAAATAAAAAAAATGCTAGTGCCTTAATTATTTCACTAAAAATATCAATTATTGATTATAAAAGTTGAAATATTTTTTTTAAAAATCAAATTGGGAATTACCTTTTTGTCCATTGCCAGGTACTTAGGTAGTTTAATTTCCGTTGTTTCTGTTCTCTTAGGTCCATAGGTCAATCTGGTTAATGTCTCTCTGTCTAATGTTTTGTTTTGGGCCTCAAGAAGCGCTGCAGCAGTCTCGCTTGTTGATGATAAACTTGATTTTGATAAGGGAACTCCTTTGCTGTACACAAGGGTACTCGGAAATACATAACGATCTTTCTAAATTTAAGTATAATATTACCCATAAGAAAACATTGAAAAGTGGAAATAAATTTTTTATGTGTGTTTTACAATACCACTTTAATCAAATGAGAAAAAAAATAATAAATAAAAAAAAACTTTTTATAGATTCACTTTGGAAAACACGATTCATCTTCATTAAGATGGATTCTTAAAAAAAAAAACATGTATGGGAGCTGGCATAGGATTAACGTGGGCATTTAATGTGGATATTTCCGTTATTTAACACTCAAAATTTCACTATCAATTTTGGTAAATTGGCAAAAATTATCTAAATCTTTCATATGCAGTCGCATGAAAACACACTTTTCATGATTAAAAAATAAACTTTTAATTTGAATTTTAACTGCTGAACTAAATTAATAATAAAACATGCATCATAACTGAAATGTTCTTTATACTTTTTTTAGTTAACTTTTTCAATAAATACAAATTTATCAATTAGTTAATTTTATGAAAGGAATTATGGATATACAGGATATTCTATAATAACCAATAATAATTTATTCATTCAATTATTCAGTCTCTTTTTTTTTAATTAAAGGAATTGTGAATATACAGGATATTCTAAAATGACCAATCATATTTTATTTTTCTCCGAATTCTTGTCAAAAATAAAATTTAAGAAAATAAGCTAATACATTAGGGGTTACCAATTATCATCCAAGTGATGGGGGGAGGGGGGAAACGATACAAACACCAGTGAAGAATGCGGGATAGAACACATTGAAAAAGTTTGATCACCTGATGAAATTCGGAGACGTTTCTCAAAATCACTTATCAATTCATCTTTGCTTTTGTCGGAAATCAGATTTTTTATGCTTTTCCTACAATTTTCCTCAATAGTGATTTTGATGACATTTTTATTTTTATCGCTTAAATATTAATTTAAGATCCTCAATGCATAGGTTTTTTTTTTTTTTTTTTTTTTTTTTTTTTTTTTTTTTTTTTTTTNTTTTTTTTTTTTACTGAAGGATGATTAAAATATAGAATAAAGCGGATCATTACATAATACTTTGTATTTCGCTAAATAGCTAGTACTGAGTATCGCAAAGCATTAAAGTTCGAAAAAAATAGTAAATCTCAGAATACATTGCTGTGCACATATAAATCGCATTTATATGACTTTTTACACATTTGTGCCAACATTTCGTATTTTTTTCTTATAGGAAAGAAGGGAACCCCGTATTGATCATTCTTGGTAGAAAGCAAAAGATTCCAATCCCTCCTCAGGAAATCGATAGCATTCAGGGCCCCATTTAGAAATCAAGGAGCTGTTGGCATGACACAGAGAACTGTCAGGGGACTCTACTGATAGTTTTCTTGAACCATCTTGCTAGTATACAAAATTCATTTGAAAGATATAAGAGAAATGATGCATTCGGAGAATTTATATTAAATCCAATTTTTTAAAGTCATATTTCTAATTGCAAATTCTTAAATATATATATTATTTCAAAAAATCTAAGGGTCCTTTTAAATTTTCTTTCAAAATCTAAGGGTTCCTTAAAACTCCCGAATATCCGACAGTACGGAAGTCCGTGCTGGGAAATTGAAATCGTCGATTTACTGGGTGAACGTTTTCGGACATATTTGTGCGTACACGCAATTAAATAAAATTATTAAAAGAAATATATGGGAACTTTATATATGTGTTTTATCTTACTGTAATTCAGCTGATATTCACTTACATTTTCCTTCACAATTTTCCAAAAAAAAACAAAATCGCGTAATGTCTCACTTCACTATTTTGGTGTAAAGTACTAGCAACAATAGATAAATTTTGGTTCTTGTTGCTAGAGAATAATTTTTACACTACTTGGTGTTAAGTAGCAGCCACCAATTTTCGTATTGAGGAACGCTAAATTTATAATTACAGTAAGATAAAACACGCATAAGAGTTAGTAAAGTTATTTTTACGATACGTTAGCGAGAATACTTTTACGTTAGCGAGAATACTTTTTGATTTCTCTTTTGACAAGGATTCTAAAAATACATATTAAGTGAAGTTATCACGGAACATACTGTATAAATTATAATGTAAGATTATAACATAAGATTATTTACATTTTGTTCTTTTTGCCCAAACCAGAAAAGCAAAGAACCAATTTCTTTTAGTGGTTTCACCTGATTAAAAAAAAAGGTTTTTATTAAATATATTTTTAATTTAATGTTAAAAAATCATTAAATATGAATTTTAGATCAGCGTATTAATAATTAGGGTTCTGAAAAAATTTTACCGGGCAATATGGAAAAGTATAACTTCTTATTATTTCACATTTGTTATTAATATGGAAAATACCTACATATTTTATCGGTGGTACTATTTAAGCATATATTTGTACACAAACGGAGACGATTTCTATTTAAAATCAGTAGGAATTTTTTTTTAAATAAGTTCAAATAGCAAATTTATAATTACAAATTATCATAATAAACCCAATAACAAATGTTGAATAACTATGCTGTTTTATAATATGTATGTAAATTTTTAAAATTTTATAATTATAAAAATTATTCAATTAAAAAATATATAACTTTGTTATCGACATAAATTGCAAAACATCGAAAGATGTGGCGTTAATTTTTTGAAACAATATATGAAGAAAGGATAATTTTATTAAAATTAAATTGTTACCAGAAGATCTCTAAAGGAATACCCTGGAATAAGTGGTAAACTTTGACTCATGAGCGTAGTAGAAAGGTACTTTATACAAAATTTATAAGTAAAACCAAATCCAAAATATAACTGTTTTTATACTCCGATCCAGTAAAGATAGTTTACTTTGAAGTAAGTAAGTACTCTTAAGTCTCGAGTTTTGTTGAACAACTCTATCGTAATTCGTTGCTTAGCAACTGAAAATCCAAGACATAAGTTGAAGAATAATATTCGGTAGGATCAAGGCAGAACTAGATCCGTAACATGAAGTTCTGACTTATAGTTGGAGGAATAAAATATCGTTCTGTATTTTCATTTTTCATTATTTTTAAGTTTGTGATAGGTTGATGGCGATGAAATATTTAATATTAATGATAATATTTTAAGTAGATTACAGCTCTAGGAGCATAAAAATTATTTAGTTTAAAAAATAAAATTAAAGGGCGCAAAAAATCTTTATCGCATTCATTTTGGAAAATTAAAGCTCCTGAATTAGAGGAGCCTTCAGGAAAATGTCTATGCTTTATTATAAAAAAATTGATCACAAAATATTTAATTTTCATAGGTGTAAAAACTAACGATGGTCTAAAGAACAAGAATTGTAACTGATTTATCTAATTTTATTGAATAGCGTTAGTTTTTTAACAGCAGGATTTTTTTAAAATTTTTTTAGGCATTATTATTTTTTATTATTTATAGGACTTTTTTTTTTAATTTTCTACCATGTTTGTATAATTAGTTCATTTCACACACTATTACTTTTAAGTTTAGTTTTAATTTCTAAAGCATATATTATCTTGAATTGCAATCAATTGCAATGGCAATCATTACTTTACTTGGATTGATCCAGACTATAAAGGTAGCGTAATTACTCTCACTTTTATCATTTAAATCATTTAGTGAGTAATCATTTAAATGAAGAAAAAGAATGAGGAAGGAAAGCAAATCGAATCAGAAACAGCTTTATTGATACGCCGATCACCGACTCAACGTCGACTCAATGTTCAATAAGTTTAATTTTAATTTTAGAAACATATTATCATGAGTTCACTTGTTAGCAATCATTATCTTGCTTTAAATGGTTCATGCTGCAAAGGGTGAATAAATAAAGAAAGGAATTGGGAAAGAAAGGAAATTGAATCAAAAACAGCTTTACTGATACGCCAGTTGCCGATTTAATGCCGATGAATCACAAACCATGGCTAATAGCACATTAGTGTAGCTCTTGTGGGACTGTAACAATTATATCACTAATTCAATCATTCTCTTATCCATAAATAAGTTGATTCACTAATTAGCACAGTCACTTATTCAATTTTTTGCTTCTTTTTTCCTTATTATTTTCTTCTTTTATTCACTGGTATTTTGTGGAATATATTAATTAATTCAATTTTTCATAAATAAATTTTTATTATCAATAGAAGGTGCCTTTTCTCATAAAAAAGTGGCGCCAGACCAAAAGTAAGGAAATAATACACTATAATTTTTAAAGTTCGAATGTTAGATCGAATATTATTTATCTTATCATCATTAGGTCTAATATTAACAGATAGGATTCAGGAGTCTAGCGCGGCAGAATTGTTTATTTGATAAATAAAAGCTTTAAATTATTCTGGGTAGAAAAAATTGATAAAAACTCCTTAGCGGGCAGCCCGCGCGAGCAGAAATCATGAGTCATACCTCACTTCCGTAAAATAGGGATGGGAACTGATTCGGTGATTTGAATCAATTGATTTTATAGGTATTATTTAATTTATAATGAATAATTGTTTCTGAAATTTCAGTTACTTTTATTTCACAGTTAAGCTATATCATATAAAGTCAAAAACTTCTTGTTAAACAGTTAGTTTCTAATGCATTAATTTAGGAAATTAAGATTTTACGTTTAAAGAACTCACGTATCTAATTCAGCTATATATAATTCCCATAATCGCAATGAATTCTATATAAAAAAAACAAAAAGCAAAAATAGTCCGGCATTTTCTTTGTTGTTTTTTCAAAACTACCACAGTTTACAGTATTTTTTACCATTTTGCAATATATATTACATTGAAACCTCTCGTCAGCGATCACACTCTGTTCCACAGTAAAATGGTCGCTAATGGAGATTGGTCGCTCTAAGGAGTGACTTCCATTGACTAGTGCACTTTGACTGCAACATAAGGTTGTCAATCTCTTTTAGAGATCGTCAAAAAGAGCTCTCTAAATAAGAGCCACTGACAATTATTTTGAATACATTTGAATCTACTTATTTATTTGTTAACATTTTTTGTTCTTATATTTTTTTTTGTGTTTCCTTATTTGACCTTTTCCGGTCACTGGGATATGTTTTGAGAGTCTTCTAAAAGTTTTCTTCAACACAAAGTCTATGTAATTAATTCCATGCCTAAAAGAGTTGTTGTAACTGGAGGAGGTCGCTACATAGAATTGATCTTTCCTAGAGGTTTCACTGTATAATAAAGCGAAAGATATAATAAGTATATTAATTTATTTATGAACGAATTTTAAAAACATTTTTTCAATCGACAGTTGGTAAGGAGAAAAAGTGTACTGGGTAAGGTAACTGAAATTGGAATCTAAGTTGAATAGTGTTTTGAACCATTTGATTCGAATTGCGTGATTCGCGTATAATTCGTTAAACATGTCATTCAAACTAGTGATCTGAATCACTTGATTCGAATGAAGATTTAATCACTGATTTGAATCACTGATTTGAATCACTTGATTCGAATCATTGATCTGAATCATTTCATTTGAATCATTGATTCAAAGAATGATTTAATCCCTTCCATAGATTATCGAAGCACGAGATTCGAATCAGTGATCTAAAACTCATGATTCTTACAGTAATTTGAATTACTTTATTTCAATAAGTGATTGGAATCATTTGATTCGAATGATTAGAAATAGTAATCGGAATCACTTGATTTGAATCACTTGACTCATATAGTGATTTAAATCACTTCATTCCAATCAATGATCTAAATAACTTAATTGGAATCACTTAACTTGATTTCCTAATTCAAATCACTAGATAGGAATTAGTGGTCAAAATCACTGATCAGAATCTTTTGATTTGAATCACTCATCTAAATCATTCGATGTGAATAGTGGTTTGAATAAGGTTATTTGAATCACTAGTCCGAGTCATTTCATTCGAATCACTGATTCGAATAGTAATTTGAATCCCTAGCTTCGAATAACATCACTAGAAATAGCAATACGCATGATTCCTCCTGTAATGATTCCTCTAGTAATGAATAGTCACATGATTCCTCTAGTAATTTAAATCACTTTATTCCAATCAGTGATATGAATAACTTGAATCAAGAATTAGAATAATTGAATTTAAATCACTTGAATCGAATCACTTAGTTTGAAACATGATTGGAATCAATCATTAGAATCACCTGATTTCAATCAGTGATCTGAATCACTTGAATCGGAGCACTGATCCAAATATAGATTTGAATCACTTGATTCGAATTACTGATCCTGGCATAGATTGAAATGACTGATCCCAATAGTGATTGGAATCACTTAATTCGTAGAGTGATTGGAATTATTTAATTCGTATATTGATTTGAATAGCTTAATTCTAAACGTTGATGGGAATCACTTGATTCGTATTACTGATCCAAATCTTTTCAATCTAATCACTGCTCGAAGTAAATTGATTTGATTCGAAGAGTGATATGAATCACTTGATTTGAATAATGATCCACTTGATTTGAACCACTTATCAAAATCACTTGATTTGACTATTGGCGATTGAAATTGGCTACTGATGACGTAGAGCAGAACTCTCTTCCTATTTCAGCACTTCGCATGCTCTCACCATTGGTGTGTGTGGAAAGTCACAGCAGAAGGAGGTATGTTAGTTCCTCTCTTGATATTTAAATAGATTAAAAACTTTCAAGCTGGGAAACTATTTGAAACTGAAAACTGTATGGAACTTAATTCTAAAAAAAAAAAAAAAACTTCATTTAGATTTAAAAAAATATTTTTGACAGATAAATCCGAAAAATATTTGGAATGGGGAAAATATCGTAGTAGATTCCTACACAACTGAGGAGAAGAGGAGTGAGAAAGGGTAAGGTATTCCCCTTGCCCCTTCTTTCCAGTATTCATTGCGTATTCGAGCTTTGCGATCACGCATTGATTTGCATCACTTGATTCGAAAAATTGATCTGAATGTTAACTTAAGTCACAATTTGAATCGAGTTACTTTGACACTTATTCGAATCAAATGATTCAGATCAAATGACTTTTTTAAATAACGTGATATGGAATAGTGATTCGCTGTTGTTATTGTAGTTCATTTTACGTCGCACTAGAGCTGCGCAATCGGCTATTGGCGACGGTCTGGGAAACATCCCTGAGGATGATCCGAAGACATGCCATCACAATTTTGATCCTCTGCAGAGGGGGTGGTACCTCCCCTTCGGTAGCCGACGACCTGCCAGCGAAGTCGAGCACTTTACATTAGAACAGTTTAACGAGGACCAATACCGCCCACCCTCGGTCCCTACGCAGACTGATACAAGTGGTCACCCACCCGCACACTGACCGCAGCCAGTGATGCTTGACTTCGGTGATCTGCTGGGAACAGTGTCTTAACGATCAGTCCACTGCGGGACGGAATAGTGATTCGAATCATATGAGACGGAACAGTGATTCAAATCAAGTGATTAGGGACAATGATTCAGTTCATTCATTCAAATCATGTAATTCGGATAAGTGATTCAAAACAAGTGATTCAGATCACTAATTCAGCTCAAGTGATTCTGATCTTTGAATCCAATTAAAGATTCGGGTCAGTGACTTCCATGAGTAAAGCAATTCGATCAAATAATTCAAAAAACAAAACCTAATTGGTGTGTTTTTTAAGAATGATCAATGAAATCTCTCTCTCATCACCGATTTCACATTCACAACTCGTATGCAGTGCGAACGGTCCCTTACTAAAGTGATCTTAAGTTGGGCAGAAATAGTGCTTCTTGTTTCGTTATAGGTTTTTAACTACAACTTTACAGTTTACATTTATATACGAGCCTTTGTAAACAAAAATGTTCAAGTTGGATTTTTTTAATTTAAATTTTGTACTTTTAAATTAAAATAAGTTCATCTTTTACAAAAAGGTACAACCTATTGCCGATTTCTGATTCTTTATTATGTTTTAGAATGCTGTATTTTTTTGCTCTTTTCTGTGTGAATTTGTAACAAAGAAAATATGTAATGTATAATGTCTGTTCCCTTAATACTTCGTTTCATATGATCTGCTGTAATCGGCGCAGTTCTTTTCTCTTCATTATTTGGCCAAACTAAAATGTCATATGCAGACATTTAAAATCTCAAGCAACTAAAGTATAATTTTGTTTCGTTTTAATCAGGGATATGCAAGTTTTTTTCCGAGTGGAAAAACCTTCAGGGTAAGAATAAGTTTATTCTAACCCACAGAGAAAAACTCTTGTAAAAAAAAATATATCAGTGCCCTTCCTTCTTATTTCGACAATTTTTTATGTTCTTACAAAAAACAGAAAAAATGAGTTTAAGATGAGATCTTATAATAATGAGAAATCGTAATTAAAATAATAGGAAAACGGTAGTTTCAATGTACAGTAAAAGCGCAAGTTACAGTGCCCAACCCAAGAGGCACCCTATTATATGTACTAATTCAAATATATAAACCAATTTTTTAAACGTCAATCACAATCTAGTTTGTATAATCTCACTTAAAGTATTAAAGCTATTTAGCACAATATTCTTAAATTCGAGAAAATTAAACAGTAACAGTGTGAAAGAAAAAATAAATTGATTGATGTTCTTAAAAATTCCGAACACTTGTCTGTGTCATTCAATGTTTCACACAAAAACGTATAGTAGAACTTAATTTTATAATTGTGTAAAAAACTGTTTAAGTATCATAACTAAATTTTATAAATACAATCGAGTGCTCTTTTTATTTTGAGAATTTACTATGTTTTTACAGAAAACAATGAAGTTTTACAAAAATTACATTGTTAGAAGAACAATTTTTTTGAATTAACAATGGTCTCTTACATAGTTCTCTTACATTCTCAATTTTTTTCTTTTAAGAAATGCTAAATTTTTGCATGTTTTCTATGCTTTCTCTGCACCTATTCTATTTTATAACTTTGTTTAAAAAAATTTTTTTTTTTTTTAAATTAAGTTTTTTTTTTTTTAAATCTTTTTTAAAAGTGAATTTTCTAATATTCAGAAATCGAGATAAAAATGATAGGAAAATGGAAAATTTTATATGCAATAAAATCTCTAAGGTACCCTGCATAATGCATGCTATTCTACTCTCAAATCAAATTAACAAACTGTTACTACAAATTACGTAATATCATAGGAATTTTCACTAATTTTTTTTAATTTGCTTCACATTTTTTTTTCTATTTTGAATAGTATTAACATAAAATTTATGCTCTTAAAAAAATTCATGTTTCCTTACTAGGACATTATAATATCCATTTACAATCTTATGGTAATGCTTATTATGTTTTTTTTTTTTCACTTTATTTCAGTTTATTGTTATTGTTAATTTGTATCTGTTTTTCATTTTGGTCTAAACATTATATATTTTTTTCCCTGTATTTACTTAAAAATTATAATGTTGATATGAATTCATTATTCACCCTATTCAGAGATTTAACAATTCCAGTGTTATACTTATTTTTGTAAAAAATACTAGTGATTTCGTGTTTTATCTCTCATTATAAAAACCTTCTATTTTACCCCAGTTAAAGTGGAAATATATAAGGCCAAATATATTCTGTAGATATGGGATATGTATCTTATTATTATTACATTAGAAAATCTATATAATGTAATTCTATGCTACAGTTCTCCACACTAACTTTGTGGGCGTAAAGAAAATTTTACAATAAAGAAATTTCTATGAGTATGAAAGAACTATTAACTTTTTACATTATTTGCTAAGCGATTAAAATTTCGATAGCTAAACAAACCAAAATTAATTTTTGTTCCTAGTTCCCATGCTGCAAAAAATTTAAATCTTTTTTTTAAAATAATAAATACTTAAGTACAAATATTGTATTTTAAAGCAGGGGTCTGTTCAAACATTTTGTGAAAGGTCCGTATTTGTAAAATTGGGGGGGAAATTACTCCTAATTTGTGAATATAGAATAAACGTTAAGTCACATTCTTTCAACGAAGGTCCTGCTTTTGTGAATTTGTGCAAATAGGGTCCTGCTATTGCAAAAAACTTTTTCAAGGAGTTTTTTAATTGCTATGTTCAACACTCTAAAATTATAATTAAAAAAAATTAAACTTTAAAAAATAAACAGGAATTGCTGCTATTAAATTAGAGATGCAACATACAAATATTTGGTATTTAGACTATACTGCTGCTGCAGAACATTAATTTCGGACAAATAAAGGAAGAAGCGTCTGCCGAAGACAAAACTTAGTTCGTTTGCAACTGTAAATTATTTTGTGAAGGGTCCGTTAACAGACCCAAATTTCTTCTAAACAGACCCCTGTTTAAAGTATTTGTATAAATTATTTTAAAGCACTTAACTATTGATCTGTTTCAGACTAATATTGCCGTATTTAGTAAAGTAAGTTTAAAGATAAGTGAAATGATTTCTATCGAACAAAATTCCATAGAAGACAACACCCTAAGTTTCAAGGATTGTGTTATAAAGATCATCTACTGTAATAAACAACAAGATCCTTGAGCTTTTGTTATAGCTTTTCAAAACACCAGTATTGCTTTGTCACTAACATGAACTTAAAGTCTTCGAATTATAAATGGGTACAAAGCTAGGGTTATTCCATACAAATTTGCTCAAAGGTTCCATACTAAAAGATTTGTTCATATAAATTTAGAAAATAGAATATTGCAGTTAAGTATTATTATTATTTATTTATTATTTTTTTTTGTACTTTTTTTAACAAGAGGAATCAATTAGCTTTTAAAAACTTTGTATTGAATCTTCATATATTAATAAAATATTATTTATAGTCCAACCAATTAAAAAAAATTCTGTTTAATTAATAAATTGTTTATACATTTTAGAATAAAAGATAATCTGTAAAGATGGGGTCAGATGAAGATTATCTCATTTCCCAAGTCTTAAATTGTATGAAGTCAGATGTAGCTGCAGCGAAGTCATGGATGATCTTCTCCAAATCAGCATTTCCTCAGAGCTTCTCTGTTTTGTTTCAAGGCTACAAAATGGAATGCAATGAGCAGAATTTAATAGAAAGTGCTCTATGTCTGTGTGATCTAATTAAGAAATTTCCAAATGAACCTATCCTTATCAACGAACTGAAAAATGTTGCCAGAGTTCTTAGCACTGATAGTGATGACTTCTTGAAAAAGATATTTGAACAACTTCCTGAGGATATTAAGTATGAAGTTATGCTTATTGTGACACAGAATGCTCAAACAGTTGAAGAACATTGTGAATTGACACTCTTGTTTTTGAAAAGAATGCCTAATGCAAGATTACTACAACATGGTAGTAATATTATTGATACATTGTTGACTGCTGAAGATAGACCGGGCACACCTGTCCCAATAAACTTATTCAGAAAAATGCTAGTGTGTGATGCTTTGCCCCTAATTTTGCGTGTGTCTCAGTTTGATTATAAGTTTAAAATTGTCTTTCAACTTTTGCAAAAAGCTATTGAATTTTACGTCTGCTGCATGTTTACTCCAGTAACTGCCCAGGAAGGATCTATCAGGAAAGATGTAATTGCACAATCAGATGTTAATCCTGATGAAGGTTGGAAACCTCTATTAGGCTTATTGGAGATGGTTGCCCTGAGATATCGCTGGAGCTATCCAGAAATGTTTGTTACCAATTTTAGCGACACTAGCTTACAGCAGTTGCTTTCCTTATTAAAGAGAAAAAATAAAACACTTTCTAGTTTAACTAGTGAAAAACATAGAAGAGAAGAAATGTCTGGTTATGAAGAAGCTTACTTTTGCTTAATTGTAACTTTTTTCTACTACCTTCACAGTTTTGGAAGACTTATGTTTCCAAAATCATTCCCGAATTCTAATGCTGGAACATCAAATTATATCCTTATGGAAGGCATTACTTTTTCGCAAGAAGAATGTTCCAAAACAGTTAGCAGTGAATATAAAAAAACAGAGAGAGGATATGTAGTGGTAAGTAAATATGCTACGGCAGAAGCAACTAACATGCTTGTACCATCCTTTGTAACCACTGTGGAATGCTGGGAACTGTTGCATCGACACCAGCATTTGTTGAAAGAGTTTAAGTGTTTATGTAAAAATATTCAGTTAGAAACCTGGCCTGTGTATCAAGAATTTTATATGGATATGCTCATATATGAAAGAGGGCATAGAGATGCTGTAGATCATTTAACTAGGTTAAGAGATAGTGCTGCTGATCATGTGCATAAGAATAAAATTGTTTTACAACTAGCTAGTTGCTACCATTTCGTTAATGACTATAAGCGATGTCTGAAAATACTGTTTGAAGTTATCATGAATTTACCTACAACTAGCTCTAATTTGTCTAAACCTCCCCTTAGTAAGTGCCCGGCTAGGTTTACATACTTTATGGGCTACAATAATCGTGAGATAATTCAGTATTGTGCATCTATGTTATTGAAACAATACAAATATAAAGAGATAACTGATGAAAATTATAAAGATATGTCTTTAGGCTACATGTTAGTTTTAATGCAATATGACATGGAACACGAATATGAAATGTTGCATAAAATCATTGATATCATAAAACAAGCGAAGAGCTTCTGCTTTCCAAAATTTTTTAATTACATTATAAATGTGGATATTTTAGAAGAGATAGCATACTTAGCCACTACAAATGGTGGAAATGTTAATTTAGAAATTCTGTCTACACCTACATTTCAAGCTAGTAAACAACGAGCTGTTACACGTGGAATTAATAAAGGGGCAAAAGATGATTTAAAACAAGCATTTGTAAATCAAATGTCTAGATGTTATGATAACATTGACAATTTGTTTATAGATTTTATTAAAGAGGAACATAGTTTATTGTTAAGACCCTTAGGGGATGCATAAAAATCTCCACTTTCATGAAGAAGAAAAAAAAAGTGCATTATCATAGTTAAAATTGTAATGCAAACATTATAAGGTGTTTTCATGTACAGTGCCCCCCCCTCCCCTTAAAAAAACAGACCACCCTGTATAGCTTCTTATCTAATGGTCGGATCTTCAAATTCTAAGACTCAATCTTAATGGCTCAAGGGGATGACCTCAAATATGCTAATTAATAAGTGTAGACAATTTTTAAAGTTAAGAAATCAGACACAAAAATTTACTTTTTTAGAATGAACATACCGTTTTTGGCGGATTCGGATTTCTGACATTCAAAATATTGAAGGTAGTCACAGTCTAGCAATAAGGTCATAATATTTTGGTCAGGAATGTGCCCCGAAAATTGAACACCTTAATTTTAATTTTACTTTTTGCATATTTCGTTATATCTGGAGAACTTTTTGCGCACAATTAATAAAATCCCTTGCAGAAAATAACTTTCAGTAAATATTTATTATTTTATTTAATAATGGTCGAAAAAAATTTTGAATTGTAAGGTATAAAATTTCTTGCATCATTTTAAAGAATATAATTTTACATGGCAAAATACAAAATTTGAGCAAAATCGATTGAATAGTTCCTGAAAAATGGAATATGTGAAAAATCAGATATTTAAAATACCATTTCTCAAAAACTATTCAACCGATTTTCTTTCAAATTTTGTATTTTGCCATGCAAAATTTTGTTCTTTAAAATTACACAAAAAGAAAAATGTAAACCTTACAATTCAACATTTTTTACGTGGAATCATCTTTTGTTAAATGAATTTTATAATTGTGTGCAAATTTTTTTTAATTTGCTTAAAAATTTCTCAAGATGCGGCATTACACGGAAAAAATAAAATTAACATTCAGACGTCCTAACTTTGAAACACTCTCCTCACCAAACTATTGACAACATATTTGATACAATATACATGACCAAACTATAGACATCCTAAAAAAACCATATTTCCCAGATAGTGGCTACCCTATATTTTGGGGGTCAAAAATCTGAATTTATCAGAAAAAGGTGTGTTTGTTCTGAGAAAGTATATTTTTATGTCTGTTTTCTCAACTTAAATTATCATTAAGTCATTAATTAGCATATTTGAGCTCACTCCTTTGAGCTATTAAGATAGAGTACTACAACGTAAAAATCCAATCATTACATCAAAAGTTATTCAGCAGTGGTCTTTTTTTCCAACAAATTTGTCAATTTTGACTTCTTTAGAGATTGTTGTTATTTATAAAGATTTTTAGTTTATAGAAATGTGTTTCATAGATATTTTTTTTCTTTCCTTTTTTCATCATAACTAGCTTTTAAATATCAGGTCTAAATTTAAAATCCACAGTTAGGTTAGTTTGTATATATAAATTTATTCAAAAACTTTACTTTAATTTTTAATAAAGTTCTAAATTCTTTGACTACAATGAATTATGCATTGTATCGAGTTTTATATTAAATTTTATGGTGTTATTCTGTTTTCAAGAGCTGTAAAAAAAATCGTCTAATTTATTGATGCCAGTGGTGCTTAAATAATTATAGTAATTCATTTTTACTAGTAATTAGTGTGCTGTGTATTAGGTACTATGTTTATAGTTTCTTTAGTGCCTCGAAAAATGTAATAGAAGCAATGCTAGTGTATTATTCGCTCTTAAAATTTTACAAAATAAATTTTTTTTTCTCTGTTTAACTGTTCTTAAAAACATTCTGAATCATTCATCGCTGATTAATAATAATATATATATATATTATTAAAAAATACTTATTAGTTGCTATTACATACAGCATATGTTTAATTCATTTTGTAATTTTTATGTTATCCCTATTGAATATAAAAAGCCTGACATTAAAAAATTAAAGAAAATTATTTCAAATTGTAAAAATGTCTTAAAAATTTGCTTCACTCAGTTTTTAATTAAAAGTTTTTTACGATTAGATTTTTTTTTTCTATTAACAGATGAATAAATTTTTTTTTATGTAACACAAAAAGGTCTTAATTTTATTACTTATTTGTTTTTATAATGCTGACTAAATAGACAAACAGTTTATGTGACTGAGCTGAATGTATTTTATACTCCTTTATTTAAAATCATTTTAAAATTAATTGTAAGACAGTGAATTTGTGTCAACAAAAATTTTGAAGTATTTCATATTGCATTCCTCATTTGAAGCATACCATATTTCCTATATTTAGCTACCAAATTTCAGTCTTTCTGCTCAGTACTTTAGATGCATTTGCTGAAATTTAATTAACATTTTATATTTACTACTTAAAGGTCAAAAAACAGAAGCAATAAATTGAATTCGCAAAATGTCCAAGATTTTCTTTGGTTCATCCAAATAGAGCAAAGGCATAGTGACTGTACAATCCTCACTTTCTTATGTTATGCAATGCTTCTGTATTTAATTATAAAACAGCTCATCTAAAATTGAAAATACAGTGCAGAACCTCTTATCCGGAAATCAGATAACCTAAATGAAATTCGGAACCGGAAATTAATTTTCTTCCATTAAAAAAAATTTTTTTTCTTTCTTGTAAGATTTTGAGCCCATTTTGTTATCTAGAGCGTACGGCGTATCGAGTTGACGAAAGAACTGATTTAAAGGACGGATCAAAAGCCGTTTGTAGACGAATCTCACAGAAGCACAAATAGCTTATATATGTTATTAATGTTAATAATAACATATATAAGCCTGTATATAATTTTTATTTCATAATTTCTTTCCTTATTTAAACTTAAGTGTATTATTATTTATAATTTTTTATTATTTCTGAAACTATTTCAAAGCTATTATATATGTAGCGATTCAGAAAACCGGAAAAATCAGTTATCCGGAATCACGATGGTCCCGATCGTTCCGTATAACGGTTCTCTACTGTATATAATTTGTCGTAATTAAAAAATACCTTTCAATTGCAAATTTTAATTGAGTTCTTAATTCAATGAACAGATAATTGTGCACTGTTTCTCATTTTTATTATTCTATGTGTTTTAGAACATTTGAGAACTTTGTAAAAAGTATTAAAATTTACAATAAAGTTTGATAAAAATTTTAATTTTTTTTAACTCTCTTTTGTCTTTTCATACTTTGAAATAGAAGGCCTATTAATGATGCAATCAGGTTAGGAATGTTGGGAGGAAGTTTTTTAAAAATTCACATACAATTATGGTAAAAATAAATTTTCTTGCTCTACTTTTAATAAATAAAAAATAGTAATAATAATTTTTTTCAAATTTGTGAGGGGAAATATTTATGTGGTAATCAGTGCTTCATTTTCTTTAACAAGTATAATTTTTTTGAAAAGCTAAAATAAGAAATCTGAGACTTTGAAAGCTTAAAAGTTGGGGATTAGGAAATTTGTTGGTATTTATCTCATATAAATTGGCTAAAATTCGCTGTTTTTTTATATATTTTTTTTTAAATAGTACTGATTTTGATAAAAATTATGGTTATGTCTAAGCCTGAATCAAAGTATTTTTATTAGTTTTAAAACAAAAAATATTTATGACTCTTAAAGGACATTAAATATTTTAAAGTTTTTCAATTTAAGTTAAAAATTTAATTAAAGAATGACATTTTCTTATATCTATAAAACTGTTTTTTTTGCGCTGTCATGCCACAGGTCCCTGGTTTGATCCTCGGGTCGGGCAAGGTTGACTCAGCCTTTCATCCCTTCAGTGGGTCGATAAATGAGTACCAAGCATGCTTGGGAACTAAATACTGGGGGTTCCGCATTCGGTTGACCACCTGACTGGAACATCTGCTCTTGCACCTCAGAGCCCAAGGTCAAGAAAACTGAGATGGGCACAGTAGGCCTTGGCCCTCTATGGGCTGTCGCGCCACTGAGTTTAGTTTAGCTTATAAAACTGTTTTAAGTATTTTTTTTATTATCATGGTAAACTATGTGAGCATGATAAGATAGGCGACTCACATTTTCTTTCATTCATTCACAGTACACAAGGTGTGTTTAGAAGGGCGACCTGCCCTTTCTTCTTTTTAATCCCTTTAAATGCACCCTCCTTACCCTATTTGTAAAAATAAGCCTGCATCTTTGAAAAACACTGCTTTTTATTTCATTTTTTCAGGAAGAATGTTTTCTTAAATACTTGTTTTAATGAAAAGTCCTTTTTGATTTATTTAGTTTATCTTTAATTCCTTCATTTTAGTAAGATTTTTCACATGTTGTCTAGTTATATAGTTAAAATTCGCATGAGATTCTTTTTTAATAATTTGGATTAAATTTTTCCAAGATATTGTTCTATTAAATCAGACTATTAACCAAAGTTGAGACTTCTTTAAGAAAAAGCATATATATTTTTTCAAGACACTGAAAAGTATTTAAAAGTCTAAAAATGATCAGTACAATTGTTCATCAATAAGTATTAGCTTAAATTTAAACACATAAAATTTAACATAATACAAAAAAGTTTAAAAGTCTCCTTTCATATTTACTCTTAAAAAATTAATTTGATATTTTCTTATTTTACTTCTATTCTTCTTATTTTACTTCTATTCATTATGTTAAAAACTATTTAACCTATTATGTTTTATTTTTAAATGGATTATATCTTATTTTCCTAAATAAATATAAATATGTACTCTCATATCAAGATAAATAATGTATACTTATTATTTTTAATTTAAATATTCCATTTAAAAAAAATTAATTCACTATTTAAATAATAAACACACAATGGAAAATTTAATTAAATTAAATCGATTAAATTAATAATTCAGAATAAGCAAATAAAGTAATTTTGATTACTATTAAAAATATTTAATTTGTTAGGATTATTCTTAATTGGTTAAATTTTTATTATCTTTTCTTTTTGGGGGGTATATTAATTTTTAGTGATTTTAATTTTTTTTTTTTTTTAAATGAATACCTTTTATTTAAAAATGCACCTTTAAATTATTATTTTTTCGTAATTTTTAGTTCAAAATATATATTAAAAAAAAAAACTTTTAAGTTGTTTATCAATTAATCATTTTTTTTGAACAAAATTCATTCACCTATTGTCTTTTAGCTTACCTTTAATTATTTTATGAAAACTCAAAATTTTTCTGTTATTTTGATAATGCATTATATTGTTGTTCTATTCTTTTTAAAAATTTATACATGAAGGTTAACAGTTTATTGGACTGTCAGTGTACACAACACATAAATAGTTAACACCTAATAATTTACATATTTTCTCTTTGTGCAAAGTATTACTCACATTTTTATATATTTTTTCACTACTTGGATAAGTATTTTCAGGTATTTATTGTTTTCCGGGTGGGTATTTTTTTCTTATTTTCCCACTTTTTACATCTTATGCCTGTATTATATATATGGAAATATATAGTTACTTATTGTACAGGGTGCATAGCATTTTTAAAAAGTGCTTAAAGGTGCTTATTTTTGTTTTTAAAAGCCCTTAAAGGTGCTTTTTTCATTCAGTGTTTTTAAAAAGTGCTTAATTTTCTTTTTTTTTTTAAATTAGGTGTTTTCTTTACCATGTTGATTTTTGCTACGAATTATGCAAAAAGACACAGTTCACATTGTTCTACTCAACGTTTTCACAATTAATTCAAACCCAATCAATCTACTTTGGCGTATTGTGAGTCTGTAGCGTATGAAAACGCCATTCATTTTACATGATTCAAAATTTCATGATTTTTGACAATTGTCAAAAACAATGTCAAAAGGGTTTTTTTTCACGACATGGCGGTGAAAACAAGACAAAACCGTCAATTGTCAAAAACTTTCCAACATTGCCTAGTTGTGATATTTTTTTTAAAGTGCTTAAAAATATTTTTTGAGTGCTTGAAATGTGCTTATTATTTGTTGAATAATTTGGCTACGCACCCTGTTGTAGTAATATGTAATATTTGGTTACATATAAATAAAATCAATTTTTTATAGTAATGAAAACAATTAAATTTTTTTGAAATACCCTGAAATATGTAGTGTTCAGTAAAATCTAGATATAAAGGAAATTAAATATTTTAATTTTATACCTTGTGTAATATATGTTCAAATGTAATTAGTAATAATATGAAAAATAATTAGTATTTATTTGTCTATAATAATAAGATCCTTGGTCCTATCCTCCGGCAGGCAAAGGCTGATTCAGCCTTTCATCCCTTTAGTGGGTCAATAGAATGAGTATCAAGCATACTTGGGGACTAAACACTGAGGGTACTGCATCCGACTGACCACCCAACCAGAGCACCTGTTCCTGCACCCTCAAGCCTCAAATCAAGAAAACTGAGATGGGCACAGTAGGCCTTTGCCCTCTGTGTTGCACCATTGAGTTTAGCTTATAATACATAAGAAATTCAATGTTAGACTTGAAGATTAAAGAAAAACTTAATAATGGTTTATTAAAATTTATAAATAAAACATTCCATAACTGCCTTCTATCTATATGCTATGAAACTGTCACAAGTGTCTCATCTTCTGCTGGTTGAATATTCACCCATTCTGTATCAATTGATGTATTTTCCATTTGGAGAGTTTGTATTATCTCATTTATTTCCTCATTTTCTTCTTCTTCATTACAACTATCAGTATTTTCTTTAAGCTCATTAGACTTTTCCTCAGTGTTGTCTCTTCTTTTTGACTTATTCCAAATAGTTTTGCATGCACCATAAATCCCTGTTGTTGCAACAGTAGCTGCAGTTATTCCAACTTTTGTGACAACAATTAAACCTTTAACCCCAACTATTTTCATCAAAGAGAAAGGGCTAGGAATTATTTTTCCGTTATTGTAGTTCCGTTGATAAATGGATACTATAGATCCTGCAACGATTCCATTTGTAAAACCAATAGCTGGGAATGCTGATGATACACCTGCAGTTACAGCAGCAGATAAGGCAGCAGTTTTGACCACAGACCCTATACATAAAAATATTAAATTTTATTTTATGTTAATAGATACCAGGGTATCAATGCTTTTACTCTCACAGTTAGTAAAATAAATCATTAACCATTTGAATAGAAAAACAAAGACACTAATAAAAATTAATAAATGAGGGGGCAATTTCAAATAACTTTAAATGGCAGACAATATTTTAAAAATATTTTTATTTACTTTAGTTTAAATAATGAGACTTATTTAAGAATAATGTTACTAATTTATTCAACTTTAACAAAACAATTTATTGAATATAAGATATATTTTCAAATTACTATTGATTTTAATTTATGTCTATATTTTTGTCATAGAGTAAGATACTGATAGGAATAACAATGTTGATAGAATGAAAAGAAAAAATAATAATAAATAAAAAGAAATAGAATTATATTACTCACATCCAGCTTCTTTTATTTTTTGCTTTATCCCAGAAGTAACTTTCTTCTTAATTTCAGCTGTCTAAATTATAAAAATATAATTTAATTCTGAATCGGTAAATTAATGAAAATGCAATATTATGAAATATATAGAAACGTTGACATAGCAAAGAAAAAATAAATTTCAAAAAAGGGACTATGCCTTTAATAGATTTAGATATAAATTAGATAATACATAAAACTTTTGAAGGATTAAAAGAGTAGATTTCTATTTTTTAATAAGATTTTTATATATCAATAAATTAGCAAAAGTTAAAAACTGCCAATGTGTCAACTCTATAGAAATTTTAACTTCTTTTTTGGAACCCCAGTCCAATGGCACTTTCAAAGTCTGAAGATTTTGCAAACTAATGTATTTTTGTATTAATTACAACCCCATAACTACTTGCATATATTGGTATGAAACTAGTAGAAAGGAATTCAATGGATCTTCCCATGTGTTGCGAAAGATTAGGATTGTGCCAATGACATTGTTTTTATCTTCACATATAATGGAGACTTACAGAAAAAGCAAATCCGAAGATATTGCAGCAGTGATTGAATATAAAAGGGAGTAAAATAGATTAAAAAAGAGGAGATTGAATCAAAAAAATTAAAATAGCAAATATAGGAAGAGATGGAGGAACTAACCAACACAAATTGTGAATAACCAAGGCTCAAAATTGATGAAGAAGTCTAGTATCTATATTTCAGTTAGTATCTATATTTGACCTGAAATGTGTCAAATTTTCTGACCAAATAAAATTTAAAATTCCAAATTGCTTTCAAATGCAGATTCTAACTATGTCTTGACAAAAATTAAGTACAGTAAATGTTTTAAAAACTGATGCTGACAATATTACAAATGCAGCTTTTTCTTGGGTGCCTGAAGGTGAACTTACCAGAGGAAGAGAAAACTATCTTTGAGTCACCTGATGCTTAAAGAGTTAAAACAGAGGTAAAATTGGAAAAAATCCAGAGCTGCAATGAAAAACTGTAAAAGTTGAAATGCCAGAAATGATGGGTGCCTTATATGCAAACAGACATTAAAAGATTAAAGAAGGAAAACTTGAGTTAAAATTCATTGTAGAACAAATTTTTATGTTAAATAATTGGAAACTTTTAAAAAATGTATATATATTTTTGAAAAGAATAAAATATTTATTTATTATTCATTTCCAACACAGGTTTCTTGAATATTTTAATTATAAAAGAATTAAAAAATTGTGGATTGGCCCAAAATCTATAAATTAATTTAAAAACATTTCATCAGAAATTTATTTTACATATTAAAAATCTAAAAAAAAAAAAAAAAGATTAACAATAGAGATATTTTAATATTTAAGGTAGATAACACATTTAATTATATTAGGCGTATGTATAGATGCATTGGACTAGGTCCTAAGGTTTACAAATTTAAAAATTAAAATTTTATTGAGAATTAATTAAATTTTTTAGCATGTAAACAGTGTTATAAAATAATTAGAGCTGAAAAAAACATACCATTTTTTTAAAATCTTTTCAAAATTCTGAAAAAGAAATTGAAGAACAATCATTATTTTATAAATTATAAAGATATCATACAAATAGTCAAAGCTACAGTACGATTATTTGATAATTTAAAATACTTTCCATATCAACAGAAAACTATTAGTTTTGATATTGAATATTTTTTCAACACTCTAAGTTCAAGCCAATTTTTTCAACAGTCCAATTTTTCTTATTAATTTAAAAAAGCTTTTTAATGATATATAAAATACTACGAATTTTATAGGAAGATTCAACTGAATTTTTGTTAATTTGCCTTTTGCATGAAAACCCTTTTCTTCTTAAAAAGGAGTTAGATTTTATCATTTTTTTTCTTTATTTGAGTGCTACAGTCTGTAACGTGCCAGTCATTTTTCAGAGAGAAAATGAATGATCTTCCAGTTCACTATTTTCTTTCGATTCCTAAAAAAGTTATTAATAGTAATTTCTTTTCCTTTAAATGCTCCTGTTCTACACAATATTCTTATGTTTCATGTTTAAAATAATTTCAGGATTGACAATCCCTGGTCAACAGGTTGGAACTACAATGCCTGGTTTATCAATCATTTTACTGAAAAAATTCTAAAGATGGAAGTAAAAGAATAATTTTTTTATATCCAATACTGTTGCAATAGCTCAGAGTCTTAAATTATTTTCTTCCTTCTTAACACCCTGCTGGGTACAATGAAGGAAGAATGAGAATATTTGATTTTTTTTTTAAGTATCTTTGTTTTGTAAGTGATAGTTGTATACAGAGTTCAAGCAATTAAACTCCTGTAAATAGCTTTTGAACAATTATATCAGTCACTTATTAAAATTGTTAGAAATGCCTGCTCTAGTTCCTTTAGAATTCTATTTTGAAAAGTAATTTTCTTGTAAGAAATTTTTTTTTAATATTTTCTTTTCATAATATATCTGCTCTTGTAGTAGAATTTTGCACAACTTAATATATTTTCAATGAATGTTGTCTCAAGTTAATAAATTTTCAAAAATAATTAAGGGATTTGATAATATAACTATAATATCATATGGATAAACCACTACTAGTTAATAACAGAGTTTATGAGGGCAATAATTTTTCCATTTTTGGCTAAAAGGCAGAGAACTGTGTATAAACCATTTGGACTGCAGGTTTTGTGCTCCTAGTTTAGTATTTTGATTAAAATGAAATATTCTTACGAGAATATTTATTTATCTTACAAATTATAAAATATTTAAGTAATATGTGAATATGACTATGCTGCACATTGCATGAACCATAGATAGTTATTTTGATTAAAATATCTTTATTAATGGAACTTTTTCTCTTATAAACTTCAAATAACTAAATAGTTTGATAATGTAACTGTAAGGTCCAATGCATTGGCCACTGCTAGTTAGTAGAAATTTTTACTTACAAAGTGTCATAGTCTAAAATTTATCTTGGACACCACTTTAAATTTGACGGAGAACTCTTTGAAGTACACTAGCTCAGAACTGTCATTACTAAACTAAAAAAGAAAGTAAATTTGATTAAAATGAAATTTTAAGCTATAGCAACAAAACATGAATTATTTGGAAGATTTGCTTATTTTTCAGAGTAACCTTTAATTTATGTGCATTTTGTAAAATAGTGTACAAAATTATGAGACATTTAAAAAAGATTTCAAGTTGAAAGCACAAGCAAATGATTCATAATTTTGCAAAAACACAATAAAGATATATTTTTGAAACAAAATAAGATTAATTCAAATGTAATGGAATCAAAATACTTAAATTACCTAATGTAGCCTCATAGTATTTAAATTAACTCAGACAATGAACATTCCTCTTTCAAGTCAAATATCGGATAAAATTATTTAGGAGGAAAGTTCAGTGAAATTAAAATTGAAGACCACTGCTTGGATAAAAAATATCGGATAAAATTATTTAGGAGGAAAGTTCAGTGAAATTAAAATCGAAGACCACTGCTTGGATAAAAAAAAAAAAGTCTCATTAAATGATTAACATAACAGCAATGGGACTTAGCTTTTTTAATCTGCCTACTACTGGATATGTTTCTCATAAGCACAAGTCATGAATGAGGTCATATTCAAAAATAGGGACTATTGTTCTGATTAAAACTCTTTACAAGGAATGAAATGTTTTTTAATTTCAAGGTTTTTATATAATGTTTGCAATATTCTACAATTTTAGTTAAAGAATTTTTTTATTTAGTACATATCAATAAATATTTAAACACTAAGTTTTTATCTGGAGAAAATGCTGAAAATATTTAAAATTAATATTTTATTACATTTATGAAAATTGATATTTCAATAAGAATCAAAGGTAAACCATTGTTTTGAAAGAAAATTTAAAACCCTTACAAAATTTGAGGTTTAGACTTTTTATATTTTAAAGGTAAAGGCAGAACAAATTTTACTCTGGGGCCAATAAACCCTGTACCAGCCTTGGTCATGAACAAAATAGCTATATAACCTGATTCTGCCAATCTATACTTTGACATAAAGATAATCTAGAAAAATCTAACTTTGCCTCCTTAGACAACAAAAAATAGTAATTCCAAGCGTGACTAAATATTGTTGTAACATGTACCAAGTTTCTTAAATAAGACATAAAACTATTTTTACCCTATAACTTTGAAATATTATTTAAAATGAGAGTAAGATAAAAAATAATAATAAATTCTTTCTTTATTAAATTCAAATAACAAAAACTCAAAAATAATTAATGTTTCTAAATTTTTAGTTGAACTTTCAAGTCAATATAAAAACAAGTTATCATTGAATAATTCATTACAAATATAACATAAAAATAAATAATTTCAAGAAAAACCCTGCATTATGAAAACCTATTCCTTAAGTACTCAAAATATTATGCAAACAAAATTTTAATAAAATTTAATTTTGATCTCCCCCGTCATGACAATCCTCTCTTCCTTAACAAGAATCAATTATGACATCAGCTGTTTAAGGCATTCTCTTCAATATAGAGCGTAAAAAAAATAAAAATCCAAGAAAATATTTACCTACAGATTTTAGAAATGGTAAGCGTAAATCGCAAATTTTAAAATAAACTAACAACATTGATAACAGGAAAAATATCTTTAATCCAGTCAGATATCATTAAAGGAAAAAAATAAACATATTTTAAAAACACTTATGTATATGACCTCATATCAAAAACTTATCACGGAAAGCAGAAATAAGGTAACATTTATATAAACCTGTATATAAGAATGTAAAATAGACATACTTTAACAGAAAGGGGATTTAATTTACTTGCGTAGCTAATAACAAAATTTCTGTAAATTCTTCTGAGTTTGTTTACAACATAAGCTTTTGACTACCTATTTCAGTTCTCTAGGCTTTCCAGATTTAATTTCAAATTTTTTTTTTCACTGGATCATTGTAATGAATACTAGGTGGCGCAATCATAAGAGACAACCTCACTGAATGGCAGTAACACATTTCTGATCGCTGTTGAGGGAGAGTAAGAAATTGAACCATCTCTTGTTGATACAGTCACTCGAAAAAATATCGAGTGACTGTAAGCTGAATTTAATGTTGTTAATTTAAGTCGCACTAGAGCTGCACAATGGGCTATTGGCGACGGTCTGGGAAACCTCCCGGAGGATGATCCGAAGACATGCCATCACAAGCTGAATTTAATGAATGGTATTACACGGTATACGTCAGTTTAAACGAAATGAATTTGTTGTCATGGTCTGATATCGCCCATAGTCAACACAGAAGGCGACATTTGGATGAGTTTATGCAAGGCCGAATCATTGGGAAGTTGGAGGAAGATCGAAGTGTGGCTGCATAGTTCGTGATCGTGATCGCCCACAGTATTGTTTCACGAGCTTGCAACACATTTCAGGGGACAGGAACAGCTGTCCGGAGGCCTATAAGGATCGTCCTCTCATAACCACGGCAGCGGATGACCAGCACATTGTCTTTTAAGCTAGAAAGAACAGGACGGTGACAGCTGCAATATTTTTGCTTGTACTTNGATTTTAATCTATATGAAAATCAAGAGAGAAACTAACGTACTTCCTTCCTCTATGACTTTCCACACGCTAATGGGGAAAGCATGTGAAGTGTTGCCATAGGAAAAGAGTTCTGCTCTACGCCACCTGCAGCCCATTTCGATCGCCAATAACAAGATTTCTCTAAATTCTTCTGAGTTTGTTTACATTATGAGCTTTTGACTACCTATTTCAGTTCTCTAGACTCTCAAGATTTCACTGGATCATTGGAATGAACACTAGGTGGCGCAATCATAAGAACCAACCTAACTGAATGGAAGTAACACATTTTGGATCGCTATTGAGGGAGAGTAAGAAACTGAACCATTTCCTTTTGATAAGCTGAATTTAATATTGTTGTTAATTTACGTCGCACTAGAGCTGCACAATAGGCTATTGGCGACGGTCTGGGAAACATCCCGGAGGATGATCCGAAGACATGCCATCACAATTTTGATCCTCTGCGGAGGGGAAGGCACCCCCGCTTCAGTAGCCCGACGACCTGCACGTGAAGTCGAGCACTTTACGGTAGCACAGTTTAACGAGGGCCAATACCGCACACCCTCAGTCCCTACGCAGACTGATCCAAGTGGTCACCCACCCGCACACTGACGCTTGACTTCGGTGATCTGCTGGGAACCGTGTCTTAACGATCAGTCCACTGCGGGGACCTGAATTTAATGAATGGTATTACACGGTATACGTCAATTTAAACGAAATGAATTTGTCGTCATGGTCTGATATCGCCCATAGTCAACACAGAAGACGACATCTGGATGAGTTTATGCAAGGCCGAATCATTGGGAAGTTGGAGGCTGCATAGTTCGTGATCGCCCACAGTATCGTTTCACGAGTTTGGAACACATTTCAGGGGACAGGAACAGCTGTCCGGAGGTCTATTAAGGATCGTCCTCTCATAACCACGGCAGCGGATGACCAGCACATTGTCTTGTAAGCTAGAAAGAACAGGACGGTGACAGCTGCAATATTTTTGCTTCTACTTGAAAATCGGCAATGACCGGCCCTGCACTATTGTTCAAACTTACATTCGAAAAACCACTTCGTCCTTAATCTCTGCACACCAGTGTATTTCTGAACACAATATCGCCGAATTGAATTAAATCATTCTTTAGCCACAATGGGAATATATGTTGTATTGCAACGGATACTGAGATATCTGAGAACAAGTGGGTTAATCAGCTGGCTAAAAAGGGAACAGAAATTTTGCAGTTCAGTAACGTACCATTTACCATTAGTGGAAATATTCCATCCATAATATCTCAGATCATCGCAGCATGCATTTCGTCTGGAGACCGAACACGATTACCTCGCCAAACACCTATGCTAAATTAACATTTATACTATAGTATCTCGTACAAACATAATTTCAAAATGGACAAAAACCAATTAGCAAAGTGTCCCTTGAAAGAAGAAAAACCTTTCCAACCGATATTAGGAGGCAAAAAAGATGTAGTTGGAGTTCAGAGACTCATTTCTTTCCTTTTTATTGAATTTACTGTTATTGTTGTGAAGTTTATTACTGTTTTATCTTCTTGTAAATTTTTTCCCGCGATTCTATTCTTTTGCATCTGTGATGCATGGAGGCCGTCGATGTAAAATAAAGTACGTTTGCAATAAAATATATTTACGTATATATAAATATATATACCATTTTTATTCACTTACTTTGTTCTTGAGTGTCAGAAATCGAAATCTGTTGAGTGGAAAAAAGATGTTGATCCAGAAAAAGTACGCTTTTTAATTTGATTCTATAATTATGTGATTGTCTGTGTTATGTGATGTTAGTTCAATGATTGTCTGTTGCAAATCAATTAGCTTATTTAAGGTTAGGTTTCGAACCAAAATGAATCCTAGTACGTGAAAATCCGTTCATTAGATTAAAAGTTATTCAGGATGTTCAGAGCCTGAGCTCGAAAAGCGGGGGCTTTCATATCTCTAATAGATAATTCTTAAGGAAAAACTCAAAATGGAATTATTTGTAACATTAAACTCCCAAAAAAGTAGGGAACCTAGGCCACTCAAGCCTTATAATAAATCAGACACTTAGGATGTTCATTTTTTTATTTATAAGACTTTATTATTTATTAAGACTACCCTAAATAACTTTTAATAGTTCAGTACAGACGATATTTTAAGTTACGAAATCAGATACAAAAGCACACCTTCCCTGAAAAAACTTACCTTTTTTTTAACGGATTAGAATTTCTGACCCTCAAAATATAGTAGGGGGTAGCAGCAATTTGCGAATTACAGTTTCAATAGTTTGGTCTGGAGTGTGGTCCAAAGTTTGAACCCCTTAATGTTAATTTCATTTTTCGCGTATTTCGCCATATCTTGAGAACTTTTTAAGCCGTTTGAAAAATTTTCGCCCCCAATTATAATATTCGTTTCTCCATACAAAAATAAATTTTAGTAAATATGTATTATTTTATTTAATAATGATCGGAAAAAAATTTGAATAGTAAGGTATACAATTTTTTACATATTTTTAAAGAGTGCAACTTAGATGGCAGGAAAATTACAAAACCTGAGGGAAATCGGTCGAATAGTTCCAGAGAAATGGATTTTAAAAATAAACGTAGCAATTAGCGTCACTCGAGAAATATGAATCTAAACGCAATTTCTCTTAAGTAATAACTTCTTATTTTAAATGGTTTTTTCACGTTTGTTCTTGTGGTAGATTTAAAAAGATGTTCAAAACAGTACTGTGGAAGAGATTGCAACACTATCATAGATCCTAAGTTGTGACCTCCATTTCGGGAATGTACGTCGCTCTGGTAGCGAGGAAATTGTTCGAAAGAAAACATGTGGGAAAATGACTTGGGATATGTTCCGGAACCAAAGTTTAATTATATCGCATTACGATCTCAAACAAGGATATTAAGTATCGAAACACTGTCGTGTTTAGGCACATTGACCTTCAGTGAGAGCTCAAATGCGGGATATGGATTTTGTTTTATTTTCGCTTAAATATCAATTTGTGATCTCCGAAATTCCTACTTTTATGTCTTCATTTTAGACAAAAACTCTAGAAATATATGTCAAGGGGGGATATAATAAAACTCTCTGTAAATGACGAGTGCAATGAGTAAATGATAGATGAGAAGTAAGGACAGAGGAAATTATGAGCAGGGAACAGGAACTGTTTGTATATTTAAAATTTATTCTTTACGAAAGCTTCTAAAATTAAAGTAGGGAGGGAATTAAATGTAATATTTATTTGTTGATTTATTTATTTTTTGTTTTCTTGTTACATAATTGTTAGCGTGATATCACAGAACTAGGAAAATCCAGAAAGACTAATACTATACCGATAACTCTGTATGACTCACAGTACCAACATGAATTTAAATTTTGGGAAACCTTATTCAAGCACAATATGTTCTTTATATGCATAAAAAAAAATAATTCTAATTTGGTTTTTTTAATAAACAAAACTATTCAATTATTGTGAAGGAACTCGAACAGGTGGTTTATTTGAAGGAAACAATATAACAATAAAATTATAAAAATAATTAATTTCCAAATATTTGATAACTTTCTGGCATCCTGCAAAAAATATTCATACTAAATGTCACAACAGCAGATCTGAATATAAATTAAGTCACTCTTCTAGGTTTTAATTTAATATATATCTTTTCTTCCATTTATATACTAAAAAATTCAGTATTTGAATATAAGTACAATTAATTTCAAATGAAAGCTCTTAACATCAACAATGGCATATTAATTACATTTATGAAATAATAAAAATCAAACGCTTTTAAGATCCATTTTATGAATTCATATCTTCTCAATGATTGCTATAGGCTCAGCCAGGCCATGGATCATTTAATCAGAACTAAATATAATATAAGTTTTGATATATTTCAACACAACAATCTACAATACTAAAATATATAATATATTTCCATTTAATGACATTTATTTTCATACTTCAAACACATATATATTACAAATTTTAACAAACTCAGCAATAAAAGACACACAGAAAAAAATTAAAAATTCATTAAATATTATAATAATATATATACATATATGCAGAGACATAAACCATTCCGGATTTGACAAAATATTGCAAAATAAATAAATAAATAAAAATAAATAAATAAATGAAGAGAGCTAAAAACTAAAATTTGCAGATTTTTGGTTTATTTCATCCCCTTTTAAAGGGCCCAACGTGGCTTAATTATAACAAATTGGTATATCACCACACAAGCCTTTGAATTAATTAGAAGTAGTAGTGAGCAAAAACCTTACACATCAGAAAGAAAAATCATCCATTAAAATACTATCACTTGAAAATATTATTCTGCTGTTTGGAACAAGTTGGCATCTCTGTACATGCATTCAAATATACATTCATTAAAAATACATATGACTAAACTAGTCTTAATTTAATTAATACAGCTAATCATTCTATTTAGAAATTAAATATGAATCTGTGTGCAGTTATCTTTTATATAAGTACAGGGTGTCCAGCAAAGGACTGATTGCTTTCAAATTTAAAAACTTCATGATAGAGGAATGAAACAGTATGTCTGTAAGCTGTAAAATTACATAGAAATTTTGAAACTAAAGTACAAAAATGTCGAAAGATGGTGCTGTGCTCCGAACAGAGTTCTCGTAAAGAATATAAATACCATAGGACTATAATCTAACTTGGGATATTCTAACAACAGAAATAAGTTGTTTAAAAGAATACATGGTATAAATCTTCTAATACAGTAGAACAGTGTTTCCCAAACTTATGACTTTTGCGTACCCTTTCCAAATTTTTTGTAACGCTGTGTACCACTAATAAAAAAATTAAAATTTTTTACTATAAAAAAATTGAGCAAAAGTTAAAAATCACAACTGGCTGTTGACACCACTAATTAGTTATTAACTGTTAACTCTGCAAAAAAGTAGCAAATAGAAAAATACGTAATCATAAATTTTCATGGATAGCTTTGTTTTCAAATAAATTTTTTGAAATTTTCGTTTGTTGCAAAGATATTTCGCATAAGAACCCGTACCCCTGTTAAACTGTTCCTATACCCCGGGGGTACGCATACCACACTTTGGGAAACACTGTAGTACAACAACCTCATTTAACATTTTAACACTAGAACTGATTGCACTGTTGATTGAGAATAAAATTAGAGAATTTCTATAAATAAGTCAAGTCTTCCACAGTCTATAGTAGATGTTGAATTGCTTGCAATTGTTTAGTTGAAAAACTATTTAACCATTACATTTACTGACGGTGATATAATTAGAACATACTTTAATTTTTTTTAAATGTAATATTTGTACACTGTGTTCTGTAATCACTATCCTTAATTTTCCCCAAACATAAATTAGAAAATAAAGTATTTTAATAGCCAAATATATAAAAAGATGTTACGAAATACATATAGAATGCATACCATGTTTGGTTTTTAGGTAGAAAAAAGTTGCAGACTAAATAACATCTAATATTTGTCTGCCCAAATTTCATTATATGGAATGTCAAACTCAGATAGGCCCATTTCACTTTGAACTTACTGTAAGAATAAGGTTTCTAACCTCTGTTAACTACCAACTAGTCAATACTATAGAAAGTTAAGTGATATTTTTTTTAAAGAAATGTCTTTAATGTGGCCAGAGAAGAATGAGGTTTCTAACCACAATGTAACAAAATTGTAAATAACTAGATCACTTTACAATTAAAAAAAAAATTATATCACATATTACAAGAATAAGGTTACTGAAAAGTATGAATATGGCTCTGAGCAGTCAGAATTTTCTGCAGAGAAAAATTGTTATTACGTATGCTAGAAGAATAAGGTTTTTTGCCATTATGAACACGACTATGTTTAGTTAGATTACTTTTCAATGCAAAAGTCTTATTACATATACTACAAGAATAAGGTTTCTCACCAGTATGAACACGGCTGTGTGCAGTTAGAGTACACCTCTGCGAAAAACCTTTATTACATATACTACAAAAAAACAATTTATCACCAGTATGAGTCCGTTGGTGAATAGTTAGAGTGTCTTTTGTTGAGAAACTCTTACCACATGTACTGCAAAAGTATGGTCTTTCACCAGTATGAATACGGTTGTGAATAGTAAGATGACCTTTCTGTGAAAAACTTTGATTACATATATTACAAGAAAATTTTTTCTCATTGTTATGGACACCAATGTGGGTAATAAGATTTTTCTTCAAGGAAAAACTTTTATCACACATATCACAGGAAAATGGTTTGTCACCACTATGAACACGACTGTGAACCGTTAGTTGACCTTTCAGTGAAAAGCTTTTTTTACATATACTACAAGAATAAGGTTTCTCACCAGTATGAACATAATTGTGCTTAATAAGAGTACTTTTCACAGAAAAACTCTTATTACAAATTTTACATAAAAATGGTTTCTCACCAGTATGAACACGATTGTGAACAAGGAGTTGATAATCTGACGCAAAACATTTTTCGCATGTACCACAAGAATAAGGTTTCTCACCAGTATGAACATAGTTATGTTTAGTTAGATAACTTTTCTGTGAAAAACTTTTATTACATATACTACACGAATAAGGTTTCTCCCCAGTATGCACACGACTGTGAACAATGAGATTATATTGTGATGAAAATCCCTTTTTGCATATAACACAAGAATAAGGTTTTTCACCTGTTTGATTAGTAAGTGTAGGATTATTGCTGTTTGTTAAACAACTCATATTTTACCACCATGTAATTTTTACATATACTCTACAAGGAAGATTTTTTTATGGTTTGTAAGAGTACAGTATTAAAAGCGGTTTAACCCACTGACGGTTCTGTGTGTATAAAGTCGTATTTTAACATGCAGTCTTCACCGCATAGCAAAACTGGTTTTTCTGTGTAATTAGATAGGGAAATAGTGGATCGGGGAGAAACATTCTCCCAATCTTGCCCTTTTGCTAAACTGCCAGTGGGTTAAAGGTTCTGATAGCAAAGGCAAAAAAGTTTTATAAATTATAAAACACCAAAATCATTATACACTAGAATCAACAAGGTAATATTAATGAACCCTCAGACAAAAATATCTTGTAATAATATTATATACCCATTTAAGTTATGAAAAATGATTTGTTTTGCTTGAATTCCTTACTGTGATCCTAGAAAAATTAGATAAAATTATGTAATTATCCTTTTTTGGGCTCTTTTGTAGTCTATCTTCAAATGCCATGAAACAAAGAACAGTGCCTTTGACTTCAAAATGCCACCCTGAAAAAAATTAAAAAAGATATATGTCTATTCACATAACTTATCGCATATTTTGGTTTACGAAAAATATTTAACTATTAAAATTTAAAATAATTTTCCACCAGTGTAACAGTCTCCCTTACATGAAGCAAAAATGTTTATAAATATTAAATAATTTGAGGGAAATTCGTTATAATTGGAATGAGGGAAGGTTAAATGCAATCTTAGTTACTTTAACTTAACTTTTTGGAAAGAAAAATATAATTTTTTTTTCAAATTAGAATCAAAAAGTTTTGTCCAGGGATTTTTGATTTTATCAGGAAAGTTAGAAAGAAACAGCTTTATTATTTCAAACGTATGACTGAACCTAAGTATTGAAAAGGAAACCTTCTCATAATTGTTTTATTGAGATTTCTACTCCAACAATGAGTAAATTTTAGGGCTGTTCGATCTATATTAGTATCTTTGTGCACCAACTCCAGTTATTGATGCCCAGTTCTTGTGCTTTCAACATAAAAATTTAATATAGTTTCTCCCCTGCAGGTGATGATGAAAGAAATCTCTTAAGTAAATCCCTTTAAGTACTTTCATATAAATTTTATTTTTTTGTTTTCTGCACACTAATACTTGTTTGCTACCAAAACAGAAATTGCTGAGGCAAAAAACTTTATTTTTTGGACTGTAAACATTCCACACAGGCAGCAAGAATAGTTTTAGGAAGATTTCTGTATCAATAACTGCTTAAAAATGATAATCTAGTTTTGTTAATAACATGACAGTTGCACATAAAAAAAAATATCACTAAAAAAAAAAATGACACTAAAAAAAAATATCACAGAAAGAGACAAACTCAAAAGGCATAATTAAAGCTAACTCAAGGCAAGAGTTTCTAAATATATATTTTTTATTTACTGTAAGTACAGTGCCTATTTGTGTCGATTGTAGTGTTTGGTACTGATGCAAAATACCTCAAAGCTTTTCATTGACTTACATATTAAAATAAATAGTTTAGGTATTTCTTTTATCAAATTCTCAATCATAAATAGTTCTATTTACTGTTATAAATTCTACTTACATCTACTGATGAAAAGATGTCAAACCTTTCAACTATTACTTTTGCTTCATTCAATTCATAATACGATAATACTTTAATTTATTATGGAGATGTGAATATGAAAGATTGTTATGAAAATTCCCCCCTTAGATTTTTATGAAAACGTATTTATCCAACGTTTACGCATTTTTTTCAGTGACTTGTTTCACTCTCTACAAATATTAGTCAATTGCACTCCTTTTTCAAGAGCATTCATATACTTTTCATATTTTTTAATGCTTATAATTATTAAATTTGCTACAGGGTCATTAATGGAATATTTAGTCTTTGAAAGAAAATTTTAGAGCGAGCAAACAACTAATTAGGCATAAGTTAATGGTAATATTAACTATAGACTAAAAATGAAAAAAAAAAATTCTCTTTCATGAAATGAATAAAAGTGTTATTTTAAACTGTATAAGTCTTTGTACGGTATTTATTTAATTTAATACTAACATACCAGTTTTTGATTCACTACACTTACTACGAGAGAAAGAATTCACATTCATTAAATTTTTCTTAACGATGATTATTTGAGTGCTCATAAAACAACTTCATAAACACATTGACCGATACTGAACGTTGTTTATTTTTTGTTATTTACATCTGATTTCTCTGAACTTAGTGGTGAGTGCGCATGCGCGAAATCTGCAGATATTCATCACAACTTCAGCTACATTGAAATAAGCAGTCGGAAACTGTTCTAAATTAGTAAGTAAATATAAACAAGAACAAGTCGTATTTTGAATGAAATTACACGTGTATGGTATAATATTAGTTGCAAATCTTTACCATTATAATTTTAAATTATGAGTAAAAAGGAAGCGCATCGACCAGGGCCTTTCAAGCAGATAAATAAACCACATAAAATTGAGCAAGGGAAATCTAAAAGGCGACTTAAAGGTAATGCATATTTCACTGTTTTTGACGATTTGTGAATAGAAATTAGTGAAATAGTTTTCACTCCTTATAGTTCTTTTTCCTTCGTTTTATCAACATTTTATTTACATTATTTTTATTTACAAATGTGGATTGCATCCCAATTGTTGAAAGTAATAATTTATAATTTCTTGCTAATTTAGAATGAATGATCTGTTATTTAAAATTATTTCATTATACTTTATACTTTGGGATATTAAATTTACTTTCTTAAAAGATACTTGTAAAAAAATGCTTTCAAGCTGTGATTTTCATAACAAAAACACTATTTTGTGTTAGCCATAGCAAAAATTAATCTTTTTTACAATTAAAGTGTGTTCAAATCAGCTCAATTTTCCACTTCCAGCTTCAGATGTCACAACAAACTGGTACAATTCCTTTGCATGTTTTTTTTCTTCATATTGAACAATAAAATAATTTTCGTAATGTGATCATTTTGCACAGTTTTTCTTTCAATATTTTTATTATTAGCTTAGACGTTAGGGATGACTGACGATATCTTCGTATTGTGATCTGCTAAGCCACCTAAAATCGCTTCGATGCCAATATGATATCAAGCAGGAAAATTAGAAGAAAAGAAAAAAAAAGCATGTTGATTTTCGCCTGGGGTGGCTATAACCTTTCAGTTTGTCCCTCTTTTTTTAGTTTCTTGTGGGTCGTTCTCATGAAGTTACCAAAACTTGGCGATTATTCTGCCACAGATCACGAGACAGAAATCTCCCTGGAAAAATAGCAAGTGTCAAATAAATATTACATTTATTAGATTGCAAGTACAAATTTTAAGTGTCACCTGAAGGAAATAAAATATGCTGAATGGGGTAAACTCCTAATCATTTCCAGACAAGTCGTTTAAATTATTTTTCTAATTTAATGTATTGAAAGTAATTTATTATTGCAAATGAAGAACCAAGCAATGATAATTGTTTACTTTTTTTTTTTTGCCTTGGCCAGGGCTGGCTTAAGGGTAAGCGAACACCCAAGGCCACCAATTTAACACCGGATTAATAGCTTTTTCCCAAGATTTTTTTCTTTTCCGTTTGTTAAATATCTTGGACATGTTTTTACTATTTCTTGGATATACAAGTTTGTCTAGGTTTTTCTGAGAGGTATCTATTTTGTGAAAATTTAGACCTAATTTGTGAAAATTTAGACTATAAAAAAATCAACACAAAAATATGGATAATTTATTGATTCTTAAGGGATACAAAAATAAAATTTTAAGAAAAAGTATTTTGTGAAACTTCAGTTTTTTCTAAAATTTAATTTGTGAAGGTACCACTAAATGGGGTGCTACGTCTTGCAAACCCTGCCTAGAATAAACCATATTTAATATATACTTAAGCAAAATATGATTTTTATTATCCATGATATGATAAAATGGCTTAATGTTTCACCCAGGGCCTCTAAAACTGTAAACTACCCCTAGCCTTGGTAACGACAATCAATTTCAGATTTTACATTAATTTGTAATAATTTTATTTTTTAATTTGCTTATACTTTTTTCATTTTTAGGCAAAACTGATGTTAAAGCTCAAAGTATTCGAAGGAAACATTTATTAAGCAAAGAAGAAAGAAAGAACCAGGTAACTTGTTAAAACTTATCATTAAATTGAGAAACTCAGATTGTACACACGAATGCAACACACATCCAGCTAAGAATCTAGTCTTCTTTCTTTCTTTGTTGTTTTGTTTAGACTATATAAAAAAAATTTGTTTACAAAAAAATCACTTGATGCATAAGTTTCTTCTTAACACGTTGACTGCCATGTCACTTATATTCGGGTGACAGCAAAGTTTCTGATCAGACCACGCCACACACATTGGGGTGACGTTTATTTTACTACTTGAGAAGGATTTTCCCATGTATTTGAAAAGATATTTCACAGGAAGTATCAAAAGTATTGAATTGTTATAAAAGTAATACAGAAATGGTTTATTAAGAAAATTATCTGGAGTTCTTTGCAATTTAACTCACTAAGAAATAAGTTTTCTATTTTTTTTGTCATTTTATCAAATTAGGGTAAAAAAAGTTATACTCCTCTTTACTTGGCAAAGATTCAAACTAATAATGTAAAGTTGCAAGATGAGAAGCAGATGTGAAGCACCAGACACAAATAAAGAGGCATGATACCATGGAAACAAATGGCACAAACTATTATTCTTATGACCACCAGAGACTCGCATTTATTGAAATACTGGTGGGAGTACTCAGCAGAATATGCAATGTACATTGATACTTGTGACCTGAAGGAGATTTCACTGTAAGCTCAACCAGCATTTGACGTGTTAAACGGTTGTAGATTATGCAAGGCATAAATACATTATTTTTTCCACTGTTATTTTATATTCTTAACTTTACATTTTTGCACTTAAAATCGAAAACTTGTTTTATAACTATACTTTTAAAATAAATTTTAAATATATGTTTATGACCCCTTAAAAATAGGCCTGTTCCAGTAGATCTAAATATTTTTCAATTAGACTAGAAATTTGTTTTGTAAATTTGTGACCCCAGTGATAATTTTTATCAGCTTAAAATTTTGATATAAAAAAAAGTTATCCTGATGTAGTTCTAATAGATAAGTTTTCCATAATGTTTTATGAATTTGAGACGCCATATGCGATTTGACAAATTTTAATGAATATTTTTGAATGAAAGTAGATGCTATCGAAAAAAGTTAATTAAATTACCTTTATTAAAATTTTGCATTTGAAATTCCTTATTCTAAATTTTTTTTTAATGAAAAGGTATTGTTGTTGACGGTATCTGCTTCATTCATGATTTTATACTTACTCACTCTTTTACTGGAAAAAGTGTCAAGTGTCAACAGCTGACCTTATAAATAAATAAACAGCCTGAATGACCAGGCTCTTAGATTAACCCTTTATCATTTTAGCAGCTCAGCAACAATACTTTTTCCATAGCTTGGCAACCCCAGATGGGTTTTGAGTGTCTTGATTAGTTTTTCTCATGCATTTTTTTTCTTTGCCAACAGTCCTCCTGTTTTTTCTTCTTCTTTAAATCGGACAGGTCTCCCCATTGATGCCTGAAAGTGACTTTTGATTGTATCCATAGCAATAATAATATGTTAAAAATTTTTGAAATTGAGTTTAAGCAAATTGGATTTGTGACTGGTTCTTGTTATGGTTTTCCATATTATGGTTTTATCTATGATATAATTGTAATTTATAACAAGATCGCATTAAATTAAAAAAAGAAAAAAACTATTTCAGGGGTTTTAATTTTCTGTATTTAATGCAATGTTGCTTGTTTAATCAATCTATTATGCACAATATGCTTCTTTCAATAATATTCTCATTCTCTTTTTACTTATTTGTCACTTATTTTCTATTCAATATGCATATCACATTACATATAGGATTAAAAAAAATTTAAAAAATTATTGTGAAAATTGCAGAGTTTAATAAAAATATATTGAGTTGAAATTCTTCTTAAAACCTGAGGATTTTATTCTAAATAATGTATATAGTGTTATGTTAATGGTGCAACAACACAATTGAACATCGAATAACTGATAAAATTTTTTTTGATGGAAGGTTATAAAGTGTTTGTTACAGTTTTTAAATGAACTCTGGATGAAATAGGTTTTTAATTGCTTATTATATGTTTGTTGTATTTTTATTTCTTCATATTTCTATCTTTATAGTTCATTAAAGATCTTAATAATTTATTATATTCTTATACTTATATATATATGTTCTGAAATCATGTCTGTTCTCTATGTAATACAGCTTAATCAAATTCGTAAAGCTAAGAAGGAAGAAGTTCTGAAAATGAAAAGACGTGTTGGTCTTGCTCAAACTCCTCCAATAGCTGTAGTAAGTTCTCATATAATTTTTTAAACAAATTATTTATAAACTAATTATCATTATTATTTCTACTGTATAAATTTTACTCAGAAGTTCAGTTTAAGTTCAGAAGACTTCAATATTTATAGTATTTAGTGTGAATTGAAATGGTTGCTCTTAATATTATAACATTGTTTTTTGTTTATTATTAAATATATTGTCTATAAATATTCTTTCTTTTTATCTTACTATTTAAACTAAATGTACGAAAAATGATGATAAAATAAAGGTGTTTCAATCATCTAAAAAAAGCTAAGATATGTAAGCAAGATCAAAATTTGGATTCCTAATCAATTCAAAGACGTTTATTTGACGGCATGGAAAAACAACTGATGTTCATGCAACTTGAAGAACATGAACCTTTTTTTAAATAAATGATAACTGGTGATGACAAGTGTATTGCTTACAACAATGTGGTAAGCAAACAGTTTTAGTCCTGAAGTGAAAATTCGTCATCAAATACTTCATCACAGGGAGGTTATCTTCTTTTTGTGGTGGAATTGGAAAGGCGTGTTGTTTTATAAGCTCCAACCAAAAAAAAAAACAGATCAATTCAGATGTTTTCTGTTGGCAATTAGACAGTTTGATTGAACCTGTCATCTAGAAACATCCTAAGCTCGGCAATCGTAAAGATGTGGTGTTTCATCACAACAATGCGAGACCACATACATCTTTGATGACCAATGAAAAGTTATTGGAGCTTGGGTGGGATGTATTGCCCGTGCATCATACTCACCTTACCGTGCGTCATAAAACTTCCACTTGTTGCGCTTTTTTCGAAACATCTTTCGTGGAATATTGTTAAATTCAGACCAGTTTGTGAAGCAGCACCTTGTACAGTTTTCACATTGAATTCACCTTGTACAGTTTTTCACAAATGAAGACAGGTTCTTTTACAAACAAGGAATTATAAAGCTCACTCAGTGTTTTCATCTCAGAAAAAAAATGCGTGAGAATTTCTCACCCTTTCTCAAAAACAGGGTGAGATTTCAAAAAGTTAAGTGAGATTTCTAAAAAAAAAAAAAAAAGACTTGAAAAATAAAAATCATTTCTTTAATTATAATGCATTTTTAACATCTTCTAATTTTTAAAGCATTGAATATTTTTGCTGCATCATCATATGGAAAATGTTCTACATCTACTTTTTCATCAGCTATTCTCATTAGGTTGCTCAAATTGCTATTTGTTTCGTTTTGATCGTTTCTCCCCATATTTCTTTCAATTTCATTTGTCCGTTTCGGAGTAGAAGATATTGGCTTTACAAGGTATTTGTCCATCTTACATTAACGAGCAAAAAATTTGAACATCTTACCTGAAGAAACCTTACCTACGGTAAACACGTGGTTGCAGAGAAATGCGTTCTGAAAGAGGTTCCGTGGTTCGGAAGGATGGTGTTCTGTTGTTCTTAAAGGTTCTGAACAATACTGGTAAATAGGGAAGCTAGATAATGGGGCAGATGTTGAAAATAATAAAGGATCCAGGAAGAAAAGTGAAACGGATTTTATTCTAAATGGCGCAAATGAGAAATTTTTTTCAAAATGCGAGAAATTCGCGAATTTTGAAATTGGTTTATAGAATGAACGAATTTTTCGCGGTCATCATTTTTTTATGCGAGATTCTCGCGTTGTAGTGTAAACACTGTCACTGAATGATGGCTAAAGGTCATCAAACAACAGAGAACACATATCATTAATTAACCTTCATATAAATATATGACTTTGAAAAATTAAGGAAAAAAATTGCAATGGCTTGTTACTCAATTCAGTATATTTGCCATAAAATAAAATGTTTTTTTTTTTTATCATTTAATGCTGCCAAAACTGTTTTAAATCTAAAAGATACTTTTTTTCTGCTATTCACTTTCAATTCAGTTAATAAACTGTTTTTAAAAATTTAATGCTTTTATTTTGTTTTCTAAGATGATTATGGCTTTAGATGATGCTATAAATGCAGAAGAATTTCTAGATGAAATAAAATCCTGTGATGATGAGTTAGAAGTAAAGTACAGTTCACTTGGCAATTGTCACATAAGGTAAATAACTTATAGCTTTGTTTTTTCCTGAAGTGTATTTTCTAAGCAGATTTTCTCTATTATTTGAAGTATTAGAAAAGAATCTGAGTGAGATTTCTTTAAATTTTTGTATTCGTATTATGCATTGATTTAGCATAAACAGGGTTCCTACAGCCTGAAAATTTTTTTTAAGTGGTAGAAAAATTGAGAGATATCTAGATTGAGATATATCCAGTTTTAAGCTATCAATAAATATTAAATTTAAAGGAAATATATGTGGGTGCTAAAAATAATTCTAACAATTTTGTGTTTCACTAATATATGTAAAAAAATTTCAGTAGTCGTGAAACATTTCAGCTACTACTTATTTATATTTTCTAGGTTGTGGGAACCCTGATATAATTAAAAAAGTTATTTCCAAATGCATAGGAAGTTTTTATGTTATTAATTTTGTGTATAGCAAAAAGCTGAAAAAATTTCTTATGCATATTTTTTTATTTTAAATTACTGTTATTTTCATTTGTATGAAATTTTTCAATGAAATATTTTACAGTTCTTCCCGTTTGAAACAGAGGTTTACATTTGTAGTACCAAGAAAGACAGACATACATTCAATTATGGATGCAGCTAAGGTTCGTATTCAATGTTTGCTTTTTTTTCTGTTACTTAAATTTGTGTGTATAAGTACTTAAAATTAAATGATGTAGGGAAATCTTAAATATAATTTTCATTTATTTAAGGTTTCTGAAATACTATTGCTTCTTCATTCAACTGAAGTTCCTGATCAATATACTGAGATGCTTTTATCTGTCCTTATTGCCCATGCATTACCAACAACAATTCATGCTGTATTGGTAAGACATTTTTTATTTATTAATTTTTTTGTTTCTGAAAAATATTAATTATTTATAATCTGACTTATCACATTTGTGGAATTCTAAAATTTATCTGCTGATTGCAGGAGAAATTATATTCCGAGTTTTTCGTATCGTCCTTCCAGGTCTAGAAACTAAGAGCAAGGCATGTGATTTTTTCGCGGAATTCCACATATCTCAAGACCACTGATTCAGGGATTTCCGCAAATCAAAACTTATGATCCAACAAAATTTTCACTGCATACTAATTTAAAGTAAGAGTTGAGATTTAAAGTAAGAATTATGAGCTCTGGAATCAAAAATATGAATTTTTAAATTTTTGCTAAATCATGTTAACGAGACGTTTTCATACACACAATTCTTTCACCAATTTGATTTTTTTTTTCCAGTTAGTCGGATTTTCATCATTTTTGATATTTGAAACTATGTTGAAGTTTGTTAATATTGCGAATCATATTCAGATTCACGCAATTTTAATTTCAAGCATCGACTTCCGTATTTACCTGATTTAAAAGCTACATGTAATGAATCATATTCACACGATTTAAAAATTTTACATCATGATAGATTTGTATTCATGTGAATTAAAAATCCAATATTGCTATTCATTTTCACCGGATCTAAAATATACGCGATTTAAAAAGCCAATATCTAGGCTTGTCTTTTCACTTCTTCAAATCCAATACCGTGATTCATATTCACGCAGTTTTAAAATCCAATATAGGATTTCTTGTAGGAACTAATTTTTTTATTAAAATTAGTAACTAAACAGGTGTGATATTATTCATTGGTTGATTAATTAAAAGTTTAATTATAAATCTTAATTCAAAAAATTATGTTAAATACAGGGATGTGATTCTTCCGCGGATCCGCTGATTTCCGCTTTTTTCAGCTTTTTCCATATCTTCCGCTCTTTTTTCATAAATTTCCGCTCGGATAAAATTTTTAGGCAGTAAATGATATTTAGTTGAAATTTTTTTTCTTCCGCGGAGCGAAAGTATTGAAGCCCCCAATAAACCTTTCTTCACATGTCAATCTGCTGGCTGGGGTAAAAGTGGTTGACCTTGGTAAAACGATGCTTTCTCCAACTCCACTACTCTCTTATCTTTTCAGGAATGAAAGACTCTTTAAAATATCTGACCATGTTCCAAAAACTTAAGGGGAGTCGAACGTACGATATAGTCGGACTTGCGACTTGTTGCCTTGACAACCGCGACTTCCGCTATAGATTGGAAAAAAGAAAAAAAGTCCTAAGCAGTTTCGTTTCGGCCGCTGATATTTGATTTCTTTTGATTGGCTGATTTACAGAATTTTAAATATTAGGAACTGGGCCAGAATCTGCTAAAATTGCGATTCTTATTTAGATGGTTTTTATGTAAATCATCGATTTTCGTATTTAACTGATTTAAAAGTTGCTTGTTGAGATTCGTTTTTACACGATTTAAAAATCATTACTCGCAATTCCCATTCACGCAATTTAAAAATTCAATATCGCGATTTGTATTTAAGCGTTTTTAAAACCCAATATCGCGATTTGTATTTAAACGTTTTTAAAACCCAATATCGCGATTCATATTCCCGCTAGTTTAAAATCCAATGTCACGATTCGTATTCATATATATTTTTAGATTTCAATATTGTGATTCGTTATCACGCGGTTGTAATGTCAAACATCGATTTTCGTATTTATACGCGGTTTAAACATTACTCATTGCGATAAGTATTCACGGACTCTAAAAATTATGTATCGTGATTCTTATTTACGCGATTTAAAAATTCAATACCGCGATTTTTATTTTCGTGCTTTTAAAATCCAATATCGTGATTCTTACTCACGTGATTTTAAAATTCAATATCGTGATTCTTATTCACGCTATTGTAAAATTGAACATCGCGATTCTTATTCACGCGATTTTAAAATCAAACATTGTGGTTCTTATTCAAGCGATTTTAAAATCCAACATCGCTATTCTTATTCACTCTAATTTAAAATCGAACATCGCGATTCTTATTCACGCAATCTTAAAATCCAACATCGCGATTTTAAAATCCGATATCGCCTTATTCACGCGATTTTAAAATCCGGCATCGCGATTCTTTTTCACGCGATTTTAAAATCAAGCATCACGATTCTTATTAACGCGATTTTGAAATCCAACATCGCGATTCTTAATCTAAGGCCTCTAAAAATTGTGTACGAAATGAACTTTCTTGTCCTATCAACAGTCTACAGATCAGTCATGTTAATAAAAGACCATCGAAAAAGGAAAGAACTCATGACAAAGTCCATAAAGGTCCTTTGACCATTAAAGAAATGTTTTTTTAAAATGATGTGATACATAAAATCGTGCTTATGCATAATTACTCAAAGTTATCTAAATTATTTTTAAAAAAAATTTTTAATCAAGATTTTATTTAAGAACATAATTACCATTTATTTATATTTATTTGAATAGATAATAATCTAATCATTATCAGATTGGCTATTGAATTCATATAATTTTTTCTTTTGCACGTTCAATGCTGCAGTTATAAACTTCCTCTTTTTTGTGTTTTTGTCAATCACATCCCTGTAAATATGAATCGGTATCTTGTTGTTTTTGCACATAAAATTTCCAGTATGCAAAAAAAAAGAAACCAAATAAATGTTCTGATTTATAGACATAGTGCGTAGCGTTTTTAAAAAGTGCATAAAGGTGCTTATTTTTTTATTTTCGTTACTTAAAAGCCCTTAAAGGTGCTTTTTTCAAAGGGTGTTTTTAAAAGGTGCTTAATTTTCGCTTTTCAAAAATGAGATTTTTTTCGTTACCATGTCGATTCTCGCCATTTATTATCCAAAAGCATGCTTTTCACGTTCTTATATTCACCGTTTTCACAATTCATTTCGATGTACCGCCGATCCATAGCGTGTGAAAGCGCCAATCATTTTACATGTTTGATTAAATACTTGCGAATCCGTATCTGCGTCTACTGAGCTGGCTTCAGTGAGATTATTGCCTTCTCATGTGCAACTCTGCTGCATTATGTAAGATATTCTCAATTTTAGACTTCATTTTCCACCCTCTGATAACGAACTGAAAAATCTCTCGATCATTTAATAATGTCTAATATAATCAAAAAAAGAGTTCTTTGTCAGAAACTAGTTACTTTCTCATGATCATCTAAAGTCTTTGAAAATTATTTTGCATTTTGTTAATGGCATGTAGTGCTTAAAAATATTTTTTGAGTGCTTAAAAAGTTCTTAAAAGGTGCTTATTTTTTGTTTAAAGATTTGGCTACGCACCCTGATAGAACGTTAATATGTGCACACATTAATTATCAATTAACTATTATGTGCATTCATAGCTACTTAGAAGTTAAACATTCAATAGTTATTCAGAAATAGAACCTTGTATATTTTATAGCTCTAAGCTAAAAATTTTGATTCTATCTTTTATGCATAATTTTGTTTATTAACTTTTCTATTTGTTTAATATTTTATTTTAATAATGCGTGGTATCGAACAAACAGGATGAGTTTTTATTTGATGCCTAAAAATATTTTTAATTAATTTTTTTCAGGGATTAGATAAGCTAAATCCAAAAAAGAAGGCTGATTGCAAAAAACATCTATTAAAAAATATTGAGACAAAGTAAATATGAAGTCTTTCTCATTCCATGTATTTATCACTTAGATATTGTTTGAAATAAGGTAATTATTTATATTAGTTAACTCATGGATGCTTTATTAATGAATTTCCTATACATTATATAAGAACTCACTATTGTTATTACTTAAAAAAGTACTTTTATATGTATTTAAGTAAACTTTAAATCTGTGTAATTATAGGAAATAATTAAAACAAAAAATACTTAAGTATCATTACAAACTGTTTTTATCTCTGTTTTCTTGACATGCATTTGATTAACAAATGAATATTCAACATAATTTTATCCTACTGACAACAAGATGTTTATTTTAGCAGTGAATAATCAAATCTACAAAATAATCTGCTAAAACAAATTTTTTGTTATCAGTAGGGTAAAAGTATGTTGATTATTCATTTGTAATTGTTCCTAAAATATTTGTTACAAGCGATATGTTTCAAAAATGTTTGTGTACAGTGCATGGAAAAAAACGAACATGATGCATGTATTATGAATATAAAGTGCTATCTGATGCTGTTTTACATATTTCTATATACCAACTTGCAGAAATTTATTAACAAGTATATACTGCTAACTTTTATTATAGTTTTTCAAATTCCGTAGGTTTAACAAGTCTTAACTTTTAACTTAATCTTGTGAAAGTTTTTATGTTTCAGTTCATGAATTTTTTGTGTAGATTTGTTAAAAAGAGTTTTTATTAACAATTATATACAATTGACTTGTAAAAATTAAGTTAGAAAATAAACATAAAATCTAAATATCCATATATACACTTAAGGTAAATACAAGTTTCTTTTTATACGTAAATTTTCATACTGAAATTTTAATTTTTATTAGTTCAAGGTTTATTCAATCACTAATCAAATTTTATAAACTTTAATTTTTTACCAAACTTTTTGTTTCAGATTTCCTGAAGCCAAACTGCACCAGTCAGATACCAAGCAGGAATTACAATTGCTGCTTCGTCAGATAGGTAGTCAAAAGCAAAGGCCAATAACATTTCGAGATGCACGATTTCATATGCTTGCTGAAGATGCTGAACTAATTAATGTAGATATGGTACGTTTTCATTTCATATAATAATTTTGATCTAGTAAGTATTCAAAATGACCTATTCCACTAGAGTTTTGAATGTTTGTTTGTCCTTTTTTGTCAATACAATTTATTAGAATTTAAAAAATTATTTTTTTTTAGAAGAAAATTGTTTTTTTTTTTTNAATTAATTTTTTTTTTTTTTTTTTTTTTTTTTTTTTTAAATATATTGTCCACATACTTATCAGAGACATTAGTATAGTGCAATTTTGTTTATAATATTTCTTTTGCTTTGTAGTTTAATTATCAAAATCATATTATAGTTTTATGATTATCGTTTATATGATTTGTTATCATTTGCATGAGGCATTAGTGCATTTTTGTTTGTTTTCCAGTGATAGGACGTTTGAATTCCAGAAATTATATACTAATTTTAAGTTCATTATACACATATGATGATTTACTAATTAAATTAAACGACAATCTGTCTCGTTTAAAAAAATACCATTGACTTTATTTAATCGAAGTCAATTAAGTAGATATTTTTAATATAGGGTTGTACGTTAATCTAACTTAAATATGATAATTCTATGAACTTTTAATTTAAAATGATATACATGATAACATATTTGATAAGTTGCAAATTTGACGACTTGTATATTTTATTTTAATAATCAGAGCCCACACTAAGCATCGACAACTCGCCAAATGCGATAAAATCGTAAATTTGGCAAATAAAATTGTCTTTTGGCGAATGCTTTTTTCTACTGGAAGGAAAAATATGTATTTAATTCGATCCTCAAAATTATGTCAAAATGAATTTTTCTAAACAATTTTTTGTAAAATAGTAATTTTTGATTGATGTATTTTGGTAAAATAGTTTTCTATGGGGAAAAATTCATCGTAAAAAATAGTTAAGATTTGCATTTAGCAAATACTTTTGATATTTGGCTAATTTACTGGCTAATAATTCGAAATCCTTAGCACGGACCCTGATAAGAAATTATAAATGGAACTATTTTTGTTGTTTATCATAAACTATGTATTTCTTACCCTTAAAAGTGTTGTTGTTTAAAGTGATAGATTAGAAAACTATTTAAAATTATTGATAAGGTAAGAAAACATTATTTTCTTATCTTCTTATTTATAGTTACATTCTAAATCTACGGATTGCTACAAAAATAAACGGGGGGAAAAATCAGATTAAAATCGAAATGAATATGGAAAGAAGGAAAACTTATAATCTTTGTATTTTGCTTTACGTTGACCAAAATCATTAAAGATTTTGAAATAAAGACAAAATTTTAACATTGGTATTAATCATTAATTTTAAAGGGAATGAGCATGATTTCTAGTTATTCAAAATTTTGAAATGCCTGTGTTCAAATTAAAAATTATCTCTGTTTTCTTTGTACTTTTTTAGGTTTCTGGAAAAGGTACCCTAAAAGTTTCTGGTTATATAAGAGGCCAACCTTTAAATGTGAACAGTCTTGTACACATTCCTGGTTGGGGTACCTTTCAAATGAGTCAGGTTACATCATTTGCTGATCCCTTTGAAAGTGAGAAGAAAAAAAAGAATTTGCAATGGTCAATAACTGTAGGTACCATTTTTTTAGTTGATATTGATTAACCGAATATTATGTCCATATAAATTTTTTAATGCAGTTTGGTTTTGTAATGATTTATTGTAATCATGTGGCAAGTTTTTGTTAATATTAGTAATTGAACTAAGAATTTATTCTTTTTTTTTCCAAATTCGTTATGTTTTGAAAGGCTTAGCTACGAAAGCTGTAAATATATATTTTTTTACATTTTTATCAACTGACATAATGTTTAGAAATATTAATTTTATTTCTGATAGCAAACTATGGTGAAAGTATAATAAGTGAGTGAATTTGTATAATTTTGTATTAATTTGAAAACTACTTTTTTGTTCTGGTACTCATTGTAATTCATTCAGGTTATCTAAATTTCCTGCATTATTGACTATTGATATTTACCGTATTAAAGTTCTTTTATATAATTTATTGAAAATGTATGTGTAATTTTTATCATTTGTAATTTTTTTCTTAAAAAAGCATGGAACTGGTCATTCAAATAGTTTCACCCGAGTTTGACACAATATTAAAGTTCAAAATTATTCAGTTGAGACACTAAAAATATTACCATGTTAATTATATTATAGTGTCAGATATGGTTTCAGACATATTGTTAAAAAAAAAAAAAAAAAAAAAAAAGGCTTTTCTGCTTTAGATTATTAGGTATGGTTTCTAACTGATAGTTTTTTAAAATGATTCTTTATATAGTTAATTTGCATTGTTTTCTTGCTCCTTGTTTTTTTTTTTTTTTTTTTTTTNTTTTTTTTTTTTTTTTTTTTTTTTTTTTTTTTTTGCTTCAAAAGTATCATAGAGTTGGCTTTCCGTGAAAAAGTTTTTTTTTCTTTTCAACTTTTGGTACATTTTCTATTAACATTAATTACATGTTTTTTTAGTATATTATTTATATGTATATAAATAAGACGCATCTCAAAAATCTCTATTAAAATTTATGTAAGCAGTTAGGAAATTGAATAAGTCAGTTTGGACAAGTCAACAGAAAGTCATGAAAATTTTTTCCCCGAGCATTTGTGTTCGCAATTTAGTGAAACAAAGATCAAATTTCCTTTTGATTCATTTGAAGTTTTAAGACCAACTTACCTTTCTAAGCAATTTACCCAAAGTTTTCCTTCTTAGCTAGACAAATAGGTTTTTCTTTGTGTCATTCACAGAAAAGAAATTGATGCTATTACTTTGATATCTATATTCATATTTGTCGTTAAATTAGCTAGATCTAATTCACTATGCTGTTTTGAAGCAATGCGTGTTGTCAATTCTTTAGTCATTTTTTCATGCGCCTCTTTTTGCCTGATGAAGTGAGCATTTGTTTTATTCAAAATAAATTCATACTTAACAGGAAGAACCTGATCAACTTAAGCAAGAATCTTTGCAGTCTGAGGTAGAACCAGATCCTATGGAAGGAGAACAGACTTGGCCTACTCAGGAAGAGTTAGCTGCTGGTAATAATTGACTCTGTTTTTATAGTAACTTTTATATATATATTTTTATTTGACAGTTTTTTTCCCGTCAAAACAAAATTAAATTTTACTGTTATAAATACCTCTAATTTAATATAATACAATGTTCTAAAACAGAGTATGAAAATAGCGTTATACTATTGCTTTGGTTTCTTGTATTGGTTTTACATATTTGTTTAAATTGATTATGTATAGTTGTGTCCAAGATAACTGTAAATAAAATATATTAAATCAAAAAATAAATTGTACATCTCAATATTTCTTGATGAACAAGATCGACTTTAAATATTAAAATAATCTGTTTAAACAGTAAGAGTTGGCATATATATATATATTTGAATATTTTCAAAAGTTTAAATGCAGATACTTCATTTTAGCTGAAATGCAGCCTAAAAGGACTGTGAAAAAAGTGGCTGAAGGTACAAGTGAATATCAGGCATCCTGGATTATTGAGAGTGAAAATGAAGACAGTGAAAATAGTGGTGATGAAAGTGATATGGAAGATGCAGAACCCAACGAAAGCTTTGAAAATTGTGAATTAGAAAACACAGATATGGATCAAGATATGGGTGATACTGTAAGTTTTAATAATTTTTTCTGAATAATTCTACAACTTTGATGTTTATATTTTATACTAATATTATAAATTATATTTAGGAATCTATAGCAAGCATGAAGGATGAAAATTATGATAAAAATATGGATCTAGATGAAGAGAAAAAAATGTATGTGTTGTTGTAATCTACTTAAATATAATGTTTAGCTATGTTCTAAAAATGACTGACCATTTGAGAAATCGATTATAGAAAAACCCAAGATGGAAATGTATGGTATGACTGAATGGCATAAGATTTATTCTCATCAAGTTTCAATATAAAGTTCAAAGGTCCTGTAACAGATAATGCTGTTGGCATGTTATAGCGTTCTAAGTTAAAAGAATTGCTTTTGTTTCTGTTATTTTCTCTTCAGACTGTACCATGCTGATGCTGTAAGTGGTGGTTTGTTTGACAAACATTGTTACTTATCTTGAAAGTTAGTGAAAATAAATTATCTGTTTTCCCTAGCAAAATATATATTTTTGCTTTCCTATGTTTTTTTTAATTGATTTTTTTAAAATTGTTGGTCATTTTTGGAAAACTTGGTATAAAGTAAATTGCTTAATTATTTGTTGATATATTCTTTTAGGTTAGTTAGGTTTAAAGAAGAGAGGGAAAATGAAATGTTTCCTGATGAACAAGATACTCCAATCGATGTCAGTGCTAGAATTAGATATCAAAGGTAAGCAGTGTACATGTCCTATTTATAGTCACATAAAGGAGATGATGATATGATGGATATTGTGGAAATTTGAAATGTACTTTTTATAGACAACATGAAAAAAGAATTCTGTAATAAAAAAATTAGCTCAAATTTTAGGTGAGACAGGAACAAATAGTCAAACTAGTTATGCAAAACTCTATTTAAACATTGCACATGTTCAATTTCAAATTTTAGGTGAGACAGGAACAAATAGTCAAACTAGTTATGCAAAACTCTATTTAAACATTGCACATGTTCAATTTGCATTCCGTTCTAGTCAAACACACATTCTACATGCTTTACACCATATAATAGGTTTCGCATTATAGCGATACAATGTTTTGTGTTTGCTTTCGACTCAGTGTAACTAAAAAGCAAATTCTAAATGCTCTTACTTCTTTGCATCACATCTAATAACTTCCTATCTTCATAATCATGTTTTTCAAAGCCTGTCATGGTATACGTCTTTTTCTGAAGGTTTTCAAATCTTGATAATCATGCTGTGCTATCAACAGATTACTATCTTTCTAATAAAACTTTCTAGTAATTTTCTTCCTAATTGTCTGGTGCAAAAGAATCTCACAACAGTGACTCCTGGCTTATAAAACTTCTAAAATTATGTAATAGATGGTAGATGGTGCTTTTTTGTACAAAAAAGCACCATCTATCATTGAAAATGCAAACTATTTTTTATTGCAGATTCCCATGGTCCAGTATTATATGTCTTATCATTTACATCTTTCAACCAAACTGGACTTAAAATTGGTCTAAACTGGGTTGCTTTGAATTTTACCAACCCTGCACTTGAAATAAATTTATCTTAATTTAAAGTAAATGCATTTTTTTTTTTTATTAGGTATCGTGGGTTAAAAAGTTTCAATACTTCTCCTTGGGATCCTATGGAAAACTTACCTCATGATTATGCAAAAATATATAGGTTTGAACATTTTAGACAGACCAAAAAGAAAGTGTTAAATTCTGAAAAGGAAGGCTTGTGGGTAGGTGTAATTATTATTTTGTATTAAATTTTATTAATTGCATTTTATTCATTAATTATTTTGAATAAGCATTGTTAATAAGTTAGCTTAGCAAGTAATTATTTTTGCTGTTAAAATAAAATATTTCTTTAAAGCTTCTGTATTATTAGTCTGACTTTCTGTTTAAAAAATTTTTTTCAGTCTGAAACATATGCTACTCTCTTCATCAAAGATGTTCCACAATCCTTATATGGTAACAAAATAATATTTTTAGTATAATTAAACCTTTCATTAAAATTTTTATTTGTCTATAAATTCCATGTAAAAATTAATTTATTGATTTTATGAATCAAACTTATGCTCTTTGAAATGACTCATTTACAGTGACCCTACCATTATAACGATGATCCATAAAAACCAATTTTTCAAATTGGATTTTATGATGTGCATTATTGCTTAAGTGCAATGTTATTCAAATATTTGTTTAAATACTCATACTCAATCATTCATTTAAATATAGCATCTTTAGTTTTTTTCCCTCCATTCTTAAAAAGTTCATTTATAATTTTTAAACATTTACAAGCAATTGTTAAACATTTTTGTGGATTTGTAACAAAAATATTTTTATCTAGATTAAGTCATTTGATAACAGAAGGGGGAAAAAGGTTAAAAAATAAAAGCAATTTTTTCTAATGCTATCCTTTGATAAGTTTCGAACATCTTCTTGAATTCTCCCTGAATAAAAATATTACACGACTTCATTAAGTCTTATTCTAGGTTAGGGGTTTTTAATGTATGATTTTTTTGTTGATATTTTAGTGTCACAAGGAACTACCTTATTTAATTTAAAATAATTTTGAAGAAAAAATCAAAAAGTCTGAAAGATTACAATTGTTTTAGATATCTAAAAATACAAAATTTGTGTCTATAAAAAATTAAAAAAATGATTGAAGGTTAGGTTGAAATTAGGTTGTCTATAAAAAAAAATATAATGCGGGGGAAAAAGAGAATTCTTACATAATATGTATATTAATATCAGTCATAACCATCATTTTTTTCTTCTTTTTTTTTAATTTATTAAATTGGCAATTTATTTTCAATCTTGTAGTCAGTTTTTCTTAGTTATGCACACATACCTTTTATGTCTACTTTTTTATTGACTAGCTATTCTATTGAATTCAGGCTATTTCATTTCAAACATCGCAATTTCTTTCTTAAAATATGCTCCAAAAATTTTTTTAAGCAAGAAAAAAAACATTTCAAATTATTTAGAAATCAGAAAGAAAAAATTTGGTGGTCAAAAAATATTTTGTGAAATCAAGGGTCACTGAGAAATGTACTTGGCTAAAAGATACTTTTTTCTGTTATCAGCATAGCAAATGTCAAGGGAACTCAGATTTTTTTGTTTGTCATATCAAAAAATTTGCATTAGCAAAGTTAGACGCTTGACACGTCTGATATATATCAAGCATGTAATTTTTCAATTCTTTTTCGTTGAATTCAATAACTTTTGCAGTGGTGCAGTTTTTCCTAAAAAATATTAATTAATATATGATGAAAACTTATGTATATTAATATATTAAAATATTTTGTGAAATCAAGGGTCATTGAGGTCACAATTCACATCACCTTGCTATTTCGGAATTTTTTAATTTGATCAGATCACATAATGTAGTCATTATAGATTTGAAATGTATGGTGGGTGAAATGTATGGATTCTTTTAATGTATGGTATTGTAATTAAATTTGTAAACTTTTAATTTTTTAATGACTATTATTTAGCATATTATTTCAGCTAAAATTATGTTACAATACAAATAAAAATCATTTCAACATTTATTAAATCTAGTTTAATACACTTTCTCAACATTTAATCTATGCTTCTTCTGAAAATAATGCTAAAATTACTTTCTTTAGTACAAAATTACTGCAATCATACAAAGTACTGCAATCATCACAAAATCTTACAATATTTTTAAATTGTACTATATGTAACAATATGCTAAATGTTTTACTAGAAAATAGTTGCAAGAATAATTAAAGTGTGTAATTTAAAATATAACATGAAATAAAAAATAAACTATCTAACAAATGCACTTTTTTTCATTTAGTGTTTCAATTATAGTGGTATTCAGTTGATCAAAAATTTCACTTAATTTGAACCAGTATGAAATTTTTGAAAATTGTATTAGAAAAGAGCACTTTAAGAGCTGTTCATTTATAAAAATGCTGCACATTAGTAGATTCAGTATGGAAAACTGAGAGAATTTTGAATAAATAATCACAATCAAGTCCTTTCCTTCTTGCTCTCATCAAAATAACAGGTTGAAGTTTAACCCAAAAATTAAAAATGAATAAATGTGCATACATTTAATTTCACTATAGTTTTCTTGAATAAAAAAATTGGCATCTGTATGACTGTTTTCTTCAAAATTTTGGAACCATTAAGGGGTTAACAATGTATTTATTTTCTCCCCGGCAGTCTTCTCTTTTTATTAGGATTTTGGATAAATTGAATTTGTAGAATATTACACTTATTTGTATTACACTTTTCCGAATTTTGTAATAAATTAAACTGGTTTAACATATATTATTTTATTTGATTGTTCATTTTTTTATTTTGCAGAAGCATTTGAAAAAGACCATTCCATTCTTATTGTTTATGGGCTTCTACCACACGAACAAAAAATGTCAGTTATAAATACAGTGATTCGTAAGCATCCCTCTTGTAAATCTTCTATCAAATCAAAGGATGAACTAATATTTCATATTGGTTTTACTCGTTTCACATGTAAACCCATATTTTCTGAACACAAGACTGGTAACAAATTTAAAGTAAGTCTATTTTAAATCAAATGTACCTTTATTTACATTTATAATTATATGTTTCTTTTTACAGGTTTTTTTCTAATGCATCGTAAAAATATTTCTAATTGTTCTTACTTAATCATATAATAGATTTAGTATTAATTTCTTTCTTGTAAAATAATATGAAATTACACCTGATGAAATTTTCATGTTTATGAATTTTATCATCTCACACTTTCTAATGCAGTATAAAAGTATTGTAATAAAAAAATTTTTTATGTGATTGAGACAGAACTGAAAATTTAATGAAGGCTATTTGGAAAAATCAGGGATTTTTTTTTCTCCTGAATATTAGCTGCCTTTCTGACTAAACTAAATATTTTCCAGATTAAAGCTACCCCCATATTTTTGCAAAGGTCCAAAAATCTCAGGTGCCTGAGTGCCACTTTGCTAAATAATCCTAACTAGTGGCAAATATTGTAGTAAAATTTTAAAAGCAAATAACTGTTTTCTGCACTTCTCATTTCATATCATGCAGGCTTGGAAAAAAGTGGTTCTGGCTTTAAGAAATTTTGCATTTACGTAATCATTTTGTTTGTAGTATCTAAACCTATTCAAAAGAAATCAAAATTAGTTTTTATGACTGGTTACACAACTTAGTTTATATCTAACATTAATTAATTAATACACTAGTTAGTTTCCTCAAACCACTAAAAGGGCATTTCTGTCTGTTACACAATCTAATAGTCTGATCAAAAGTTCTTGAGATTAGTCTTTTTTGCTCACTTTAAATCTTAGTATTAAGAATAAGTAGTTCTGGAAATATTAAATAATGAAAGTTTGAACAATGGGCCTGCAAGTTATTCAGAAACAAGTTCTAAAGTTAAAAAAATAAAAATTAAATTAAAAGCTCAATAAGAAGTCCAAAGAAATAGATCAATGAAAATAAACAGTGCATTTTTACTGCTAATATTTGAATTTTATAATCAAATCTGTCAATAACCTAAATTTTAATTCCATATCATTAGTTATTTTACAATTAGTCAGATTTATCTTTAAACACTATTTTATTCATAAATTTAAGTGAAATCTCTTGAAGTTGATTCAAATAAATTGACTAAAACCTGTATGAATAAAGAAATGCATAAGTAAAGGAAATAAACAAGTGTTTTTAGATTTTTTTCCTTCTTTCCTTTTTTAGTATGAGCGGTATCTCCCACCTGAAGGTGCAGTTGTAGCCTCATTTTATGCACCTGTTCTATTCCCTCAAGCCTCTGTTACAGTTTTCAGACAACGGAAAGATGGTATGTAAATATTGTGTACAATTTTTAAATGTACTTATCCATGTCCTGTATGCATCAATATTTTTTTTAAAATGTGTAGTAAATGACTAACTTGAAATACAGTTGAATCCATAATAACAAATTGCTGAGGGTCAGAAAAATTGTTTTGTATTAACAGCAATTTGTTATACAGATATTACAATTTTTAACATCTTTTCCATATTGTATGGTTCCATTCACTAATATTATTGTATGATTCTTTTAAAATTATTTGGTAATGTTTAAAGACATAGCACCACTTAATTGATCTAAACAATAAATATGAAATTTATTTCGTGCAATTCTTTTTTAGAACTGATATATATATACAGAGTAGGATATTTTTTATTTCATTAATACATTTTTTTCTAGCATCTGACAGTATCGGCAAGATATTGTTTCAATTCCTGAATTTTCAAGAAATTCCTTCATCTTTCATAATTATTAAAATTTGATTCATTAAACTAGCATACTTTGCCCTCTTCTTTAAATTAATGGAACAACTTTTCACGTGTCTAACAAAAATAGTTAAGCAGGCATTTGTTTAAGTTACACAAAAAAGATATACTGAAGAATCAAACATTATATTCATAAAATTTTTTTACATTTAATTTTTTACGAAAAGCTATGTATCATCCTGTGTGCAATAGAGAATAATATGCTATTTGCATTAGAGAGTGAATAATAATTCTAATAGTAGAATTGATAGTGGTTTTAATATTTATAATCCAACAATTTTTATGTAACTTAGTCTGTGTTACATTAGCAATATTTTACAGGGAAAAAGAAACCCTATATTCTCTCTAGTGAGGACTGTTCTTGCTCACTCTACCTTAAATTATACTTTAGTATACCTTTATCATTAAATTATTAAAAAAAAAGAAGAATAATTTAAAAAAAGAAGAAAAAAAAGAATATTTTACCTAGAAACATGTTTTTTATCATCTTATGAGTTCACTTATATCATTTTTTATTTCATTTATTTGCATCAATAATAAAGTGTATATTAAGATTTATTTAGTAATGTAAAATTCTTGATTGTTAAAATATACATTGTAACTTATAGGAGCACATTGTATACTCCCTAATAACTGCACTTTTTGGCAAAAAAAATAAAAATCCTATAACAGTTTTCATGAGTTAAGACTTGTAAACATTAGTATATTTTACATAGCTTTCCATTAATTAAATTGTTTTAATTAAAATCTAGATTTGTTTTAAATAAAAGAGAGAATATTTTTTTGTAATTGTTTATGCACAATTACTGTATTATTTAAAATCAAAATTTTTTTTTCTTTTATTTTATAGGGTCTCTGGAGTTAGTAGCTACTGGAAATATGCTAAATGTAGATCCTAATAGGATTGTTGTTAAAAGAGTTGTACTTAGTGGGCATCCATTTAAAATTTTTAAAAGGTCTGCTGTTGTCAGATACATGTTCTTCAATAAAGGTATATAGGTTTCCTTTTATGTAAAACAAAATAAATATTAATAGAGATTTCATAGTTTACTTATCTTTTTTAATTATTTATAGATGATATAAATTGGTTCAAATGTGTAGAATTGTACACCAAGTGCGGAAGACGGGGCCATATCCGAGAGTCATTAGGTAAATAAGTTTTCATTTTCTTCAACATTTATTCTTTGACTAAATAAAAAAATTAATGCATAATTCTTTTCCTCCCAAAGGTTCTCATGGGCATATGAAATGTGTGTTTGATCAACAACTACAATCACATGATGTGGTTTTAATGTCTCTGTATAAACGTGTGTTTCCAAAATGGACTTATCAAGTTTACAATTCAAATGAAGAGAATTTAAATGTTGATTCTGAATCTATGACAACAGAAAACATATGTGATACGTAATTACAACTAGAAATAAATATAATTTTATTCTATCTCTAAATTATTCTTTTGTTACTATGTGAAATACTTGTTTTTTTTTTATCTTGATGGCAACACAAATATAAAAAGTAAAATCTATAATTTCTTTAGAATGATTATTAAGGAGTTGAAGTTCAAAATGAATGTAGCAGGGCTGATTGTGCTCCGGAAAAAATCTGGATATCCGGAATTTTCGCTAACAGTGATCCGGAAGTCGAAGGTCCATGCGTTTAAAAAAATCATTGATCACAGTTTCCGGAAATTAAATTTTCAAAGGTGGAACTTAAAAATACTTTTTACTTTATTTGTTTGTAAGGGAGTGCCAGAGAGATACTTTATAAGCTTATATTAATGATTAATATTCATTTTTTATGAGTAAATAGTTATTATAATCATAAACTCAAGAAAGAAAGACATATTTGTAAATTTCAATTACTTCTCCAGGTCATTATAGGTATGTGTAAAATTTTAAATATATTTTAAGTAATCTAAGAAATNCTTATTTTTTTTTTTTTTTTTTTAAACTTAAGAAATTTTCCAGAATTTAGACTTGGGCTCACAATCACCCCTGATGTAGTTAATATCCCATGTTAATTATTTTTATGAAAACATGTCCCAACATGACATGGAAATCTTTTATATTTTCAAAAATCATTAAAAAAAATAATCAATAATGCTACTTTTAAAATTTGAGAATAAATGTTTTGATTATCAACTCCTCAATTCTAAAAACTAAAATGTTTTTGAAAAAAAAAGGTGGCAGCAATAAAACGAAAAATTTAAAAAAAATTATGAAGCAGTCTTATTTTTTTTTTTTGTTTGGTGTTGATTGATTTATTACTGAAATGTAAATTTTTTTTCTAAAACATTAATTTATCCAAATTTTAAACAACCCTTTGGATAGAAATAAAAGTCAATAAATGGTAATTTACCTTTGTCTAAACAAAATACAAATTTAAAAAAGTCTGAAAATTCTCAAAGAAATTATATAGCTAATAAAATTTAATTTTATATTTGAAAAAGATTTATAACACTGAAATTTTTATTGTCGTTTTTTCTTCAAATACTCACAATAAAAATGCATAATACAACAGAAAATAATTTTTTCATTAATTTTGATAAATCTGAATTTAGATTTGAACATATTTAAGCTATAGAATTCGATCTGTACAATTAAGAAAGTTAATCTCAATCCTGAAAGTAGACCACAGGAGCTTATACGCTAATTTTGACTAATGAAATGTTTGAAAACTTTTCATTTCACCATTTAAATATCAGGGATGAGATTTTTCCGCTTTTTAGCGGATTTCCGCATTTTTCACTTTTATCTGTTAAATTTGCTTTTTTATCAAAAATTCAGATTTTCTAAAAATTTCATTTTTTTTTATAAGTATTCCGCTTTTTCAGAAAATTCACCGATTTTTAAAGAGAAACAGAAAATTCAAACAACATAGCTACCAATTCTTTCTTTTTTTTACTTATTTTACGGATTTGCTCCCCTTTTACACGCAGCAGATAAGATTTTCCGAATTTTTTACCCACCCTCCAGATAGATCCGATTTTCGTTGTTCAAACGACGCTGCTTCTGACAAGCCTTTTAGAGGTCCCAAGCCTGGAATCTGCTAATTTCTCGATTCTTATTCACACGATTTTAATATCAAACAGAGCCTTTCATATTTGCGTGTTGCGATTCTTATTCACGCGATTTGAATATTGTACGTTGCGATTCTTATTTACTAGATTTAAAAATCCGATATTGTGATTTGTATTTACGTCTTTTTAAAAACATATGTAGCGATTCGTATTCACGCAAGTTTAAAATTCAATGTGTTGATTTGCTCATGCGGTTTATAATATCAAACATTGATTTTCGTATTTATACGTGATTTTGGGATTCGCATTCTAAAAGTTATGCATCATAATTCTTATTTATGCAATCTAAAAATTACGCATCATGATTCGTATTTTTTGTTAATCGAATAA